GCTTCTGCAACATCCCTTCCCAACGGTCCCGAGTTCCTGGGTGTCAACTGTGACTCTCAGTACAAAGTCTAGTAGTTCCCTAGTGGGGAGAGGTCTGCTTGGCAGTGCAGCCCCTTGCTGGCACTGATTTCTGGCCAAATTCAGGCTTTCACCTCTGCCCCAGAGGATGTTCCCAGGGATGGACAACCCTCCCAGGAACAAAGGAGGATGGGGAAGCAGCCCACAGACCAAGGCTCCTGAGACCCAGCTTCTACGGTGAGAAAACCATAGGTCTGGGGCCCACAAAGTCCCAGTTTCTTCCACAAGGCTGCAGTGGTGCAGAGAGCCAGGTGAAGATACACACTTCCCCTTGTACCAGTCCCCCAAGTTCACTGGTCTCACTGTGCAGGCCCAGCTTCCAGGCCACCCCTTCCCCATGGCAGCCACGAGACTCACTCATGGGGGCCATTCTCCTGCTGCTTCTGGGTCCTCAATCTTTTTGGCACCAGGGATAATTTTTTCATGGACGGGTTGGGGGTGGGGGGATGGTTTCGAGATGATTCAAGCACATTACGTCTATTATGTACTTTATTTCTATTATGACATAATCTCCAGATCATCAGGCGTTACATCCCGGAGGCTATGGACGCCTGCCTTAGAGCCTCCTCTTGCTCAGTCTCCACTCCAATTCCATGAGGGGGTCACATTTATTCCTCCATCATCCAGACAAAGAAATCAGAGTTTAGGGAGATAAAGTCACTTCCTCCAACCCATCTAGCAGTAGGCCATGGAGTTGAGATTTAAATTCAGGTCACCCCGCCGGTTTCAACCACTGTGCCCCTTGGCCTAGCCTTCCAGTGTCGCCACACTGAGGCCAGGGTTGAGGGGGCTTGCCTGGGACCTGGCTCCCTGACAAAATTTTGCCCACAGGCATCAGCATGCCTCTGGGGCTTTCCCGCTGGCTCAGCGGTAAAGAAACCGCTTGCAATTCAGGAACTAGGAGACACGGGTTTGATCCCTGGGTCCGGAAGATCACCTGGAGGAGGGTATGGAAACCCACTCCAATATTCTTGCCTGGGAAATGTCACAGACAGACGAGCCTGGCAGGCTAGTTCGTGGGGTCACAGAGTCAGAAGCAACTGGAAGGATCCGCATGCCTCAGTGTCCAGAATCGCTCCCCAGAAAACCCAGCCAGAAGGGGAGAGTTAGGAAGGAAAGGCATAAGGCTGGTTCATCCTGGCACTCACCAGGGCAACTTGGAAATGACCTTGTCCTTATCACATCAAGGGGAGCTTGGGGGTCTCTGAGAAGATCTGAAGATTCAGGTAGACCCTGGAGAGCTAAAGCCCACTAGACCTCCCTCTGTCTCTCTGCCACACACACAAAACAGGCTTCTCAGGCGGCTGTACAGAAGGTCTTCTCTGAGGCCCAGAGCAAAGACATCTCCGCACACAGCACCCCGGGAGTGCTCTGTCCAGTAGCGGGGAAGGTTGGGACCTTCCTCAGAGAGGACCAAGGACTTCAAAACCACCGTTTCTCAGGGGTCTTGTTATGCCTCAGCTTCTCAAGAGGTGAGTCCTGCCCACCCAGCACTCCCAGGTCTCCACACCGCTGGAGCGGAAGCCTCAGTTCGGTCACTTGGAATCTTCCAGACAGGACCACGTTACAACAAAAGCCGACAACAACCGACAAAAGCCGCGTCACTCCCGGGGGGAGGGGGCTCCTGCGGAAGCTCCCCTGTCCCTTCTTGGCCTCTTTCCGAATCACCGCCGCAACCCTGAGACAGGGGCCCCGGCAGGACTGTGTTTTCCGATGTAACCCGAGGGTCCGCGAGGGAGAGGCTCGCTGAGCGCCACCCAGGTGGCCAGCGATAGGGCCCGGAGCCAACCACATCTGTCTGCTGCAGAGGCAGGGCCCCCGACACCAGGACAGACCTCCAGCGCTCTCCGCCCTCTGGCCTCACCGGGGCGCCCCGGGGCCTCATCTGCCCGTTTCGCCGAGGGAGAGAGGACGGAGGAGCAAGTGCCCTGACCGAGGAAGCAGCAACTCTTTGGACGACTTGGGGTAGTTTCTCAAACAACGTCTTCTCCTCCTAGACAGAGAGGGCCGGACTCTAGAGACGTCCGAAGAGTCCAGTCAGCATCTCTGGGTCGAGAGTCCCTCCGAGTCCGCTCCGGCCAGCGCCGCTGGCGGTTGGCTTTGTCCCCAGTACTCCCGCCCCAAGGGCCCCGAAAAGAACAAGGGGCTGGGGGCGTTTCCGCTTCGGCGGGACTCTGAGGAAAGACGGCGGGGTCCCGCCTTCCGGCGGCCGCTCCAGGAACCCCGGAGCTGCTGAGAACCAGCAGAGGAACAAACCGAGCGCGCGCCCGCCCGCCCGCCCGCCTCCAAGCGTCCCCAGGACCACCCGCCCGAGTCTCGCCCGAAGGGCAGCCGGGCCTTGGGGCTCAGGAGCTCAGGAGCGGTTCCCCCGAGGAGCGGCGTGTCCCGGACGACTCGCAAGCGGGTCCGCCGCTCGGGCTACACCCCCGACGCTCCTCCCGCTCGGGCTCACTTACCGTGCACCAGTCTCCGCATGTCTTGGTATCGAGCCCACAGGTGTGCGCTGGGCTCCGCGGCGCCGCCGGCCGGCGCCGGGGCGGGCGCGGAGCGCGGGGCGCCCGGGCAGTGGGCGCCGGGGCCCGGGGGGCCGCAACCAGGGCAGGAGGGCGAGGACGAGGCGGCTCGCGGCCCGCCGTGGTCTCGGCGCGGCAGCCAGCGCCGAGCGGCCGCCCGCAGCCCCGCACCCGCCATGCCCGCTGCGCGCCGTCCGCGCAGCCCTCGGCCCTCAGGCCAGTCCGCCGCCCCTCCGACTGCGCGCCCGCCACGGTGGCCTCGTGCTCCCTCACGGCGGCCGGCCAATGGGCGCGGCGCGCGGAGCCCGGCCGCCAATGGGCGCGCCCCTCGGCCCCGGCGGGGCGGGAGGTCCCGGGCAGGGCGGGGCGGGGCGGGCTGCCGGGCCCCTTCCCCCAGTCTCCCGAGAGGTTTAGAAGTCTGCGCCCCCCTGCGGTATCTGCTGAGGCCATGGCGGCTCTTTCTGTCCTCCCGGGAGGTCGGAATACCTAAGAACAGCCGTCCCCGCGAGGCTCCGGACGGCCCGGGCTTGGAAGGGAGAGGGCCACAGTGCTGCGGGTCTACCTGTGCCCCCCAGTCCTCTTTCTCCCTCTCTCCTCCTGGGTCCTCCCGCCCCTTCCTCCACCTCCTGTCTTCCAGACCTCAGATCCTCCGCCCCTTCCCCCAGTTCTGAAGCCGGGATCCTGTTCCCCGCCTCCCGCCCATGACTGGCTCTGCCAGTACGTTTCACTCACTTTCCTAGAGAATAAAGAGTTCTTCCCGCGCGCTCCCTGGTACCAGCCCCACGCTGGGTGAGACCTCGGGACCCGTAGTGCAGCCGACGTCCGCTGAAGCAGCCCCTTCTTTCTCCCGTCTCTGTGCTCACACAGGTGAACCCTGTTAACTTGGAGCAAGGCGGAGGACCCGGGATGACTGCGCCTGCCTGGTTCCTACCTCAGCAAATGGCCGCACCGACCCGCACCACTCCTCGGTTCCCCTCTCGGACCCCTCATGCTCTTCTAGCAGTATCAACAGGATTTCCAACGAAATTACTCTTTCCTGCTGGGAACCATTCTCCACCCGCGTTTATTTCACTCCTTCTTTTTCTGAGTCCTCAAACATCCGTGTCCTGGACCTTGAGCAGGCCTACCTTGCACGCGGGGCCTTGTCGGTGGAGAGCTGGCTAGCTAGACACTGTTTCCTTGAGGTGCTCTCCGCGGTGGCCTCGCCGGCCCTAAGGGTGTGCGTCCATTCTACTATTCCCTGCCCCTCGACTGAGGACCTACAGCGCCAGTCAGGTGCTGAGTGCTGGCACAGGATAATGAAGGCCATAGGTGGGCCCGAGGTGGTGGGTTGGTGGGTGCGGCCCCCACCCCCAGGGCCCCAGTGAACTAGGTGTGTGCTGGGGGTTTCGCCACCTGTAAGTCTCATCTGGGCAGAAGATGGGCGCTCTGTGGCGTCCAGCCGGCAGAGCCACCAAGAGAAGCCAGAGTGGACACCAAGCCGGTGTGTGCACGTGGCTTGGTAGGGTTTGCTCCAGGAGAAGGCAGGTTATCCAGGCAGCAGCTTGGGCCTGGCCGCTCAGCAGCGGGCCCTGCTACCCTCCAGAGTTGCTGCTTGATCTCTCTTTTCCAGCCTGTTTTTATATATTGTGTCTACATTACTAAACTCTCTTATTGATTCTAAGTTTTCATTTGATGTTCTTAGATTGTCTAATAGTCGGGGAATAACAGTAAGTGCCCCATACAGGATAGTTTTTATTAATGTTATAGTTGTTTGCCACAATATGCTTATTTAGACTTTTGTCGTGCTAAAGTTCAGCTTTCAACAGTGCATCTCACTGTTATTTTTAGAAGTCTAGGCATCAGTCACGATCACGAAATACATGCAAGGCGTTGTGTGATTGCATTTTAGAGCATGGTGCAGTACACGTTAGGTAGTACATCAGTGAGCGTCATCACTTCTCTCAGGACTTTAAGAGAAAAGATGGCGGTGGCAGAGTAGGGGGCGCGGCCGCCAACTCTTTTGAGTACCAGCTTGCACAAGGGAGGGCAGGGGGCGGGCCCGGGCCGACGCCACGTGGGAGGTCCCGCCCCTTGGCCCGCCCTGCCTCCAAGAGCAGCAGCGTCTACGCCTGCTGGCTCGGCCTCACCGAGCATGCGCACTCCGTCACATTCTGATTGGCGGACCTGCGCGTCCCGCCTCACTCTTATAGGTGGAGGCGCCCCAGGTTCTGGGTCCGGACCTCAGCGCCCAGCTCCTTACCCTCTTCGGGCTCCACTGTTGACCTCCGTAGAGGCGGTATAAGACCAGGATTGCAAGGCAACCTGGCCGTTGAACTCAGCAAGGACGGGCAGGGCGACTTTGGTTTCATCCGGGCGCTCCAGCCTTCGTTCCGCCTTACCCTTCTCCAACGACCTCCTATGTCCGGCATGTTTTCCAGGGCCCAGGTGAGGCGGGTTCTGCAGCGGGTGCCCGGGAAGCAGCGATTCGGCGTCTACAGGTTTTTGCCCTTCTTTTTTGTCCTCGGAGGAACGATGGAGTGGATCATGATTAAAGTGCGCGTGGGCCAGGAGACCTTTTGTAAGTAGGGGTGCAGCAGCAGCCTCCATTTCATTTCAAGCAAGCAGGAGGCGGCAAAGGAACCATGTTTCTGGGAATATTGTTAGGTTGCAGACCTCATTTCGCTCAGCGCTGAGCTGCTTTTATCCTGCAGAAGAGCGAGTAGAGTCTCCCTCAGTGGGGCGTGGAGATCCGCCTGGGCTCTCCTATAAGCAGGGCGACAAAGATACATTGGTGTCCAACTTTGAGACCTTCCCAGCACCTAGATCGGAGGGCACGTGACTGCACTCTGGACGCTGTCCTTTCAAGCCTGCCAGTGACACTGTTTGGGCCTAAGGAATAGACTTGCCCACAGCATCTAGAAGCGGGATAGGATATGTGTAAGCTCCTAATTGGCACGTCCAAACCCTAGAGGGAGCTGGTCTGCCCCGCTTAAATACCACTGTTTTTACAGGCCAGAGTCATGGGTACCAAGGGCAAGCACTGTAAACAGACTGCCTGGCACTGCTTTGCTGAGCACTAGCTCTGGACAGGATAGTTCCTCTTCCAGAAAGACTTCCCTAACTCCTAGGCCCTTTCTGCTTTCTCCCTCTCCAGAAACACGATCACTTGTGAACTGCCAACCCTCAATTAAAAAATAAATTAGTGGTTTCTGAAGATACTTAATTCTTCTGTTCATCCATTCATTAATATTTAATGACCACCGACGAGAAGATAGAGTAAGGCAGAGGGCTCCCCACCCGAGAAGAACACTAATGGGAGAGACAGATCATTCAGTTACTATTATGTGTGATCAGTTCTGTGAGGGGAAAGTGGAGGGAACATGGGATTCCCCGGTGGGGCACCTGAATTGTACTAGGTGGTGCAGGGAAAGCTGCCTGGAGGAGTTACCATGTCAGGGAGGCCCAAAGATTGTCAGCCAGATGAGGGAAACATTGGTGGTGTTGCAAGCGTCTTCTGCCAGTGGTAAGAGCAAACTTGGGGGCCTTGGTGCGCAAGTATGCTGTTTGAGGGACTGAAGCAGGTGAGCAGTGTGAGGGATGGCGTAGTTTAAAAGGTGCCTGGAGGGGCCACAAAGGGACCAGAGAACCAAGACTTAATCCCAAAGGAATGAAGCGTTTTAAGCAGCAGGAGGTGAATTTATGTGGTGAATCACTTTTTGTGGAGCGCAAACTGGCAGGAAGACTTCGGCTGTATGGTTGTCCAGGTTTGGGATGGTGGTCTAGAGTAGGATGATGCCAAGTAGAGTTGACACTCCAGAGGCAGTACTGACAAGGCTGTGGTGTTTGAGTGGACTCAGATGAGGAGTGGAGGCTTCTGGTGGGGCAGCTGGGGCAGGGGGAACTCAAGCAGAACAGTCCTGGGCTCCATTTTGCATGTGCTGACAGGGAGATGGTTATATAGACAAAAGGCAGATCTAGGCTTTAGATCTAGGTTAGTGGGTCACTCACATGCAGATTGTGATAAAAGTTAGAGCTTAAGCCCCAACATTTTAAGGGTGACTGAGAGTGGCCAGAGAGGCAAGGAGAGAAACAAGAAGGGTTTTTTATCATAGAAGACAGGCGGTTCAGGAAGTTCAACAAAGTGGGTGGGAGGTAAGCTGTCTCTCCTCTACCAGGAGAGACAGGAGAATATGCAAATACTGATCAGGACAGAGCAGGTGGAGGGAGGCTGGATATACCCTGGCCCTTGAGAAGGTGGGAGAGGATGGGATCTGAGCAAGGCGGAGTACCCCTTGGAAGTCAGTGGGAAGAGTTCTTTACTGATGACTTTTCTTTCTGTGCAGAAAGAGTTCATGGCCATTTGGGGGTGAGCAGGTAGGGTCAGGGCCATGGCTGAAGCAACAGGATTGTCAGGCATCATAGTGGACCCAGTTAGGTACAACACCCACAGTGCGTAGCAAGCAGAGTGAGGCATGGAGAAGGAAGGAAGTTGCATCAATCTGTAGTTGGGGTTTTGAAGGTTTATCAAGAAGCTGGTACTAATAAGAGGGAATTTCAGCTGGTTTGGGCAGAAAGAGAGAACAAGGAGCTGAGGAAGTTGGTAAAGATCCAAGGACAGAAAGGCTGCTAGAAAGCGAGTAGAGGTTGTGGTCAGAACAGAAGGAATTTATTACTTCAGAGGAAACTTGCAAGCTGAGAAGTCAGGTAGATGAAGGGGGCTATTGCTTCCTATCTGTTGGGTGTGGTGTCACCTGGGAAGGTGGCACAGGACAGGGTCAAGGAACCTGAGCTGAATGCCAGCATTGTCAGAGACTGAAGGGTAATGACGGACGGCAGATGCCAGGGCAGGTGGTGGCAAATGGCAAGGTCCCGGAGGAAGAGGGTGGAGAAGCAGCAGCTGAGAACAAGGAGACTGCCCTCACCTCCCTGCCCTGAGTTCCTGGGTGTGACAGAAGGAGCAGCAGAGAGCTGTAGGGTTGGAAGTGCCTAAGAGAGGACAGTTAAGACAGATGGTTTCAGAGAGAAGTGAAATTGCTAAGAGCTGTGCTGTGACATGACCCTATCTTTGAGGACACTGACTCTGACCCTGCTATTGAGAACTTTAACATAGTCCTCCTTTAAATCAAGTCGTGTGTTAAGTTGATTTTGGGATTAAACATTATTGTTGAGATTCAGGTGATAGATCTAGACTACTGGTTAAATTACTCAGATATGTATTTTTAATTCCTTAGTTTCTTAAAAATCTAAATCAAATCTTTTTTTGATACAGATGACGTCTACCGCAGAAAAGCCTCAGAAAGACAGTATCAGAGAAGGCTGCAAGATGCATCAGAGACTGAACTTCAGCAGTCAATAAAGTAAATATGAAACTTTACTACTGCTTTCAACTCCTTTTAAAATGTATTTTCCAGGTCTCTTGTTCTTACACAGAACTGCCTTTATAAACAGTTTTTCTAGTTTTCCTGTCCCTGCTTGAAGACTTCCCAAGTCACTGATGGACAGCACTTGTGGGAAAATTATTTCCTACTGAAACAACGGAATCTAGTCCATGAGACATTTCTTAAACAATTCAAGGATGAATCAGGATGCTTTTCAGTGTACCCTAAATTGTGAAGTCCTTTGTTTTAGGCAACCAGGGAAAACCTAACTTTTTGCTGAACTCAAATTTAATATGAATGAAAGTAAGGTCCCTACTGCAGGGTCATTTAAATGAGGATGACTATGCAGATTGCATTTCTGCTAGCTACCAATTGGTGAACATTTTGCTAGAATGCAAACACACCTCACTCACGTTGTGAACACCAACAACCCATTCCCTTGTTTGACTCCACTAACATCAAGGGCTGGACCTCTGTGAGGACTGGGGACCAACAGGCTTCACTACCCTCTGTGAGGAAGATGCTGCTTTCATCTAGCTGCTGGACACACTGCTCATTTCCCAAAAAAGTGAATCTTCACAGCACTGAGCAACCACAGACTTGAGTTAAATCAGAGGCTCAGGCTATAGGGAGAGTTTGCAATCTGACCCAGAAAAAGTCTCAATCAGGCGGTAGAAAAGCAAAGGCATCTTTCCAGGGTTGGATAACCACATCTAACATCTTTTCAAACAAAAAAAATATTAAAGAATATTTTAGATATTAGTTTTAATATTAGATTTAATATTTTACATATTAAAGAAGACTAAGTTGCAAAATCATTTCTACCTATTTACTCATGAATAAAAAAGCTGATGCTTAAGGCCACAGGTATTATCAAGTTAAAGATCTCTGCCACAAATACATTGAAAACTAAGATCATGGCATCCGGTCCCATCACTTCATGGCAAATAGATGGGGAAACAGTGGAAACAATGGCTAACTTTATTTTTCTGGGCTCCAAAATCACTGCAGATGGTGATTGCAGCCATGCAATTAAAAGACGCTTACTCCTTGGAAGGAAAGTTATGACCAACCTAGATAGCATATTGAAAAGCAGACACATTACTTTGTCAACAAAGGTCCATCTAGTCAACGCTATGGTTTTTCCAGTGGTCACATATGGATGTGAGAGTTGGATGGTGAAGAAAGCTGAGCGCTGAAGAATTGATGCTTTTGAACTGTGGTGCTGGACAAGACTCTTGAGAGTCCCTTGGACTGCAAGGAGATCCAACCAGTCCATCCTAAAGGAAATCAGTCCTGAATATTCATTGGAAGGACTGATGCTGAAGCTGAAACTACAATACTTTGGCCACCTAATGTGAAGAACTGACTCATTTGAAAAGACCCTGATGGTGGGAAAGATTGAGGGCAGGAGGAGAAGGGGACGACAGAGAATGAGATGGTTGGATGGCATCACCGACTCAATGGACATGGGTTGGGTGAACTCCGGGAGTTGGTGATGGACAGGGAGGCCTGGCATGCTGCAGTTCATGGGGTCGCAAAGTCGGACACAACTGACTGACTGAACTGAAGGGATTTAAGTCAGTTCATTTATGTTAGAACCAATTTAGTATAAATAAATAGCCACTCACCACTCACCTCATTAAAGCACTACTGAGACACTGCTCAGACATGGCTTGAGTATGAAGTCCAGTGATGACCAACAGCACCTGGGGGAGGAAGGTAGTCCTCACTCGCGCTTTTGTCACAAGAGTTCCTGGTGACCTTAAACCTCATGGTTATTTTAATGATTAGACTTTTGAACAATACATTTACATTGTGACCTAACTCCATTTTTTTCCCCCTGGCCCCAGTTTTAGAAGTTTAATACTTTGTACATACATAAATATGTAGCATACATACCTTTTACAAAGAGAAGTTGTAAATGCTAATAAAACCATCAGCTACCTTCTGTGTCTGCTGTGGTTTCCTTCCCGCTTCCATCCCAGAAACAATCTCCAGTCTGAAATTTGTGCCTAACTTCCCTAGAGTTTTCCTCATCATCTTTTTTAAATAGAAGTATTGGAGTGCTGATTTAAGACAACAAACCTTTGAGGATGACACAACAATGTCTGACTTCAAGGGAAGTAGAGCAATTACTGTATTAAATTGAAGATACTTTCAAAGCACATTAATACGGATGGTACAGAACTAATTTTTTTTAAACCATTGTGGAGGCTTTTAACTTTGCCTCAATTTTTTAAAGCCTTCTACTAAAAGAATATGACTATGCACTTATCAGACACTAGGGTTATTTAAGGGAGCTTTAATAGTTTAAAGAGCAATGCTCTAATAAGCAGCTTACAGAAGTGCAGTGCCCCCTACTGTGAACTACACAGACAAAAAACTTACATTTAAAAAACCAGGATACTTTAGGATCACAAAAATCTAATTAGCATTTACTGCTAGAAGTCGATGTCCACTGGGGTGCTAGGGGAACTACCTGGGCTTTGGAACTTCACTTTATCATCTGAATGGATACGGAAAGGACCCAGGCACAGAGTAAATACTCAATAAGGGAGGGCTATCTGTGTTCATCTAGCAGTCCTGTTTTGAAAATTTTGCCTGCATCTCTGAAGTTATAGCAATTCAATTAATCTGTTTTTAGAAGTTTGGATTTTTCACAGAGTTACTTTTCTTTAAAAAAACAAAACAACAACACTTGGACCACTGTGTTTTCCAGAACAATCTCTCTCCTAATAAAGTATGCATGTGCTTTAGTCTTCACACATTTATGCGCAATCCACAAGATGTGCATTCTACATCTATTTGGGGGATAGCGTCTATTAATTTGTTCAGGTATGAACTTTCATTCAGCTGACCTAGCAGACTTCTGAATGAAGAGGGAATAGAGTAATACCTAGCAGTATTGCTCAGAGTATGTAGCTGGAATGTTTAACTATACATCAACCATCATCCACAGTATGTTCATGACCACAGGTGGCAGTACAGCCCTAAACTCTTAGGAGAACCGAACCACAGGGATTTGCAAAGTGATATTAGAGGAAAACAGTTGGTTGATTTTACCAACACTTTCTGTTAAAAGTGTGGCCATTTTTTAGGAGCTTATAAGCATGATAAAAATATTTCCCGGCCACTTGTCTCCTCTGGCCACACATCTAATTGAAATGGGTCACACTGACTTATGATACAGGACATGCTTCCTGACCTTCCACCGTCAGTAACAACTCCCTCTGAGACTTTTAACTTCAACCTGCACTGCTGAGGCCATGTTAGGACTAGGAATCCCTGACTGTCAGTCTGAGAGGTGTGGCATGGGCACATCAGGCTGTGGTGTGATTATACTCGGCTTCTGTGTTAATGCAGCCTGAGCCCTGGACCAGGGTCGGGACACTGACTTTTGCCTGTACCTGAGGAGTGCTTTTCCTTTAAATTGGCAGCCGTATCCCTGTCAGCATAAAATCAAGGTTTGCAGGAATTAAACCTGCTTGAAACTAAACATCTGTCTGACACAAGCTTTAACAGAACAACCAAACTTGGTTAATCCCAATCACTTTGCAAACTCCATTTTTATTTGGATTAAAAAGCTTTAGGTGAACAAACATATGATACATACATATTATAAGACTAGTTACCACTTGAACCTTTTTTGATACAGAAGTTAGAATAAACCAAGTTTTAATCAGGTCTGAAAATGTTCAAATTCAAAAGTCAACAACACCAATTTGGAGATTTTACACAAAGAAGAGTCCCCTCTTAATTGTTCCTCATAGGAAGGAAAGGGGGAGGGCGGTTCAAAAAACAAAGCAATTCAAGCCTTTTAAATCAGTTAGCTGACATACTGTTTTAAACCTATAGGTCTTTCCCCCCACATAAACAAAATTCTTTTCCACATGAACTTACATTTTGAAAACATTTAGACTATTATACTTTCTAAGCCATATCACTACAGTTCCTAAAGCTCACGGAAAAAAAAAAAATGTATAGTTCACGTGTACCTTTTAAAGTCCATACATTTTTTTCTTTTTCTTTTCTTTTTGGAAAATGGCTGACCTCAAATCTTATATCCTAAAATATTAACTGATATTCTCCAAGTCAATATACAGAAAGACATGATTCTAAAATAAATACATAAGAGTTTAAAAAACAACAACAACAACAAAACTTACTTAGGGCCTGCCTCGTGGCCCTCCGGCCCGGCTCTGCACTGCCTTAGGGAAGCCCCTGGCTGGATCTATGGTTCCTACAGCACCTCTAGACACTGGGAAGGAGCCTGGAGGAGGAGTGCTCTGGCTTCTATTGCCCCACATAGCCCACAGTGAAGAGTTTTTAGAGGCTTCCCAAAAGAAGTCTCTTCCAGACCTTAAAAAGGGAAATAAGATGGGTGCATGAAATAAATAAATAACTTAACCAAAATTAAATTTCAGGTTCTTTGGTGTAATTCAAGGATGCCTAGAAATAAAATAATCTGATTGTATTATACAGTCCATGATGAAATGGCCCAAATAACCAGGAACTGAAGATTTCTTTATCTGATTCAGTTGAACAATAAGGTACTGACATACTACTGCAAAACATTTCTTAAAATTCAGAATTATTTAAAATACTTGATGCAAATTGAGATCCAGTGGTTGACTATAGGCAATTAAGATACAAGGACCTTCTGTATTTAAAGTATCTAGATACAAAGAGACTTTTTTCCATTCTGGACTCTCTTGTCCCCATGATTTAGTAAGAATAGTGATTAAATATCCAGGTATTGATTCATACCAGATAAAAAGAAAAAAGTATCCTCTGAGAATCACTCAATTTACAAAGAGCAGTGGAAGCTTCGCTACAATGGCAACCATCTTGCTACAATGGCAACTATCTTGCTACAATAAAGCAGGTTTCAAAAATGCTGACTGAAATACTGTTCCACGTTTGATGCTTTCTACCTGTCTGAGCATTATATATTGCCTACAATTGTTTTTTTTCCAGGATCATATAAGAGAGACAGGGTCATCAAACCTGTGTCTGGGATCTATAATGGTCTTTTTGGTGAGCATTTTCTGAAATTATGAGTCCCTTCTGAAATTCAAAAGCACAAGCTACATTTTAAAATTATTTCAGAAAATCTTAAACTTCTGGTTGAGAATTACAACCCGAAACTTTGGAGGAAAAAAGAAAAAAAAGCCATATTTGATGAGGAAAGAAAGCATACTAAAACATATTTGCATAGGCAGGCAATTCAGCCTCTTACAATCATGCTTCTGAAACAGCCCATATCCAGTTAATGCACTCCCTTCCCTAAGTTAGGTTAGGTGTTATGTTTAATAAATCACCCTCCAGCACACCTCAATACTTTCTTCAAGATGAACTTCCATTGTTTCAGTGTAAGAGATTTGAAGTTTTAAATCGTCTTAACATGTATAGGCATAAATTGTGAATTCATTATAAAAAGATCAAGAGTACCCTTAAACTTACCTGCCAAGACTAAACATAATACAGGGTTGTGCACATGTTCTGCAAAGATAACTGACACTACAGATGTCTAACTCAGAGCAAGAAAAAGTGCTTTCTCCCTCCGGGTGTCCAGGAGACATACTAGCTACAGAAGACTGCACAGAGCTAACTTCAGATTTCTGAGTTACTAGAGCAAATGTGCCATGTCTGTCAAACATCTATCAAGTAACTAACAACCTTTTACTTTACCTGGAAGAAAACAGTTTTTGCAAAAGTGGCTTAAGATATTTAGGCACATGAAACAGACACAAGTACACCCCCCTCCTCTAAGATGTAAACTAGGACCAACTTCACATTTCATTGTCAACTTAAACTAATCTGTAAACTCTTTTGTATGTGTTTTTTTTTTTCCATTTTGTTTGTTATTTAAAAAAACAAACAAAAATACCAACCAAAAAAATGAAAAACAAAAAACCCCAAGCCAAGACAAAACCTCTGATGGTTTCAGCTCTATGGCAACAAGTAAAAAGGTAAAACTCCGAGTCTAAATATACAACCAATTATGAAACTGGTTTTAAACGAAGGAAACATATGCAAAAAAAATCTTTGTGTATTTGATAAAGTCAACTTAATATAACAAAAACAAATTGAAATAGCTTATTAAAAGTGTCCTTATATAAAAATGGCCTTGTGATGTACAGTAAAATGCAATAAAAATTGTCATCCTTTTTTCCTCCCCCCACCCCCAGTAACTAAAATGGCTACTGTTCCACAAAACTCTTTATGCTTCTATAAAAGAAACGTAATTGACGTGATTAAAGGTTTTCTAGATTGTATGCTTGGCGAATGTTAAGGGTGTCTCGGAGCATCAGATCCCGAAGGCGCCACAGGGCATCTGCCATGGTGGTGTGGGCCCCTTTACTTTTTAGCCAGTGAGAGGGAAGGCGGCTCTCCTGTTCTTTTGACAAATGGACATCACGTCTTCGAGCTGAAAATGGAAGTGTGGACAGAGAAATGTAAACATCAGTCCTAAGGTCTGATAGATTTATTGAAATGTGAAACATTTGCTATTTATTAAATATTATGAAATTTAACTCTGCAGAATATTTCCCAGAAAATTTCATATATTGTTTTCTAGGCATATTGTTTTGTTTTGTTTTTGTTATTTTTTTTACTTATTTGCCACACCTCATGGCACATGGGGTCTTAGTTTCCTGACCAGGGATCGAACCCATCCCTGTGTAGTGGAAGCTTGGATTCCTAACCACTAGACCACCAGGGAATTCTCTGACATCTTGGTTTTTAGAAAACTATTTAACTTAGGTATGAGACAACCTAGCCAAGGATGTCTCATTTCATGCTTTACAGTTTAGAACTAATTTCTAAGTTACTTCACAAGAACTGCACAATGTAACAAAATTACTAGAATTGGGAACATAAGAGTTGCACAAACAGCTAAAAGATCTGACTACTAGCATTTTGTTGTAGACACTGGTGATACTTAATAACTTCAATACTAACACAAATTCCTAAAAAGGTAAATGTGACAAAAGGGAAAACTATCTACTACTCTTAAAAGAAATCAAATGATCAAATCTGGCTTAGAAATGAAGAATGAACTGTTGATGTTTAGTCGTTAAGTCATGTCTGATTCTTTTGTGACCCCATGGACTACAGCCCGCCAGGCTCCTCTGTCCATGAGATTCCCCAGGCAAGAATACCAGAGTAGGTTACTACTTCCTTTTTCAGGGCACCTTCCTGACCCTGGGATCAAACCTGCATCTCCTGCATTGGCAGGTGAATTCTTTACCACTGAGTCACCCGGGAAGCCCCTGAAGAATGGATGGAAACTTCCGAATTTCTCTGGAAACTTGGCAAGTTATTTCAGTATGTACTGAAAATATGTTAAGCCTGCTGAACTAGATGAGTAATGTGATAGATTAGAAACATGTCTTCCAACAGTACTTTTATCTTTTTTAAAAATTGAGATGAAATAATTTTTAATTTGCCCAAATGCATCTATGTTATGCCCAAATGCCTGAAAAATAGTTGGAAAAATTCAGAATATACTTATTGAGATAGCATTGATGTTTATGATAAAAGGAAGCTTTGAAACTCAGCAAAAAAAAAAAAAAAAACTTTCAGTACATGACATCAATATACAAAACTGCAAACACTTTAGCTAAATATACATTTTACTTAAAAAGGCCTTCCTCAGGTTTGGTTCCAGATCACGACAATAAAGCAAATCATATTAATTTTTTGGTTTCCCAAGTGCAAGTAAAAGTTCCATTTATACTATACTGTAGCCTATTAAGTGTGTAATATAGCATCAAGTCTAAAAAAGCAACATGGGTACCTTAATTTTAAAAGACTATATTGCTAAAAACTATCAGGCATCATCTGAGTGTTCAGCAGGTTGTAATCATTTTATAATGGTAATGTCAAAGATTGTTGATCACAGATTCACCATAACAATTATAATAATAATGAAAAAGTTGGAAGTATTGTGGAAATTACCAAAATGTTAACACAGAAACACGAAGTGGCCACATACTATTGTAAAAATGGTGCTGACAGACTTGCTCATGGGGGTGCCACAAACTTTAAATTTGTAAAAAAAACCAGTATCTGAGAAGTGTAATAAGGCAAAGTGCAATAAAACAAGGTATGCCTGTATAAGAACAATGGATACTTATGCTATAATCTGCCAATAGCAGCAGGAGGACTTTGATAAAGCACAGATTTTGAAAAGGCTTCTCCAGAAGGAGCTCTCCTTACCTGCCAGAGTCTGGTCCCACTTGCTAATGCTGCCGGACTCAGCGCTGAGTCCTTCGATGTATTTTAGGTAGGCCTCTGAGTGGAGAAGTCGTTGGGTCTTCGGTGGGGGAGCCACAAACATGGGTGTTGTTGGCTGCTGTATGACAGGGGGGCCAGCAGGATGTGGGCCAGGATATGGAGGTGGTGCCTGCTGCCCTGGAGGCCCCAGAACACCTACCTGAAAGAGCACAGATACACAGTAAGGGGGGAAAATACTCAGCCTATGCTCTGAGAAAGAGGGTAACTTGAATTCTGTTGAGTCCTAGAAGATCCAACTTGGAGGCTCACCTGCTGTCCATACGGACTTCCACCTGGCGCTGGAGTCCCTACCATAGGGGCCACTCCTTGGTTCATCACACCTATAATTCAGAATTACAGGCACAATTAGAGGTTCTGAGATGAGAAGACTGAAAAACTGTCTGATAAGAAATGTCATTTAAAATGCAAACCTATGATCACCGCCCTGAGTCTTTGTGGAGAGGAGCCCTAAGCACCCAAAACCTATATACCTATATGTAGCATCATATAGAAAATTCATGTTCTTTTGTTTTCTAGGTACTCTAAATACAAAGCTAGGAGAATCTGTCAGATGTATATTAATTACTCATGGCTGAGAAATAATTTGAACTCTGCAGAGAATTCTAATATTTCCCTAGGTAAGCTATAGTCAGAATACAACTCTATTTTCAAGGCCTTTTTCTTTCAACAACACAGTTTCCAGCACCGGAAGCCTGTGTTTAATATCAGCAGTGAGAGCACTGCAACCAGGCTCAGCTGTATGCAGTGTGTTGGGACAGCAGGGACTAAGGGTGGAGGCTGTGCAAGTACACACGTCAGTGACCTCTGTGGAGGCTGGAGGCACATTCCTGCTGTCCCCGCACAGGCTACCAGCACTCTGGTTCTGACGAGAGTCACTGATGCTGGCAGAGAGGGGACACTGCCCTCTGAGAGAGCAGCACTTTGAAAAGGGATCATCTGGAAGCAGGGCAGCCCTTGGTTGCTATCACCTCAAATGCAAAATGACAAAGAGAAAGGGAAAGATCCCGTGGTCTCACTACATTTAGTCTTTGTACTCCTGGTGACTCCTCAACAAGCAATTTCTGTCTCATATGTCCTGGTTGATAATAATGTGATGTCCTAAATTTAGCATCTGGGGCTATTTTAATCTCAGGATCATCCATTTTCTAGTCTCATGAAAACAGAGAAACAGGCAAGGGACCCAGTTTGCTAAAAACTAACAAACTATTAATACAACCAAAACCCTGGAGAGATATTGTTTAACTTTAAACAAGTCCAGCTAGCTGCAGAGAAGGATGAATAAGAGCTAGCTTTGTATTCTATAGTTTCTCTGGATTAAAAATGGTGTTATTTCGACCAGGCAGAACTGACTCACTATTCTAAGGTTCAGAATTGCTAAATATCAAGAAGTATTACACATCTGTTAAAGAGAAAATAGTAAGTGAAAACAAACTTTCTGTTTACAAAGCAGGGATTTTGATGTTCCAAGGACCCAGAAGGGTACCTGGATCATAAGAGTAGGATCCTAGCGATTATTTGTCAGTGGGTGAAGAGGCTGCAGTGGGTAAGTTGCTGTTCCAGCAACATATTATTAACCCCTGCCCCCCAACCCTGCCAGGACACTCACGCACTTTATATTTCACAACACTGGGGGGCTCCCTGAGCTGTCTGTATCAATCTTTGCAGGGCAGCGCAAACAAATCAGCAACCAACCCCCTATGCTTCCTGGTTACAAATGCCATGCCATGGGGCAGCTGGTGAGACTGCGGGCTGACTCACCAGAGGAGTTCACAAAACTTCCTCTCCTTGAAGCCTGGTCGGATATGGGTGGGTAGACACTAAGAGAGGTTCTTCCCTGCCTCCCTGTCATCAGGTATGTTAAGGTTTTTTCAAATGCATTTAGAATCTGGAGAAGGGGGACAGGGAAACATCTGTCCCCCAATACCCACCAAAAGACCAGTTACCTAGAGGGTACTGGACTTAGGTGTGGTTCCTACCAAATAACACACACACCTGGGGGTCACCTCCAGCCTCGTCTGACTGCTCAGTCAGACACTCTATGCCGAGGGGAGAGGGCACAGAATTAAAGCCAACTCTATCTGTGACAGGGGCACACCCATTTTATGACTTACACTTATAGTCCAGCTTACTCAGTCCACCACTTCCATAATGAAACACCCACTCCCACAAACGTTTCTTCCTCCGGTTAGGTCTGCATCAAACATTTCTGGGAGTTATGGCCATTTTCTAAGCAACACTCACACCACAGAGTGTCACTGGAGACGCTAGGCCAAGCACCAAGTTGGCTCACCCTTCGTACTGTGGGGCATACTTTGTGAAGCATGGTTTGGAACTCTTCATAGCTGCAGGACTGGTACAGCCAAGACTGTTATAAGCAAATCTAATGTTTCTATATTCTGTCATCTGGGCCAGGTCTTTAGCTAATATTCTGGATAATAGATCAAATGCTATTCCAAGTCATCCTAAGGCCACTTTCCCTCCAACTAGATTATGTCTAAGGGTTATTTTTCTTTTTTTTGGATATGATGGGAACTGGTGATTTTTCCTTTCATAATAATCTTTCAATTTGCTAATTAATTATAAAGTAAAACTGTAATCTATTTCTGAACTCCATTTATATGTTTCTATATGACATAACTTCTGGGCTTCTGCTGACAGATGAACCAGTGTCTACAGTTACCAGGGTGGACTATGCTGTTCTTTAAATGCTATGTCATGCTTCTTCGGGGACTCAGACACAGAAAACTAGTTCAGTGCAAGTTCTTTCTCTCCCTCCTTTCTGTTCCTAGAAGGACTGACTGAAGAGTTTCTGAAGAGTCCTACATTAGCAACTCGGTAATCCCCTTAGAGGGGGGGTGTTGTTTGAAAAGCAAAAGATGGAGCAAGGGCTCCATACAAAAGACCCTTTGAGATAAGAACTGAACCAGAGGAAGAAATGGACCCAGGAGCAAAAACTGCTTTTCATGTGTGACTCTAGCCATTTGGGAAACTTCATTCGATAAAGAGAGCAGACCATGTCTATCAAGGCTGTGTCTGCTTTCTGAGCATTTGCCGAACTGTTTGAGGGCTTCCAGAGCATGCCCCCTGTCCCCTCATCTGCCGAGTCTAGTTTCTTGTCATGTGTCCTGTGCCGCTGCTAGGCAGCCAGTGCTCAAGGGCACAGGTGCTGAGCCACCTGCTCAACACACAGGACAGGTCCTGCAGCTGACATCCCTGGGGTTCTCAGTGAGGGAAGCCCTGCCCACATGGGCAGCAGGTACCTCCTGGAACAAATGGCTGAGGGAGGAAAAAGAGAATATGAAGATGAGATTAATGAGTGAATGAGGATGAAGTTCTTACCCGGTGGTGGGATGCCCGGGAGGCCGGGCACACCTGGCGGAAGATGGTGGGGTGGAGGCCCCCCAGGGTGAAGTGGCTGCATGCTGCCCATGCTAACAAGGCCATCAACTGGGCCCTGCAAAGGTGGAAGGCCTGGCGGATAGCCACCCATCATGCCTTGAAGGACACAACAAATTTCAGACATGCATCATTAACATGCAACATGAACTAAGTAATAACAACCCCCCCCCACATGCACTACTAATGAATAAAGCGCCCTTAGTACTGCATGATATAACAATTAGTGCAATTATTTTGTTGCAATAATGAACAAAATAAAACGTTACAAATATGAAATATATTTCTGGATGAATTAGTACTTAGTATATTATTATTTGTAGTTACTCTCCCTGGGATAAATACACTGCATGTTTTCAGTTAAATAATAAAGAGGAGTTGTAGTAATAGCCTTCCCAAGGTCATGATTATTGCAAGCTGTTCAAACAGAGTGACCAGTTCTGTCTACTGCGATTCTACTGAACAGTATAAACCCCATCATTCCACTATGCCCACACTCATATGCCTATCACGGGTACACATGAGGGGAAACTGAAATGGAGGAAATGAGGCGTACAGCCCTGATCACAAAGCATGTTTCTCCAGCATGGGGGGAGGTGGGCAAGAAGTTTTCAAGACTTCTGTGTCCATTCCTCCTCCCTTCTAGCCCCGCCACTGCTGGTAAGAATGGAGCATGCTTGAGCTTGAGCTGGGGAACAGCTAAGAGTCATCACAATGACTGATGCTTCATCTTTAGATTTCCAAACATGATAAAATAAAGATAAAGCCTCCCCCCTCTCTCCACCCCACCTCAAGCCAACCTAAGCCAGTCACTCAGCAGCTTGTGCGCAGGCCTTAGGAGGGACAGCTGGAGAAGCAGGCTCTGCTGACATGAGAAGATGCCAACTGTCATCACTGTCTCCAAGCGCACAGATGTCCTCACAGACCTTCAGTCAACAGGGAACATTTTAAAGGAGGTGCAGAATTTTTCTGAACAGAGATTTTCATTCCTTTATTTTCAAAGTGCATCGTCACAACACAAAATACTTTATGCTAGCTAGGGAATAATTTCAAGAAACAAATATTTTTGGCAAAGAGAGTGAAAGGAAGAAGAAAATTTCAAAATGTCAGAGACTCACCTATCAAAAGAACTTTAAAGCCACATGACATTTTTTAATTCAAGAAAAACAGATTGATTTTTTTTCTGGGATTTGAAATGATCACAATGAACAAAACACAAGGCTCCCCCCAAAATGCAATCATCTTTGGTCACAGCTTCTTGCACAAAGGGAGTGTTGAGGAATTGGTGCCAAACCGCATTTTTATTTATTTATTTTTTTTCAAACCTCATTTTTATATAATTCTCTTTGTATTACAGAGGAGTTCTAGATACAGCGGAAAACTGCAGATTCTAAGAATTTTATTTTTTGACTTTCCCTGAAGAATTGTTTGAGAGGTATTTATTTTTAGTCCTTTGAAGCTATAAAATTACTGAAAATTCTTGAGGTTGATTGAGCTTGCCTCATTGGTCATATCTAAGCTAAGAAACCTACAATTACACAAATGATTAAAATAAGTTTTAAATAATAATACCTCTGTACATAAACTAGGACTATGAATTTCCTTTTTCTTAGAGTTCAGAGAGTAAAGAACAGACACCATAATCTTAATTATGAGAAGATCCAACGCTACCAAACTGTCTTTTAACCATTACCACCAGATAGTTTTTAGGGATAAGTAGGTGGGAGTTTAAGAATGTTAGGAGGCTTTGCTTTCAATTACAAAAGCCCATCTGAACGCAGCCTACACAGGCTGTGGTTGAAGAAATTATTAAGAACCAAAAGACATGACACTTGTCTTCATTAAACTGTACTTTGGCATTTATTATCCCAGTCACATGTGTTCAAATGAGCTTCAATGCTTGTAAGCAAAGCTGGTCTCAGACAGCAACAAGGCTAAGAATCAGGCACTATGCAACCTGTAAACCCATGAAAAAAATCACCCTCTTAGCTACAAAATTCCTGCTGTGGACCAAAGACTGGTTCCTGTAGAGAATGCTTGCCCTGCACTCCCATGGCCCAGAGGTCTGGGCACCATATGCTTAATAATGGAGCAGGGGCTTTCTAGAAGGGGGCCTGCCCTCCTCACCCATCAGAGTTCTATGAAGTCATTCCCCAACAGGGAGCTAAAATGCTGCAGCTGCTGTTTTTTTAATGTTTTTAGCTGTTTGAATTCATTTTGTTAATGTGTCCCTGGGCTTTTTAGTCAAGGGCACAGTGCTAGAATATCACACATCAAATAGAACAAAAGAGAATGTCAATGAGGGAATTCTAACTTTCAAAGTCCCCATGTTCAAGGTCTGATTTCTAAAAACCTCTGGAACCCCATTAACCAAAATGGGCCATGGAATAGAGCAGGCGATTATGAGATTTGTTAGATCAACATCAGTTACACTGAGAGTACTGAAAGCCATGATTCAGATGTGCTTTGGCGAGTGCAACTGCTGAGTTCAGCGATAGTGCATCTGAGAACTTGCCATCACAAAAGGTAGGAGCAACAATGGAAAAGTTATCCTATGCTACTCTGCCTTAAAAAGCAAAAAAAAAAAAAAAAGCGAAAACAAAAGCAGCATCCCAATGAGCTTGTCTTGAACAACACTATCTTACACTCCCTGCAAAGAGGTCAGACTGCTCGCTTAAGAAGAAACACAGCTTGGATGAACCTCACCAGGCTTAGAGAGATCAAACAAGAGGGACCTGAGAAGTGGTCTGCAGGCTTCTCATTGGAGACATGTCAGACAAGAATATTCAATTCAAGAATGGCCAATTTTGCCATGGCTACCAGAACCAGAGACAACACACACAAGCAAACCACATTCATCATTTTCTTTTCTTTTTGGAAAAATATGTGACTGGGATACTAACAGAAAATGCAGTTTAATGTAATTAAATAGAAAAGCATTACAGAGTGGGCACAATGAATTGAATAAGGACTTTGTATTCTACTTAGCAGTCATGCACATTGGTGACCAAGAAAGGATTTACAATTCACTGTCAAAAATCCTTTTAAATGGTCAGTCTTCTAAAGGATGGCTGCAGCAGAACAAGGCAAACTGAATACTGGGATGAGATGGGAAAATCATCATCTCCTAAAGACTAGTTTTGTGTTTCCTCTTGGGAGTCCCTCCAGAACAGAATCCGGGGTCTGCTTATATTTTCTGCTGTAGAACTCTATCCAGAGCAGTCTGGGGTGCAGAATATCGCCAGACCATGCCCACAGCCAGGGGAGAGCTGCTCTCTACCAATTCCCAGGGTTGGGCCCAGGGCCCATTTCTGGGGCAGAGGGGAGGCATTGCCCATAAGGGAAAGGCGATATAAGGACAACGTGGATGATTCAAACTCTGAATCTGTCGTGAGAAGAGCCTAGAGACTGTGGCCTACTCCTTGTTGGAGAAAAAAAAAAAAAATGAAGGAATTTCTTAAAGTGGAAAAAAAAATGGTCTTAGCTCCTGTTTTTACCTGCAACAGGTGTCAACTGCTGATTGAGCATCCCCATTGGTGTTGGTGGTGGCACCACCCCCATGAGAGCCCCCACAGGGGTGCCTGCTCGGGGAGAAGCACTCGGCTGCTGTTGCTGTGCTGCTCGCTCTCTCTCCTGCTGCTCAGCAACTTTAGCTGCCCGCTCTGCAAAGGCATTTCAGATTTTCAATTCTGTTTTTAACCCAGGAATTCAAAATACCATCCATTGCATTCAACAGGACTAGTTAAAAAAAAAAAAAAAAAAAAAAAAAAACACAGGCAACAGTTCTGTCTCAATGGAAGGAACAGTAGATGACTAGTCTCAACACAGGAGGAGTCGGGCCGATTTCACTCGGTAACCTAGAGTCCAGCTTTCCTATCCCATCTTGAGAACTGGTCTGCAAAGATTTCAAGAATGTTAAGACTGCAACACACATTCAGAAAGCACAGATTTTATTTAAAAACGTCACCAGCATAACCAACGTGGTTAATCTCACAAGGCACCCTGAAGATGAGAAGCGCTACCATTATTCTAGTATTAATAGCATTACAAATTTTTTAAAAATTTCAACATGAAGCAATTCCATGGCCCATTATAATTTTTGGCACAATTGTTACTTACTATATTTTCCTGATATGTTGCACCCAATTTTACTAAGATTTGAGGACTCTTGTCATTAGTGTCATGGGGTTTAGCAGCTGAAGAAAATTAACTCTGTAAGGGAAAAGTAGCTTACTGCCTCCTCCACAAGGTTTTAGGAAAATAAACACTAATCTGTACATTCTAATGAAGTGAAGAGGTCATGTTTAATAAACCCCAAAGGAAAAAAATGCATGATACTCCAGGCTATAGTCATCAGAAGCAGGAAATTATATCTATATACATATGAAGCAATGGACAATGTATGGACAGAACCAGATTTCCTTAAGCTGAGTTCAACACTGACCATAAGTCATCCTAAATCAGCAGAAGTTTCAGAATTCATACTTATTTCATCCAAAATGTGAGAGGAGCATTAGCTTGTGTGCCAGTTCTGGGCTGTGGAACATCCTTGCTACACCCCTCACTCCTCGGAGCTACTCTTTCTGCATTTCCATGGCCAGCAGCCCCAACAATCACAATTCCCAGTCTTTTCGGGAGCTGGCAAGGCTGGACACTGTCCAACTCTAGAGATGTTCATTACCAAAGCTCCCACAATAAAGGTTTACTTTGCTTCACTGTTCATAAATAGGAAATCCTTTCCACTCTTCACATGGACAAATTGAGACTGGCAGACAGATGGACTTGTCCAAGAATACAGGCAGAACCAGCAGTAGCCCTGATTTCCTGGCATCAAACTCCAACTGCCACACGTTAACCCTCCAACATGGAATTCAAAAGGCTACCACTGGCTGATATGAGGAGGGGGCAGACAGCTCACGGTCACATGGCTTTAAAGAGCATCGAGAAGCAACAGTTCCAGTCCCCCTTTGTGTAAGAATGTGAAAGTCAAGCAAGTCAAAGCTTCCTTGGCTGCGACAGTTTCCTGCAGAAACCTGTCATCACTCACTACACTGTCCCAGTTTACAGATCCTCTGTACAGTGAGCAGGAGGGACAAAGGCCATTTTAACAACCCATTTCTTTGAACTAGCATTAAAAAAAGAGGAAAAAAAAGAAACACTGATGACCTAGACCCCCACATTAAGTTCTCATATTTTCATTACACAAATGACACAGTAAAATGGGAGAGCAAAAAAATGAAGTTGAAAAAAGAAAAGTTCAGGTCTAAGGATGGAATATTGGACCTGTTGGTTTTTTCTGAGAGGAGCCCAGTTAGGCTGTCTTAGAAAAGAGAATTATTAAATGAAGTCAGCCAAACCAAACTTTGGGTCTTGAACTGAGTGGGTCAGACCACCACAAGCTCAGACTTGGTGTCTTTGAGTCACATAACTCCTCTCGCTAAGTTCTCACTGAATTTCAGACTCCCCTTAGAATCTGGGAGAATTTCCCAGAAGTTGTCATTCTTCCTTCTCTTTAGTTTGGCTCCAGCATTTTTACTTTCACCTTATCTCCAGACACATTTCTCTGTTCACACTCTTGTTCACACAATTTCTTGTTTACACTCTTAAGTAACCAGCCGTGCAGTAATGGCTTCATTTTGTCCTGGACCAGGCTTTATAGCCATGTGAGCTTCATTTCAAACACTCCTCCAACTGAGTGATATATCTGGGTCTTAACTTCCACTATGCTGAGAAATACCAATGGTCTCCAAGGTTGTAGGTCCTTATAGAACTGAGTATGATTTCTCAAAGAATGTTCCATGAAATATTAGTTCCTCAGGATATTAGCAGATAATACACAAATACCTGATCAAGTTTCAGAAAATGCCAGGTGGAAAAAAAATAGGTCTTAACTGCAGGTTTAAAGACTTTACTATGGCAATATGCACGCTAAGTTTCCAAGAGAGAAAGTATTTGGAGTGCTTCTCAAACTGCTTTTGCCACAAATGTTTTCTTGCTGAACATCTTGTAGGATTAGCGTTCTACAGATTCTTGGGGAAGCCTGTCAGATAATTTTAAAAATCAACTATATAAAAAATGAAAGGAGTAAACTTTTAAAAAAAGAAGTTTCTTTGGAAACTCCATAAAGTTTAATAAAGGAGGCAGCCTTGATAATTAATTTATTTATGCTTGTTGGAAAATAATGGGTTTGGACCCCATCAAGAAGGGTAATGGTGATCATTGTGGTCAATTGAGAGAGGGCTTTAAACTGTCAACATGAAGCACTGTATAGAATTCCAAATGAAAAAAATACAGCTCTGAGGGCAACAGTCCTGCCTAACCTAATGTTTACTACTCATTTCCTTATTAAAGTCATGCCTAAAATTAAACAAAAAAACAAAAGATCTCTATCAAGTATCTGTCCCTAATGGTTATGAACCGCCAAATCCTTGAATGATAGCTCACAGCCCCAAATAATTTGATTATAGAGTAAAAGGAAAATGAAGGTAGTTGAGCTTTATCAAAGAGAACCCAAGTACCTTAAAAGTAGTTATGAATGCAGCACAGGCCAGGAAAGGCATAGAAAACCAGGCACTTCAGCCAAGCCTCAGCCTGGAGTTTATATGGCTTGTCAAGAGCCATAATAGAAGATCACTGATTTTAAAAGCCCCGTTTCAGATGAGTTTTAACTAAAATTGTATCTAACATCCTTGTACGATCATTCCCCAGCTCAACACACATGTGCTTACAGGACTTAATGAAAGAAAAAAAATCATGCAATTTTTTTAACAGTTAAATATTTGCAAAATTTTTGGAAAAAAAAACACTACCACACTGAGATCAGAGGCCAAGTCAGAGGCAGCACTCGCTCAGCTGGGACAAGGCTGACACTTAAACCGCTGGACGGGAGCCATCTGAGACAGTCCCCAACACAGAGCTCATGTGCAAGTAGTAAGAACAAGAGATTCAACCTGTCTAAGCTCGTGCACTGCTGAAAACACCCCCTCACTTACAAAGCTTAGACAGTTGTGCCTATGCTCTATTTACCTTCATATTCTGCTTTCTTGGCTGTCTCAAGGTTTCTCCATTCTGTCCCCACCAGTCGGCTGAGCTCCCCAAAAGAGTAGTCTGGGTGCTGGGCCTTAATCACAGCTCTCATCTCACTGCTGAACAGGATGTAGCCACTCATGTTGATCTTCCGTTTGGAGCCTTCCTTCTTTGCACTGCCTTTAGCAGATTTGGGCGTAGACTGTAAGACAGAAAGCTCTTATAATGCATCAGAACACTGCATCTTGTCAATTACTAAAGGTTTTCGTAAGCCAAAAACGTCCAATTCAACAGCTACTGTTCTACAGACATCTTCCATTTATAGTTGACCATTTTCTTATTCAAAACACAGCTATTCCTGGCCTCTGACCATACAAGAAAAATGGAAGTTCCACTGAATTCCATGACTGCAATCTATAATGGTGACCTCACAATCAAGGCTTGAGAAAATTCTTTTTTTTTTTTTTTTTTTTAAGGCTTGAGAAAATTCTAAATGGTAAGAAAATACCTATAGGGATCACCTTAACCAAAAGATGGGGTCCTAAAGAAAGAGACTAAAAAGGTACGAGCAATAAAAGCTAGAGTAAGAGGATGATGCAATTCTTGTTTTTTTTTTTCAATGCAAGACAAGGAGGCTTCCTAACTAAACCTGCCACTAAAGCCAGCTATCTATGTAATATCTTTTTTATAAAGATATTACATTTTAAGTTATTAGTGGCATCAAGAAAGGAAAAAATAAAATCTGTTCCTTCTTGAAGAATTCTAGATTGAAGCTCCCATAACGGAGGGGCTGGATGTCTCCTTCCTTTTTACTGCAAACCAGAGCTAGGAATAAGACAAGTAACCAGGAACCGCCACCTTCACCTGTGGGGGTGTGTAGGGCATGAGATCCAGCTCACTGGCCAGGGGAGTCTGAAGTTGAGGTAGAGAAGGAGGCTCAATGACCTCACTATCCTCTTCTCCCATCTCTTCAATATCATCATCTCCACCTTCTAACTCGGCAAATTTAGCTTCTAGCAACTGGATCTTCTTTTCCAATAAAGGTGAGGGCTCCTTCTGAGGAACAATTGGTTTTCTAGAAGAAGGGACATAAAAATAAATAAATAAAATGAAATCACCTGACACCAATCCAGGATGGACTGGAAAGCAATGTTCTGCCTTAATACCTAGAACCAACTTTCTGTAATCTGCCATGTCCACTCTTAAGTCCGCAAGGGAAATAATTAAAACATACATTTATAAAGTCACATCTACTTACAGATGCTTGCTTTTTTAAAAAAAAATTATTTATTTATTTGGTTGCATCAGGTCTTAGCTGAGGCATGAGGGATCTTTAGTGCAGTGTGCGAGCTTAGTCACCCTGTGGCATGTGGGAATCTTAGTTTCCTGACCAGCAATCGAACCTGCATCCAGTGCACTGAAAAAGTGAAAGTGAAAGTGAAGTCGCTCAGTCTGTCCAACTCTTTGCAACCCCATGAACTGTGTAGCCCACCAGGCTCCTCCATCCATGGAGTTTTTCAGGCAAGAATACTGGAGTGGGTTGCCATTTCCTCCTCCAGGGGATCTTCCCGACCCAGGGACTGAACCTGGCTCAGTTTACCTCCTGAGCCACCAGGGAAGCCTCAAGCACTGAAAGGTAGCTTCTTAAGCACTGGACCACCAGGAAGTTCTCAGATGTGTGTTTTTAAGGGATTCTGCTGAATACCCAACAAAAGCACTGGATCCAAAGCTGAGATCTAGCTGCCTATAAATACTAAGAAGAACTTTTGTAGTTTACAGAACTACACAATCTCTTAATAGACAGATTATGTACCAGAACCAAAGATTTCTGCCTCCATATAACAATTACTGAAGTCTAAACGAAGAGGACTGTTCCAGCAGTCACCACATCTCAGCAGATTATGAGGATTTTCCTTTAATATTTAATTAAATTAATATCTTCTATTTGAAATGTCTATTGCTCTAGTTTAAGACCTAATAAAAAACAATAAAAACCTACCCTGGACTATGCAATTTTGATATGAGTTTTACTGATATCAAAGGAGCTGAACTGCTCTTTCTTCCTTAGTTTTTTCAACTTTACCTGAAGTAATAAATTTCATCATCTACCACTTTGGCAGAGAGTGAAAACCTCTTCAGTCCCTTAAATTTCTTCATCTGCTTGTCACTCTCGTTGTAGCGGCTCTCACAAAGCAGAATGTCATTTTCTGGAATTTCAGTTGGCCTACAGGAGAGGAAGTCCTTGAATGACAACACAGCACATTTTCCTGAAAGAGAAAAATTTTGGAGAGAAAGTAAAGGAGTTACTGTGGTCATAGATGACAATTATTTTAAACTTTTAAATTAATATATTCACATGATTAAAATTAGAAGATTGAAAGGGTATAAGCAGATGTAAGGATAGATATGTAGATCAACAGACTAGAATTAAAAGTCTAGAAATAAATCCATATAACTCAGTTTTTACAGGTAACTTATTTTTGACAAGGGTGTCCAGACAATTCAATTGGGGAAAGAACAGACTCTTAAACAGGCAGTGCTGGAACAACTGGATTACCACATGCAAACGAATGGAGCTAGAAGCCTACTATATACCATATACACAAATTAATTCAAAATGGATCAGAGACCTTAATGTAAGAGACACAACTATAAAACTCTTAGAAGAAAAACATAAGTATAAACCTTTGTGACCCTCTATTAGGCAATGGTTTCATAAATGTGACATCAAAATCACAAGCAACTAAAGAAAATAAAGATAAATTAGACTTCATCAAAATGAAAAACTTCTGGGCTTCAAAGGACACAAAGTGAAAAAAGAGCACATAGAACAGTGGAAAATATTTGCAAATTATATCTCTGGTGAGAGTCTACTATCCAGAATATATAAGAACTCTGACAAATCAGCAATAACAAAATAAATAACTCAAAAAACAGGCAAATGATCTGAACAGACATTTCTCCAAAGATATACAAATACCCAGTAAGCTCATGAATAGATGCTCACATCATTAATCATTTAGAAAATACAAATAAAAACTGAAATACCACTTCACATTTATTACGATGGCTATTATGAAGGGAAAAGAGCCAAATGAAACTTCCGGAAAATACCAAGTGCTGGTAAGGATGTGGAGAAGCTGGAACCACTATATGTCACTGCTGCTAATGTGAAGTGGTGCAGCTGGATGTGGAAGCTGGACTGTAAAGAAAGTTGAGCACCGAAAAATGGATGCTTTTGAACTCTGGTATTGGAGAAGACTCTTGAGAGTCCCTTGGACTGCAAGGAAATAGTCCATTCTAAAGGAGATCAGTCCTGGGTGTTCACTGGAAGGACTGATGCTGAACTGAAGCTGAAACTCCAATATTCTGGCCACCTGATGCAAAGAGCTGACTCACTTGAAAAGACCCTGATGCTGGGAAAGACTGAAGGTGGGAGGAGAAAGGGACGACAGAGGATGAGCTGGTTGGATGGCATCACTGACTCAATGGACATGGGTCTGCGTGGACTCTGGGAGTTGGTGATGGACAGGGAGACCTGGCATGCTGCAGTCCATGGGGTCACAAAGAGTCAGACACGACTCAGGAACTGAACTGAACTGAAAGTTGATCCAGAAATTCTACTTCTAGGTAAATATACAAAAGAATTGAAAGCAGTGACTCGGATACACATATACCAATGTTCACAACAGCATCACTCACAATTGGCCAAAATACAGAAATAACCCAAATGTCCATCAACAGATGAATGAATAAACAAAATGTTACACATACATACAGTGAAATACTATTCACCCTCAAAAAGGAATAACATTTGGATACATGCTACACCATGGATGAATTTTGAGAATTTTTTATTTATGCTAAGTAAAATAAGTCAGACTCAGGAAAAATTTTGCATGATTCCACTTACATAAGGTACCCAGAATAGGCAAAATTCATAAAGACAGATAGTAAAATAGTGCTTATCAAGGGCTGGAAGAGATGGAAATTAGTAGTTACTGCTTAATGGGTACAAAGTTTCTATTTGGGATGATGAAAAGTTCTAGAAATGGATAGTACTGATGGTTGTACAATACTGTCAGTGGGTGTGCTGCAGCCCACAGGGTCACAAAGAGTCAGACATGACTGAGCGACTAAACAACAACAATTTATTTGGCTGCATCGGGTCTTAGTTGTGGGATTTACAAATGGTTAGTTGTGGGACTTAAAATGGTTAGCATATCACTCATATTGTTTTACACCTAAATTTTGGTGCAAAATAATATATTTTAAGGATCACTGCTGGTATTAATATATTTATTCAACTAGTTCCCTACTGGTGGATGTTCAGTTTCTTTTCCAAATTTTTGCTCTCTCACTGAAGCAAGACTAAGTTGACATACTTTAAGACATACATCAATTTGCACATGAATGAGTACATCTGAGGAATAAACGTCTAGAAGTACAAAAGCTGGATCAAAGGGTACATATACTTTAATTTTTATAGGTATTATCAAATTTACCTTTCACAGAGGTGATGGTAATTCATAAACCCACCACAAAGTGGGCAAATGCCACTTCCCTATATTCTTGTCAACTAGTAAACATATGAATCTTTGACAATTTGTTAATTCTTTTTTTAAGAAAGTAGCATCTGGGTAATTTTAACTTACATTTCTCTACTGGCTTAGGTTGTGCATATTTTAAGAACCACTGATAAACTTCTCTCTGCTCTCTATTAATCTTTGCCTGTTTTCCTACTGGATGTTGATCTTTTTTCCTAATTATTTAATAGGAGTTCTTCATATATGACTTCCCTGGTGGCTCAGGCGGTAAAGCATCTGCCTACAATCAAGATTGCTGGGAGAAACATCAATAACCTCAGATATGCAGATGACACCACCCTTATGGCAGCAAGTGAAGAGGAACTAAAAAGCCTCTTGATGAAAGTGAAAGAGGAGAGTGAAAACGTTGGCTTAAAGCTCAACATTCAGAAAACTAAAATCATGGTATCTGGTCCCATCACTTCATGGGAAATAGATGGGAAAACAGTGGAAACAGTGTCAGACTTTATTTTTTGGGGCTCCAAAATCATTGCGGATGGTGACTGCAGCCATGAAATTAAAAGACGCTTACTCCTTGGAAGGAAAGTTATGACCAACCTAGAGAGCATATTAAAAAGCAGAGACATTACTTTGCCAACAAAGGTTCATCTGTCAAGGCTATGGTTTTTCCAGTGGCCATGTATGGACGTGAGAATTGGACGGTCAAGAAAGCTGAGCGCCGAGAAATTGATGCTTCTGAACTGTGGTGTTGGAGAAGACTCTTGAGAGTCCCTTGGACTGCAAGGAGATCCAACCAGTCCATCCTAAAGGAGATCAGTCCTGGGTGTTGATTGGAAGGACTGACGCTGAAGCTGAAACTCCAATACTTTGGCCACCTCATGCGAAGAGCTGACTCACTGGCAAAGACCCTGATGCTGGGAGGGATTGGGGGCAGGAGGAGAAAGGGATGACAGAGGATGAGATGGCTGGATGACATCACCGACTCAATAGATATGAGTTTTAGTAAACTCCGGGAGTTGGTGATGGACAGGGAGGCCTGGCGTGTTGCAGTTCATGGGGTCACAAAGAGTCGGACACGACTGAGCGACTGAACTGAACTGAACAATGCGGGAGACCCAGGTTCAATCCCTGGGTCAGGAAAATCTCCTGGAGAAGGAAATGGCAACCCACTCCAGTATTTTTGCCGGGAAAATCCCATGGACGGTGGAACCTGGTAGGCTACAGTCCATAGGGTCACAAAGAGTCGGACACGACTGAGCAACTTCACTTTCACTTCATATACGAATGAAATTTGATCTTTTTCTATGATTTACACTGCAAGTACTTTCCCAAAGTTGTCAACCTGTCTCTGCTTCTGCCAAACATTTTAAACTTTTATATAATTGAATTTATCAATCTTTCTTATTTGGTTTCTGTGTTTTACATTAAGGATTATAAAAATTTGTTCCCCATCACTTTCCTTTGGTATCTTTACTACTTCTTTGTTCATTTAAGCCTATATTTTATCTGGGAATTTATTTTGAAACTGATGTGAGAGCTAGATACAATTTTACTTTTTCCAAACTGCTACCTAACTTCCAAGTAGCAGGGAAGTAGCTATGGTGCTTTTGTTGAAAACATAGCTGCCACAAGCTGGGGCTAGCAAAGGATATCAGTTGGGGCAAACAGTAGACATGCTGAAAAGCTTGGGAGAAAGAACTGGGAAGTGAGATGTTTTGAGGAATAAGAGTTTTGAGAAGCTTCCACATATTCCTGGAAATCTAGAAAGCCATGCACATGCTACGGGCAAGGTGCATGTTCAGCAAAGACCTGAGAAGGCCCCAGGTTCTCACCTTCAGCTGACTGTCAAGGTCTGCACAAGCAGGCAGTAAATACAAAGGCAGAGATGCGAACTTTTTGGGCTGAGTGCTAAATGTGTGCTCCAGCAAAGATGCACTAGGCAGTTGCAAAGGCTGGGAATTTGGTTTGGATCCAAGCACTTAAGAAATTCTCTGTTAAATTACTAGCTGACCACTAAGCTGGTAGAATAGAGACTTAAGTGACAGCACACAACAAGAATACAGTCTTTAAAGTAGCTTTGAAAAGTCACTAAACAAGCAATAACAACTCACAATAAGCAGTGACAACAAAACTTAAGGAGGCGGGTAGAATCTGATTTCCAAATTTATATTATATTGATAATATTTAAAACATACAGCTTTCAACAAAAACTATGAGGCATTCATGAAACAAGTTAAGTAGGGCCCATTCACAGGGAACAGAAACTGTCCCTGAGGAAGTTTAGACACTGAACTTACTACACAAAGAATTAAAAAAAAAAAAAAGAATTTAAATCAACTGTCTTAAATACACCTGAAGAGCTAAAGGAAATGATGGACAAGGAACTAAAAGAAACCAGAATGATGTCTCACCAAATAGAGAATCAATAAAGAGACAGAAGTTGTAAGCATGAAATAGAAATTCTGAAGCTGAAAAGTACAATAACTAAAATGAAAAATTTATCAGAAGTGTTCAACAAACACACAGAAGAATCAATGAACTTGAAGACAGGAAAATTGAAATGAAAAGTCTGAGAAAGAAAGAAAAAAGGAACACAGAAACATGAAGAGCATCTCAGAGATCCAAGGCACACCATTAAGCATGACCCACATAGGCATAACAGGAGTCCTGGATGGCGAAGAAAAAGAAAAGGACAGGAAAAAAATATCTGAAGACACAGTGGCCCAAAATTTCCCAAATGTAATGAAAGACATGAAAGAAAAAACTGCCAGTGGAGAATTCTATATCCATCAAAAATATCCCTCAAAAATGGAAGACTTAAGACATTTCCAGATAGACAAAAGGTGAGAAAAGATTGTTGCGAGCAGACCTGTCCGACAAGAAATGCTAAAGAGAGTCCTGTAGGCGGAAATGAAAAGGCATTAGATAATAACTTGTAGCCATATAAAGAAATAAAAAACATCAGTAAAGGTAACTACATAGGTAAATATAAAAGGCAATATCTTTTTGGTTTGCAAATTCTCTCTTTCAACCTATATGAGTTTAAAGACAAATGCAAAAGCAATAATTATAAATCTATGATAACGGGGCACACGAAATATAAAGAGTTAATTTCTGACAATAACACAAAGGAGAGGGATGGAGCTATAGAGGAAGAAAGTTTTTTGTATAGTGTACAAAATCAGATTTTCATAAGTTTAAGATGTAATCCCCAGGAGCATCACTAGGAAAATAACCAAAAAACAATCAATGATATAGTTGTCCTAACCAAAGAAGACCTCAGTCTCCCCTTTAGGTTCCCTTTGTCTCCGCACTAGAAGTAAAGCTCCAGAGCACAAGTTAAAAGGAAGACCTTCTCTGATGCAGAAACTCAGGAAGGATTTAATAACTTCACTAGCTTTTGTTGTCTCTCCCGAGTGGAAGAGAAAATATGATGAATTATTGGCCATTCAGACATGATTACCATATTCAATTCTGAAAAAAATTCAAAGCACCAAAGAACAATATAGGTAAACATTAAAGCAACCAAACAAAGTCTAAGGGTAAAATACTTTTTAGGGACTTCCCTAGTGGTCCAGTGGTTAGGACTCTGTGCTTCCACTGCAGGGGACCCAGATTCAATCCTTGGTCAGTGAACACATGCTGCAACTAAATATCCCGTATGTCACAACAAAGACAGCAGATCCTGCACACCAAAACTAAGACCCAAAGTAGCCAAATATATAAATATTTTTTTAATTTGCAAATTTCCTTTTGATCATAAGCATTGTGGCTTCAATTTTACAACCATAGGTAATCAATATAAAGTTGTGACTAGTAACCTTTGGGAAAACCACTCAAAAAGATGTAGATAGCAGCTAGTGTAAAACGTTATCAAGTTAATCTGGGGCCAGAAAAAACCCAAGACCTGAAAACGGTGACAGTATATCAGTCATGTAACTATATCTCAGAAGCAGAATGGCACTTTGCACACTCAGGAGGATGACTCAACAGAAGCCAAAGCAAGAGACCTTTATGTTTCTGGAATTGGAACAGTAACACTGCCAGGGTTAATCCAACAGAGACATTATGTCTTTTAATTGCTCTCCTTGCTTCCTACCTTATTCTTACAACACTTCCCTATACTGCAGCCACAGTGATTCCTCTAATACACATGCTGGCTCACATGCCTCTTTGTCCAGACTCCTCATAAGACCTCTTATATGTGAAAGCTCAATCCCCGCATATGACCTACCACGACTGAGAGCCCAGTCACCTGAGAGGGCTCATTCCCTACCAGGCCCCCTGCAGGGCTGCAGTCACTCTAACCAAAGAAGACCTCAGTCTCCCCCGCCTTTAGGCTCCCTTTTTCTCCTTACTAGAAGGAGCTTTCTTACTGTGACTCAAACACACTCAGCTTTCTTACTGTGATTCACACACACCCAGATACTCTGCCTCAAGGTCTTTGCAGCACCTAAAAGGAGTACAATCTCAGCAGCTAGTTGAATGGTTTTCTTCCTCACTTCCTTCAGGGCTTTACTGTCATGTCACCTAACAGAGAGGCTTTTGCTGACCACATGACCTAAACCAGAACCTCCGGCAATGTTACTCTCTATCCTCATACTCTGCTTTATTCTCATTCATTGCCCTAATTACTACCTGATGTTCTATATATTTAATTTTAATTTACTGACTCCCCAGCCTCTGCTCCACACAGTTAGGTCTCTGAGACGGCTGAGATTTTGATTTTTTTATTGCTATATACCTAGCACCTAGAACAGTGTCCAGGACAGAAGAAGTATTCAATTAACTGTGAAATGAGTGTGATTAAATGAAAAGTATGAATACATACCTAAAATACATGTCATGGGGCAGGTTTCTTCCAGATTACTCAAAAACACTTCTTTCTTGTAGAACATTTTGGTTGGCTCATGTTCCGTCTCTTCTGGGTGAATGAAGATGGGGCCGTAAAAATATGCAGCTCCATCTCGGACCCATACCTTTTCAATTCTTGGGAGAAAAAATGAAGAAATTCCATTAAATTAGAATTCTGATGGCTTTCATTCCTGAAGGCTTAATCTAACAAACATTCTGCTAACCAAAAACTTAATGCTATGCTATATTTAGAGAAGTTTCACTGACTGTTTTGATAATAAGACAATTTTCTTGATTCTTTTTTGCCCCTTTAAACTTATGAGAAGATATTTGGGGAAAAAAGAAGTGAACATCTGTCTACTCATCTCAGGAGGGAAATTTTTTTTTAAACATAATACCAAGGAATACAACTTAATAGTTTAAGCTTACTCCCAGGTTTTCTTCCTGGACTTGTGAGCTGAATAAACACACAAATCATCAATATTTGGGGTCAGATCACATCAGTGGCAGACATTCCTTTTAGGGCCATGGTTCATGACCTTCTTGTAGGTCAAGATCTAATACCCCTTTACCTCATGAGAATCGAATGAAAGCCACTGACTATCTCCCTAAAAAAAATGAAAACATCTGGCTGCTCTGTGCAGGATACTGTACTATTTCTCAAACCACACCATAAAGTTGATATTATTACTGTTTCCAAAGTCTCGAGGTTCCAGCCATGAAGCAGCATGTTCATCTCAGTTAATACACACTTTCAGTTCTTCAGATCAAAACGCAGGGGTCACCCTTGACTCCTCTCTCTCTCCTGGACACTTTGCTGCTATTGTTGCTGTTTAGGTGCTCAGTCGTGTCCAACTCTTTGTGACCGTATGGACTGTAGCCCACCAGGCTCCTCTGTTCATGGGATTTCCCAGGCAGAAACACAGGAATGGGTTGCCATTTCCTTCTCCAGAGGATCATCTCAACCCAGCAATCAAACCCACATCTCCTGCATTGGCAGGCAGATTCTTTACCATTGAGCCATCAGGGACTATATTCTCTTAACTCAACCTTTCAAAACTGGATCTAATTCGTGGAACTGGATGTGACTACTGGCCTGAGACACCATCATTCTTGCCTGGATTACTGCAACAGCCTCCTAGCAGATTTTGCCCTTCTACCTTTGACTCTTTACGGTCCACTCTTAATAATCAGTAGACAGAGCCCTTCTGCTAAGACCTAAATCAGATGTCACTTCTGGGGACTTCCCTGGGGGTTCATTATTTAAAACGCTGCACTTCCACTGCAGGGAACACAGGTTTGACCCCTGGTCAGGGAACTAAGATCGTACATGCCATGGAGTGTGGAGGGAAAAAAAAAATGCCATTTTTGCACTTAAAATAGTCCATGGTATTTCATTTAATCCAGTAAAGGTCCAAGTCCCTCAGCAGCTTCTGAGCCTCACACAGTGTGTCCTCTATCCCCTGGCTCACGTACTTCCTACCTAATTCAAGTACTGCCCACTCCCTTTGTCATAAGCTCTGATCTGAACAGTCCAGGCATGCTTCTCCCTCCAGTCTTTGAACTGGATGTTCTCTGTCCCTGGAAAGCTTTCTCCCTGGATATTCACATTACTCACTTCCTTGGTTCCTTCAGGTGCTGGCTCAACTGTGAACTCTTAGTGAGGCTTTACACACCAGCCTATGTAAAGTTTTGAACACCCTACTCTGACCATGGCACTCCCAATTTCCCATATCCAGCTCTATTTCTTTCCAGAGCATACATCATAATTTAACGTACTGCACACTTTACTTACTCATGTTTACAGTTTGTCTTCCTACTAGAAAAAAGATCCAGGAGACTAAGGATAGTTGTCTCTTTTATTCACTAATGTATCTATAGAACCTAGCAAATAGTACATATATAATAAACAATTACTAAATGATGAACAAATACAATGAGGAAACTGAAGCCCAGGGAGATAAATAATTTGCCTAAGAACATTAAACCGACGGGGCTGGGACTTACATCAAAATCTCTTGGAATCAACTGCTTTCCTTAACTACTATCCCCTACTGCCCAGCCCCGTCCCTAAACTCCTTTACTGCCAGTCTATGCCTTCCAATCATATGTTCACCCACTTACTTGTTTACCAAATACCGGAGCCTCATGCACTATGTTTGGAGCAAGGGATATAAAGGTATATATCACTCTTTTTTTGCTCAGAAAGAGAGGGTCTCTAACTCTCAGGGCATTTGTAGTCTCATATGGAAGCCTGGTAATATAACTGATGTGTTCTGAGGAGAAGGAAATACACAGAGCTCTGAGGATGTGTAATAAGGGGACCTAATCCAGTCTAGAGGAGATAGGAAAGGCTTCCTTAAGGAAGTGCCATTTCAAATTTAGGCTAAAAAGGGTTCACCATATGAAGCTGGCAGGGAGATTTCTCGGTTGAAGAGTTCAGTAAATGGAAGGAGGAGAAAAAGAAAAAGAAAAAAAAACAAACACAACAGGATTCATGAGAGGAAGTGTGGCTAGAGGCATAAGCAGGGGGAGTGTGGTGTGAAAGGAAGTAGGTGACGTTCCCAAGGGAGGGACTTTGGTTTTCATCCTAAACAGTAATGAATTCCTACTGGCACCAAATCTCTCAAACCAAACCTTGTCCTCTCTTAACTCAAAATGCTCACCTGCCGACACGAGGACGCACTAGCCCGTGGGACTTGATGAAGACACAGTCGCCAACCTTCAGCCACATGTCATTATACCGGAGCTGCTCAAAGTAGTGGCAACCTGGTTCACCATTCGACATTTCCACAGGGACATCTTCTTTCTCCTGTGATAAAGGAAACTGGTTAAAGACAGGGATCTGACAATCAAGGAGTTGGAAGAGAAAGTATGAAGGCAAAGCAGACTTTCCTTCATTTTAACTTAAAAAATAACCGTAAGTAGAAACTAATAAACAGGAAACCAAAAGTTTAGGTTACTGAAATTAAACTAAATCTTATCAAATACTGTATCTATTTTAAATTTCTAGTTAACTTTCATAAAATGTTACTCAAAGATCCTTTTACCACTCTCTCCTTCCTTTTCACATTCTTGGAGACTTTAGCCAAAAAAAAAAGAACAAAAACCAAAAAAAAACCCAACAACAACAAACAATGAAGACTTAATTTCAGAAACAGCCTCATTCAACTGCTATAAAGGAGCAAATACTATACAAACTTCTTTTTCACCATATTTACTAAGCTCTTAATTTCTGCATATTAACAACTGATTTAAAAATTTTATCATTTTGGTTTATTCTAACATGAAAAGGAACAGTATAGCCTCTGTGACAGAAACACATATACTCTGCTTTTGAATCATTTATAGGGTCTGTCACCTACTGACTGCTGTGACACTGGGTAAACTACTTGACCTCTCATGCCTTGGGTTCATCATCTGTAAAACGAAGACAGTGTGCAAATCAGACGGGGCTGGAAGCTTAAATGACACGATCCATGTTAAGTACACAGAATAACGCCTGGCTCATAAAACCACTTAACGTTCACTATTGTTCTTACAGTCTTAGCAAAAAAAAAAAGAAAAGATACTTCTGATTAATGAAACTAAGAAACATAATTTACTGAGAAACTAGCTAACAATGAGCACAGCACTAGGTGTTTTAAATACAAAAGCTCTAAAACATGTATGAATTGAGGAAACTGCAAAACCCCCAAATTTTCTACTGCATTTTCCTGAGAATACCGGAAACTTAAAACTTAAGGAAAAAAAACTCTGCTGGAATGCCCAGATAATTTAATGCTTTGATCTTTATGATTTCAAATGTGATACTGAAATGGACTTCTTGGAAAATTCTTAAGAATGAGAGAGGTACCACACATATGCTAGATTGAGGGGCACTAGAAGGAATGGAAGCTGTGAAAAAGACAGCCCTGAGATTAAGAATACATATTTATTTTAGGAATGGGTTCTGTTCTAATTATCCTTCTAAAAATTTCTTGGTATGATATATTTTAGCCATGCAATATTAAAATAAAGATATGAGACTAAAAAAAGTAATGCATACACAGGACACAGGGTACTAATGAACTCCAATAACAAAAACAAATTTAATTCCCACACTGATTTCCACTGGTATTTCCTCTTTTAAAATTAGTATCTCTATGATTCCCAGACATACTGGTAAAATGTACAAAATTTCATGTTCTTTCCCAAGCTCCTTTTCTCTTTTTAACATTTTAATGACACTAAAATGGATATCTTTTTCTAAGAAACTAAAAATTTTTTTTGTCTTTTACATTAAGAATTTAAAAATGCTGCTTTTCCCCTATATAAAAAGTGCATCTGTTGGAAATAATTCAAACATTAGAGTATGCAAAATTTTAAAACCAAGTTTTCTGTGATCCAACCCCAGAGATAACCACCCAGTTTAGTTTAACCAATTTATCGTTTTTCATGTTGTTTACACATACATAAAACATAAAGCACATATTTTTGGTTTTTCTGAGTAATGATGGAACCATATTCCATTCTGCAATGTTAATTCCTTCTGCTGACCACACAGTTTGCATTATATGAACGGATGTGTGACAAATTCCTATTCACGGACATCTGGGTGTGGCCTAGGATTGAGTACGATGTTGGAACACATTCCCTGTTATCAAACAACAGGGTCAAAGAGAAAGCCACTGACGGGAGATGAGTGTGTGTTGTCCCACATTCACACCAGGCTGTGTGCATTACTAGTCTTCAGAACTGTCAATGTGCTGGGCATTTTAAAGACTATCAGATTAAAACATTTATGTTTTTTTGATTTTCTATAAATGATCTATTTGGTCCTTTGCCCATTTTTCTAGTAGTATTTTTTTCCTAGACTTCAAAGAGTTCTTGTACTTTAGAAACAGCAGTCCTAAGACTATTTCATTAAACTAACTGATACTGTCAATTGTAAATCTAGAAAATGATCTTTTTTTTCTTTTGTGGCTACTGGGTTTTATATCATATATATAAAGGATCCATTCTAAGCTTATAAATGAATAAAAGATTATATGTAAATAACATAAACGTACTTAGGCTAGCAACTTATGTTTCTTTTTAAATGTTTATACCTTACTTATTTTGGAATATGAAATGAAAGTTCAACTGGTTTTTTTTCCTTCTTTTTTCAAATAGCTATCAGTTTTTCCAATATCATTTCATTCCATCCTCTCTTGCTGAGTTAAAATACTGTGTTTATACAAACTTTCAGTTATAAAATAAATGAGTCACAGGTATGAAGTGTAATTATATAATATCTTTGTATGTTTAAATGATGACTAGACTTATCATGGTGATCATTGTGAAATATATATAGAAATACTGAATCATTACGCTGTATACCAGGAACTAACATAGTATTGTAGGTTAATTATATTTCAAATCCACAAACTCAGAAAAAGAGATCAGACTTGTGGCTACAAGGCAGGATATGGGGGGGGGGGGGGGGGAGGGGGATTGGATTATGGCAGTCAAAAAGTTCAAACTTTTGGTTATAAATAAGTATCGGGGATATAATGTACAATATGATGAATATAATTAATACTGCTGTACATTAAAAGAAAGATGTTAAGAGAGCAAATCCTAACAGTTCCTATCACAAGGGGAAAAAAACTTTTTCCTACTTCTTTAATGTTGTATCTATATGAGTTGATGGACATTGATTACCACACTTACTGTGGTAATCATTAATCATGATGTATGTAAGTCAAGTCATTATGCGATACAACTTAAACTTATACAATGCTATATGTCAACTGTATCTCAATAAAACTAGGAGAAAAAAGGCGACTGTGGGACAAAAGGGGAACAATTAATAAGGTCTCTAGATTAGTAAATAGTATTGATGCTAACTTTATGGTTTTGATCCTTGTACAAGGTGTTAACATTAGCAGAAGCTAAATGAAGAATTTAAGGAATGTCTTTGTTAAGTCTAAAATAATTTCAAAATAAAAGTTAAAATATGTAAAACTAAAATGAATGATTGAGTATCTTTATATTCTGGATTTAATTGTGAAAAGCCTATTCCCTTCATTAATCAATTCTGAACTAACTCAATATTTTTAAAATGTAATTTTGTAAAATGCAATACTATTTGGCAGGGTAAAGTACTCTTGACTGCTCTTTCAGTTTTTCTTCTTTTTCTCGTGACTGTCATGCATTTATTCTTTCATAAGAATGACAGTATCGTCAAGTTTCAAAACAACTTACTCAAGTAAATCTTCAACAGCTTTCAATAGACTGTTTTTCTTCCTACAGGTTCCATAATACTCCTTTTAAGATAATTTCTTAGTGTCTCTTCTTTTTTGGTTCATGTGAATTGGATAGTTTCTTTCACGATTTTTTATAACACTTGTTAAAATCTATTCAACATTTTCATTTTACTTTCAAAATCTTATGAATTACTGTTGTGTTTATACAAGAAAGCTATTAACTTACATGTGCATTTTGAAATTTCTACTTGTTGAATTCTCTGTATTCAAAAACGTTTCACAGTTAATTTCTCCCCAATTCTCAGCAAAAAAATAATTTTGCCTCTTAGTTGTCAAAATTTTACTAATTTTGTTTGTCTAGTTATATTTGTTCTTTTCAGAAAAATATAGATAATGGTAAAGCAAGCACCTATGTCGTGTATATAGCTTTCAAAGGAATTGCTTTCACTTTAGGCTTGATATACAATTTTTAAAAATAATTTTGAGGGACTATCTATTTAAAGACTTTAATCCAGATGAATACTATACCTTATCAAATAATTTCTCCTTTGATCTATTAATATAAAGAAGTTTATTACTAAATTTTCCTAATTTTGACTAATCCTTGCATTCTGAGAATAAACTCCCTTCTATGTGGTCATGCTGCTCTCAAACTACTGTGATTTCATTTGTACTTGATTTCATTTTTTTCCCCAAGTATTTTTTGTATCAATATTTATAAACCGACACTCAACTGCAGTTTTCTGTTTTTATTTTGTCAGACTTTGGAATCAAAGATTATTCTGTCCTGGTAAGACAAACTGGGACGTTTTCTTTGATTTCCATACTCTGTGATAATATTTTTTTTGGCTTTACTGCAGAACATGTGGGATCTTAGTTCTCCGACCAGGGATCAAACACATGCCACCCTGCAGTAGAAGCAGGTGGAGTCTTAATCACCCCAGGACTGTCTGGGAACTCCTGGAATAATTTAAAGGGTTAAAGAATTTACCTATGGAATTATCTGACCTAAGTACTTTTTGGAGTGAGCTCTGACATTAAAAAAATTTTTTTCATGTTGTTATCTACTTAAACATGTTATTTTTTCTTGATTTCACTTAACTAATTGGTATTATCTTATAAAATTATTCATTTCATTCAGGGTTTACTATTATTATTTGTTTTTATTTATTTTTTGGCTGCACCAAGAGGCTTGTGAGGTCTTAGTTCCCCAACCAGGGACTGAACCCAGCCCTCGCCGATGAAAGTGCAAAATCCTAACCTTTGAACTGCCAGGGAATGCCCTCATTCAGGTTTTCAAATTTATTAACAGAAACACACAAGTCTTTAAATTTCCTCTATATTTTATATGTTGAGCTTAATTCCTTTCTTTTCCTTTTATTAGGATAACTGGTAGTTTATCTCACTGAACCCATCAAAGTCTCCTTTTCAGTTCTGCTATTATGTTTTCCAAGTATTAATTTTTCTTTCCTTTATAGTTCCCTTCTTTTTGCTAGGCTAAAATTTTATATTATTGCTCTTTTTCTAATTCTGAAGTTGAATATTTTATTCATTTATTTTTGAGAAGGGGTGTTTTGAAATTAAAATTCTTTTCTGTGTGGCTATCATCTACATACCTTTTCCAAGTTACAACTGTCTTCAGTTCGACTGTCCTCTGAGTTGTCTGTATTCTTCTCATCATCCCCTTTATCTGCATTTGCAAATACAGAGGCCACTCGGACCACAGGCAAGGGCACATCTCGAGGGACAAACCTAACTGAGCTGATGGGCATGGTCCACAGTTTAATTTTCTTAAAAGATTTGGTTTTGGCAGAATATCGTGATTCACAGACAAAAACATCCTCATCTCGAAAATTTTCTGGGCATAATTTAAAGTATTCCTAGTGGATATAAGAATAAAATCAGTTAGGTGAATTTTCTGAAAACCAATCAACCAGAAAACAGACAAAAACACCAACCAAGCAAAGAAATAAAAGGTAAAGTGTTAAGACTTTTTGACAACTAACAACAAATGATAAATGGCTAGAGATCAGGAGTATTTTCTTATATAGAATGGCAATACTCAGTATATTCTATTTAGCTAATTTAGTTTAACTCCCTGATGAACAGGGAGGCCTGGCGTGCTGCAGACCATGGAGTCGCAAATGAGTGACTGAACTGACCTGAAGTTTTACCAACTACCCCATGACAGTACATTAGTATTTCAGACAGCTAGTTCTTTAAAGCTTTGAGCCTGTGCCTATAGTAGACAGACAAACAAAAAATACACCATATTACCTAAAACCACACTGAACATTTAATGATTCTTCAGAAAATGTCATCCTTAAAAATTTGTCTGGCAATATAAAAAAATTTAAGCTAACTGCATATACTATCGGAGAAAGCAATGGCACCCCAATTCAGTACTCTTGCCTGGAAAATCCCATGGACAGAGGAGCCTGGTGGGCTGCAGTCCATGGGGTCGCTAACAGTTGGACACGACTGAGTGACTTCACTGTCACTTTTCACTTTCCTGCATTGGAGAAGGAAATGGCAACCCACTCCAGTGTTCTTGCCTGGAGAATCCCAGGGATGGGGCAGTCTGGTGGGCTGCCGTCTATGGAGTCGCACAGAGTCGGACACAACTGAAGTGACTTAGCAGCAGCATATATCTATATAGCATAGGCAACTAAGGGTCTTTCACCTTTATGCTCAGATTTATTTTTATTTTTCTTCAAATCTTTACATAAAGCAAGAGACATAGCCTAAAAAAATTCAAACAGTTTTAAACACAACTATTCATTTCGTAAATATAAATTTTCTGTGGTTGTGAACTCCATGAAATAATTTACTGTTTGGGAATTAGTAAGTTTCTTACCTTGACAAACATGACCACACATTTTCCTAGAATTTTACTAACAGGAACTTTATTGTAATAGTCACTCTTAAAAACTTCTTTTTCTAGAAATTTTCGTGTAGCCAAATGGAACGTTTCATTTGGCCGATAAAACCAACAGCCATACAACCATTTTTCGCCTCAAAAACAAAGAGGGAAAAAGAGAGAGAATTACCATTAATGGAAATAACATATTCTTTGTAAAATGAGCAAATACTCCATCCATTCTGCCATGAGCTGAACCAAGCAATGTGCTTTTAGGCCATGGTTCCTTAATAGAATTATCTTAGAAGAAACAATACTTTAAAATAATAAAGTGCAATGACACCTAAAAATGCTACTTTCCCCCTTACAGTAAAAGATGTAAAATAAATAGAACAAGGAAGGTGATGGGACCTACTCTACTCTGCTGGGTCAGGACATAGCTAAAGCTGTGTGCTTTAATAAGGATGTAAGATATACTAAAGGACATATGTAGACTTGGGTTAAAGAATACAAAAGTATTTTATATGATGAACAGCTGAAAGAACTGGATTGTCTGGATCACACTTCTGCTTGGTTTTGGCTTCATTAACTCCTATTCATTCTCTATGTTTCAAGTTAAAGCCAACTGTTCTAGGAAGCCTTTTTGAAATCAAATTCTAAGCCAAATTCTAAGCCACATGTCTCTCTGTAACAATTTCTTCTTTATTTGTGACTTTTACCAGAGTGGTTTTGCCAGGGACAAAACACAGACCTTTTGTCCTTCTGAATCTCAGCCATCCTACAGGGTTTGGCTTTTGGATTTTTTTAATACGTATCAGTTGAATGAATGACTCTCATCTAGACTTCAAGAAGCTACCTTTCTTTTGACTCAGCTTTGCCACTGCCCAACAGTGCTTGATCCTATGTTCTTCATATAGTGGGTACTGAATTGTACTTATTAAGAGCGTAAAACAACTACTGTGGAAAGGCGTAAAATGTCTGAGTTACAATTTCCTTCCCTGAGAAACAAGGAGTAAAATAATCACAGCTCACCAATTTGCTCCCCAATTTAAAAGGAACTTACCAGCAGAATCTTCCCATAGTCTCTCAATACAGACGATATGAGGTTGTAGATTGGCCTCTGAGGGCTCCACATAGACGTAATCTCCAACATGGTACATGCTGTTCTTAAAGCTGCAGTCCTGGCTGTATGTGCGATGTAAGCCTGAGAGGCCTGCAGCTCCTGAGGAATCTTCACTCTTTTCAGCTTCTTAGGTAAAAAAGAGAAAAATGTCCCCATGAAAGGGATGTGGGAATCAGATGCAGGATTAAAACTACACATACTAATATATATAATTCTTTTCCAGATACTCCAAGGCAGGATTCAGGACAAATAGTATGATATCCACATTCCCAATAGTCTCCACTCAAAATTGTCTTTTTAAATTACAGCCAACTGACATTAATTTAAATAAACACATAAATAAAGTATCTACAGAATAAAAATAATCACCTTAATAATATATGCTCACTGTAGTCATTTTGGATGATACAGAAAGGTATAAAGAAGAAAACAGGCCACTCATAAATCATGTGATCCTAGAGATAAATCTTGTATGTAATTTCTTTCCATCTTAATACCTCTGAAATTTCTTTCTTCTGACTGTTGTTAACATGGTTATGTCACAATGAATGGAATCTTAGAACTAAGGAGATATGGAACATGTATTTCACACAATATACTGTAAACTATATATGAAAAGTACTAGTCACTCAGTTGTGACCGATTCTTTGCGACCCCAAGGACTGTCGTCTGCCACTCTCCTCTGTCTGTGGAATTGTCCAGGCAAGAATACTGGAATGGGTTGCCATTTCCTCCTCCAGGGATCAAACCTGTGCCTCCTGCAATGCAGGCAGATTCTTTACTGTCTGAGCTATCCGAGAAGCCCAGAAACTATATCTTTATACACTTAATATCATAAAAATTTCCTCTGAGATCAAATGCTTTTCAAGAAGATTTTTAGTTTTGCTAAAATATATTTTTTATGGTTTCCATATCACAAGCTGGAATCAAGATTGCCAGGAGAAATATCAACAACTTCAGATATGCAGATGATACCACTCTAATGGCAGAAAGTGAAGAGAAACTAAAGAGCCTCTTTTTTTTTTTTCATTTATTTTTATTAGTTGGAGGCTAATTACTTCACAACATTTCAGTGGGTTTTGTCATATAAAGAGCCTCTTGATGAGGATGAAAGACGAGTGAAACAGTGGGCTTAAAAGTCACCATTCAAAAAACTAAGATCATGGCATCTGGTCCCATCAATCATGGCAAATAGATGGGAAAAAAGTGGTAGTAGTGACAGATTTTACTTTCTTGGGCTCGAAAATCACCACAGATGACTGCAGCCATGAAATTAAAAGATGCTTACTCCTTGAAAGGAAAGCTAAAACAAACCTAAACAGTGTATTAAAAAGCAAAGATGTCACTTTGCCAACAAAGGTCTCTATAGTCGAAGCTATGGTTTATCCAGTAGCCATGTATGGATGTCAAAGTTGGACCACAGAGAAAGCTGTGCACTGAAGAACTAATGTCTTCAAACTGCGGTGCTGGAGAAGAGTCTTGAGAGCCCCTTGGACTGGAAGGAGATCAAACCAAACAATGCTAAAGGAAATCAACCCTGAATATTAACTGAAAGGACTGATGCTGAAGTTCCAATACTTTGGCCATCTGATGTGAAGACCTACCAGTGGAAAAGACTTTGATGCTGGGAAGGACTGGAGGCAAAAAGAGAAGAGGGCAGCAGAGGATAAGATGGTTAGAGAGCATCATCAACTTAATGGACATGAATCTGAGCAAACTCTGGGAGACAGTAAAGAACAGGGAAGCCTAGCATGCTATACAGTCCATGGGGTCACAAAGAGTCGGACACGACTTAGCAACTAAACAACATATAAGCCATCATTTAAAACACCGTAGGTTTTTTTTTAGTAAAAAGCCCATTTCTTTGATTACTTCCTTCAGATAATTTTTCATAAATGGAAGATCTGGAAATAAGTACATAAAATGTTTTTAAATGCATGTTCCAAACTGACCCCCAAAGTCTATACCAACTTAAATTCATCATTATTTGGCTACAAGGGAGTGGGGGTCTGTTTCTCCATTCATTCTCTAATACTGGTATTATAAATTTTATAAAAAGTTTTGGCAATTTTGGTGGAAAATGTTATCTAGTAGTTGACTAATCAAATGAATCCTTGTGACATATGCAGTAGATTCACAAGGTTCTTGAGAATTTTATACCAGCAGGAACACTGGCCTGAAAGGGAGAGAAAGAGTACAAAATGAAAGAGGGCTAGTAATCCCCCCAAACTCTAGAGACAGGAAACAGGCTGATAAAACAACTCAGGTACAAACATGTGCTATCTTTCATGAAAAAAGATTCAGAGGGCAAAGTGTGGAGCCACAGAGAACTAATTCCAGGCCCTGAAGTCTAATATTTTCTCCTGCAGCCTTCACTTTTTCTGTTTCCGCTTAGGTTCTTTTTTTGTTTTGTTCTTTATCTTAACATCTTAGAGAGATTTCACTTAAATATTTGGACCCATTTAAATAAATATCTGCTTCTATTTAAAACGTTAAAACACTTAAAAAGCTGACTGGAAGCTCTCCATGCATAAACAGAGCTGGCTGAATGACAGATTTCATTGAGGACCAGATGTCATCTCTAGTTATGCCCCACTGCCTGCTGCATTTCTCAAGAGAAAAATTCTCCCTGTCTCAAAATTAAAAGCTATTCTAGCAGATCAGAAGTTTAGAAGATCAGGGGTCTCACTATTTGGCATAAATCCTTTCGTAACTCCCCTCTTCAAAACCATACCCCAACCCTTAGGTCAGCCTGCTGTCCCTGAGTCTGGACACTTCAGGGATGAACAGTCAAGAGGAAGGGTGGGGAGGTAATCTAGACGTTCAACTCCTTTAAATTTAGACTTTCAACTAAACTTTTTGTTTCCAGTCTTGCATGCACCTTCATTTTTCAGGTGTACATGGCATTCTAATGCTTTCGCCTTTCTCGACAGTAAATGGCCTGCTAAGGTCTTTATATGACGCTAGCCTTGAAGCCAGCATTAGCAACTTATCTATCAATTTTACTAGCTTCCAAATTTTAACTGCCATCATCTTCTCCTCCACTATTTCCTTCACTTTTTTTGAGGGGAGTGAATGCTTTTGTGTTTGTTTTTTGTTTTGTTTTAAAAGCCACTTTCCATCATTTAAGTCATTTTGGAAGAAGGAGCAATGGTATCTGCATACAATCTGCCCACATTTATGTAGTCTTACTTTTGCTTACTGACCCAAGTAGGCATAGTTAGTTCTGGTATTTAATATAAAAACAGGGTGTGTAACATCTTGTCTCCCTCAATTTCCACTGATTATTAAGAAACCTACTCTGCAACTTAAAGACAGAGAAGGCTGACTGACATAAAACCACCATTCTCTCTAGCATTTTGCAGTCTTTCAATACTCATAACTAACTAGTTACAACAACCTTCAGAGTACTCTGCTTCTAAGCTTTTCCTACCCCATCCTTCAAGTGCTGACCTCACATTCTACGGCAAAGCACCACTTCCTAGCTACCTCCAGTCTCATGCTGGGGAAACAGTCTCTGAATTAGTGCAAAAGGTGAGTAATTACTAACAGGGATGCTCTGGCAGCCTCAGAAAGCAGTTCTTTGCAGCAGTCTTTCTTTCCTCTCGTCAGCAAAGGCTCCCCGGCTCAGAAGACAGGTACAACGTTGAAAGAGGAAATCCAAGTCTCCTGGCTTTTTGCTTTATGTGGCTCTGCTTTTCAACCACAGGTATTCATCATAGATTAAGTCATCGAAAATATTTCCTGGTATCTAAGGATCAATTAGCAGAGTGACGTCAATATAGGGAATTCCCTGGCAGTCGAGAGGTTAGAACTTGACACTTTCACTAAGGAAGGTCTGGGTTCAGTCCCTGGTCAGGGAACTAATATCCTGTAAGTCATGTGGCATGGCCAAAACCCCCACAAAAATGTCAGTATTGCCTTTTCTCTAGAATGTGCCACCTTATATTGGGTTCACAAATCACTGCTAATCCACCAAGAAGGAAGGCAGGTGCCATAAGTTTTTGCTCCTCCATTCATTAAATCCAAGGCCTTAGAGCAGTGATTCCCAGACTTAAGTGCACATCAGAACGACCTACAGGTCTTGCTAAAAAAAAAGACTGCGGCGTCCCTCCCTCAGAGTTTCTGAATTGGTAAGTCTAGCATGGGAACAGAGCACCAGCATTTCTAAAAAGTTAACAGGTGATGCTGATGCTGCTTGCCTAGAGGTCATACTGTGAAAGCTGGCTTTGAGTAATTCAAAGAGCAACTGTCATTAATTTTGCATTGCCAGGGAAAGTATCAACTAAATTTAAACAGAAAAAATTCCAAGTATACAAAATTTTGTCACGGGTGTCTCAAGCATCACTCAGTACAGTACTGGCATTCTGTCTTTTTCACTCACTGAATTCTGTTTTGCTCTTTATTATTTCCTCTATTTACTTCAGGCTTGATTTGCCCTTCTTCTACATTTCTGAAGTGGAAAAATGCATTCATTTTTATGAATTTAAACATGTATATTTCTAATACATGTTTAAAAATCTGTAAATTTCCTAGTAACTACCTTATCTATATCCCATAAATTTTAATATATTATTTTTGCTTTTATTCGGTACAAGATTTTTCTAATTGTTCTTCTGAAGTCTTCTTTGATCCATGGTTTATTGAGAAATGTACTGCTTCATTTCCAAATATTTGGGGATTTTCTAGATTTCCTTCTGCTGATTTCTAATTTCTAATCTAATCCTATTGTATTCAAAGAACAAACTTTGTATGCTTTCAATCCTTTAAAATTTTTGAAACTTATTTTATGACCCAGCTCATGGTCCCTTCTAGATAATGTTCCATGCAGGGTCTACAAGAATGTGTATTCTGTAGTCACTGGTGTAGTTTTACACGTCCGTCAGGTCAAGCCAGCTGACAGTACTGTCCAAGAACTCAGGTTGCTGTAAGAAGACGCACCACAGACAACGGTGTGGGTTAAACAACGAACATCCATGTCTCACAGTTCTGGAGGCAGATCTGGCCTATGGTGAGGACCCACTTTCGGCTTCAGACCGCCGTCTTCCTGCTCTTCATCCCCTTACAATGGCACCAACTCCACTGTGCTGACTGTACTCTCGTGACTACATCCAAACCTAATTATCTCCAAAAGGCCCCCATCTCCAAATACCAACACACTGGAGGCTACAATATAGGAATTTTGGTGGGGGACATGATATTCAGTCTATGACAGCCTAATCTTATTAAGTCATACTTTTGCCAATTTTTGGTTTAGCCTGTCATTTGCTGAGAAAGGTGCATCAAGACTCTAATAGTTGAACTATTTCCTTTTTTAGTTCTGTCAGTTTTTGCTTCATGGACTTTGCAGCCCCACGTTAGGTACATTTTGTTTGCTGCTTAGTTTCTAAGTTGTGTCTGACTCTTCCGTGACCCCATGGACTGCAGCCTGCCGGGTTCCTCTGTTCATGGGATTTCTCAGGCAAGAATACTGGAGTGGGCTGCCATTTTCTCCTCCATAGGTACATATACATTTGTAAGTATTATATGTTTTTGACCCTTTTAACATTTTAAAATGTCCCTCTTCATCTCTAGTAATATTTCTTAAAGTTTATTAAATTTAAGTAATTAACAAAGCCACTCCAACTCATTATGGTTACTATTTGCATGGTGTATCTTTCCACTTTGCTTCATCAGCTTCTCGCAACTCTACACATGGGCAGCTTTCCAATCAGCCAAGAATGTGTGGAGAGCTTATGTGAGTCCTTCTACAGTAATTTTCAGGATATTCCTCAATGTCAACTATTACTGGGGGAAGCAAAGCTGCAAGTTTAGCCAGTTCATTCCTGCATCAACTGCTTTTGTCGGCGGTCAAGACACAAGACCACCCCCTCTTCCAGTCCAACACACACCCATACACACCCACGCACTCTCTCTCTCACCATCATTAATGAGTACACTCCTCTGGGAAAAAGCTGCTGGTTTCTATTGGCAGGTAGCCCTATGCTGGTAAAATCAGTCCTCACCAACTGGGTTCCTTTCTCTTCTTTTTTCCATATGGCACTGCCTATGAGAATTTGCTTAAATCAACTTCTTTCACTCCCTTTCCTGAGGAAAAAATTCTAAGGAGCAGACTTGATGCCAAAGATAAATATGACTCTTGGAAAAATTACACATTCTAGGTATTTTATGTGAACTTTTTTCAGGAATGATTAACTTTCTAATAAAAGTTCCTACTTTCAAATATTTCTAAGCTCTGGCAAGTGACTCAAAGTAACATTTTTAGGTTGATACAATTAAAATAAAAATTTCCTCCTCCTTATGTGGTTCAACCCAAATATCTACTTGTCTGAGTCCATATAAGGACAGCCATGCTGTTGAACAATAGGGCAGAAACTTAATGCACTCACTGCTCAGAATGCTTTCGAGCCTCAGCTAGGCCCCTTAGGTTTTTATCTACCAGTAGTATTAAGAGGTATTAAGATGCCACATTTGTGAATTAACTGACTCTGTTCTTGAAATACTAAGAGTAAGAGCTGTGTCACAGGCAACTTCCAATCTTTCCCAGTCTGATGATTAAGTTGACAATGACAAAAACATTTCCAGCTTACCACGTCCATTTTGTAAGAGCCAACGCCCTGAGTCTTCATTTACACAAAGAGAGGTCTACTCCACAGCAAGACCAGCTAGGACAGAGTATAATAATGTTCCTTCATATTTAACAAAATGAAAAGAAACTAACCTCTTTTTTCTTCTTCTCGTTTTAGTTTATCTTCCTCTATTTCTTTTGGCAGTTTTTCCTTCTTTTCTTTCTCCACATCATTATGCAAATGTTTTGTGGTATAGCTGAGTGCTGGTGAAAGAAGGATCTCTCCATTTTTGCAGAGTTCATCACGAATTTTAATAAAAAACTGCTGAAGTTCTACTGCATCCTCATATATTTCAGAATCTGTCCTGTAACAGCATCAAGAACATTCACTGACACACAATATACTTCTTTTAAACACCCTGATCATATGTTAAAGCATCCCATGAAATGCTTCTTTAATGTAGGCACTGATACAGTGGTAACTTCTGAGCAGTTCTAATATGGGTATCTCCTTAAAATTTGTTCAATTTTACCTCAGTGAGTCTCCTGCCCACCAGTTTCCCTTTCCTTAAGGCTCATTCCCTGTACAGCTCATATAAAAGGAAAAGCCTCACCCAGCTTCCTGGGGGAGAAACGTGGTACATTCAATAGCTAAGTTTGGCAACAGAAGATGGCTGCCAGAATCAAGGACTATACTAAGGCTTCATACCATGTGTAACACTTACCTGAATCTAATCGTGGGTTAACTTTCTTTTAGTTAAGGGATCAACACACTAGATAAAATATTAACAGAAAATTCAGCCCATTTTTTTTGGGGGGGGGGAGGAATCTATATCATGGTTGTCTAGGCTGCTAGGACTCAGTAAATATTTGAACCTAAATTTCAAAGTCCTGAGAGTATCACAAAATGGTTGCAGGCCTCAGAGTTAGTGTTCATTTTATTTCCCGAGAAATAACTACATAATTCTGGGGAACCAGCAGAGGCAACACAAAGAAAGACAGAAAAAAAAAAAATCATCTGTGTCATATTGAAAACTTTTAAGAGATTCTCCCCATTTACACGGAGAAGGCAATGGCACCCCACTTCAGTACTCTCGCCTGGAAAAATCCCATGGACGGAGGAGCCTGGTAGGCTGCAGTCCATGGGGTCCCGGCGAGTCAGACGTGACTGAGCTACTTCACTTTCACTTTTCATTTTCCTGCATTGGAGAAAGAAATGGCAACCCACTCCAGTGTTCTTGCCTGGAGAATCGCAGGGTCAGGGGAGCCTCGTGGGCTGCCGTCTATGGGGTCGCACAGAGTTAGACATGACTGAAGCGACTTAGCAGCAGCAGCAGCCCCATTTATAAAATGAGACGATTGGCCAAAATGAACTTCATAATTTAGACTCAAAGAAATTTTATTACTATTTGTCATCCACTGTCGGTCTGAGGAAGGCCTAAAGATAATTCTACTAACTACTAGGAATATCAGGGTTTGAAAAATTATTCACAAAGGTAACCAGAGACAAAGACTTAGCAGCAGCCATGGAGGCATTCTGGTCAGGGCAGTGTGGATGCTGCAGCCAAACCCAGTCAGCTGCTTGCCAACACTGACCATTAGAGCATCAAACTTGAGAGAAGGCTCCAGAATGCTGCTCACAAGCACAGGTGACCTGGCAACCTAAAACACTGCCAATAACAACCCAGACGAGTGTTTCCAGGAAGATTCTGGAATCTTTTCAGGTTACAGAAATGCTAACACTTGTAGGAAAACAATAAAACTAAAACTGGCCAAGGGAAGAAGCTTGAACAACACTATTTTGATGCCTATTTTCTGAATAGAGACTTCTGAAGGCTGTTCTGCTGCTGCTGCTGCTAAGCGCTTCAGTCGTGTCCTACTCTGTGCGAAGCCAGGAACTGCAGCCCACCAGGCTCCTCCGTCCATGGGATTTTCCAGTCAAGAGTACTGGAGTGGGTTGCCATTGCCTTCTCCGGAAGGCTGTTCACTTGAAATTAATTCTATAAGAGCTTATAGTTACAAGTATAAAATTAAAACTGAAAATGCACTTTTGATAATCCATGCTACATTCAAAGGGCAGATTTATAATTCCATCATGCACTCAGAACATCGTGTGATTTAAAAATTACAAATTGTGTAATTTAAAAATTACAAATTGTTTACTTCTGGGTTTTTCATTTAGTATTTTTGGATCTGGGCTGATCTTGGTAACTGATCTTGGGTTTCACTTGGAGAAAGTGAAACCTCAGACAAAGAAGGGAATACTGTAAAGTTACGTTGGACTCTTATCTCCTAGGCCTCAATAGCAAAAACTAATCAGGTCAACAATGGGAGAAAGAAAAGAGCTTATTTCTAACAGATAGAAATCTGCTTAGTTCCTACAATAATCATATCATCTATACAAGGAACAAAGCTCCTAATAATCTAAGAAAGAAAGAAAGTGAAGTCGTTCAGTCGTGTCTGACTCTCTGCGACTCCATGGAGTATAGCCGTCAGGCTCCTCGTCCATGGAATTTTCCAGGCAAGGGATAATGGAGTGGGTTGCCATTTCCTTCTCTAGGGGATCTTCCCGACCCAGGGATCAAAGCCAGATCTCCTGCACTGCAGGCAGACTCTTTACCATCTGAGCCACGAAGGAAGCCCAATAATAATCTAAGAGACAACTGTATTTTGGAAGACTCATTCACAGAACTAAGCCCAAGAAGTAATGGGGGTAGGGTGTGGGGTAGGGAGAAGAGGAGTGACTTTAGACTTAAGGACTATTTAAGTAAACTGAGAACAAAAATAGAACTCTAAGCTCTATGAGGGAAGGGTTTGTCTGTTTTGCCCACTGGTATATTCCATGTATCCAGATCATGCTCATAACTGGTAGCTACATTTAATAACTATTTTTAGGATAAATGAAAACTAAGAAATAACTGAACACAGATTCTGACTGCAGGATGCACTCCCCCCCGCCCCACGCCCAATTTATTTCTCTCTACTTCTCCCTGCACTGTTGAAGAATAAGGACCGTATCTGAAACGTGTCTCTCAGAGGCTTCGCCAACCCGACCCTAGCTCTACCTGTCCTGGGAACACACCACACTCATTTCCTAACCTTATGCCTTTACTCACATCACTTACCTGATGTGAATTCCACCCATTTCCCCATGCTTCCCTGATATCTCATGCTCTTTAGAACCCTAAAGAAGTTTATTACTCCACCATCTTACTAAATACCAACCAAGTCCTTAAATGTTATCTCATGCCAGGAATGACTGCTCCCTAAGCACAGGTGCTGTTCCAGTTGGAACTATCAGACTTTAAGCTCTTAGAGCACAGAGCTCAAGTCTTACCATCCCTGGCTGTACTGTTGACTTGCCTCCTGGTGACTGGCTCAGCAGCAGTGCTCTGCAGTGAGGCACAAGATAAGCCACTGCACTTACTAGTTGTGTGACTATGGCAAGTTACTTCTCTCTGTCGTGCACGTCTTCATATACAAACTGGAAGATTACTGCTTACCTATGATGGCTATAGTAAGGGTTAGAGATCGTCTACATGGTACTTTACAAAGGGCAAGCACTCAATAGGAACAGCGAATATTACTTTTCACTTTTCTTTCAAGATCCAGAGCAAACCCAGGCTTCATAAAGTCCCTGACCGGAATTATCCCATGCCCACTGACTAAAGGTCTAGCATCAGCATGACAGATAATAAGCTCTAGGAAGATAGGGTTTGTATTCTTAACTCTGATTCTCCCCAAGTGATCCCAAGAGCACACAGAAGACACACCATAATTGCTGAACTGAAACTGTTTCCACAGCTGAGTATATGCTATTGTTGTGTGACAAATATACAGCATAGATCAAAATCTGAAGGGGATTTAAGTTTGATGGAAATTTAAATTTGACTGCCTCTTCTTTTCATAACATTTAATGTCTGCAGAATGAACTTAAAAGTGACAAATCTGAAATTAAAAAGAAGCCCTTTGAGGAGTCTGAAATGGCAATCAAATTTAAATCAGTGTAAGCTCAGATCAATATTTTAGAGCTACTTTATTTAAAGCACACTTGCACTGAACTCAAACTTTAAAAGAAAATTCTATTATTATTTCTAATTAAAAGCATTCCATCCTTTTAAAATACATGTTTATGAAAGGCTGTATTTTGAAAGTTTATCCTTTTCAACATATCCTCAACTTTGCTTCTCATTTCTTCCCCTCATTGGCCCTAGACAATTCAGTAGTGTGTCTTCTCTCCCTTAGAACATTCTTACTCTCTATACATTCTAATTAAAATTCAACATAGCACCCCATCAACTGTATGCTGAAATAGCACATCAAAGCAAATTCTTTCTTCTATTTTACATTAAATGTCACACCTTCTCAAAAAGGAATGACTTTGAAAACATACCGATTCATCCTTCTTGCCCTCTCCAATACTTCAAACATATGCTCTTGAAATAAATCAAGCCGTCGGTAGCGGTTATTTTCAACATTCTTCCTAATTATGTCAAAAGTAAGAGGAGGTTTGTTTGGAAAGCTGGGATCCACAGCAGGAATTTCTGCTAATGAATCACTGTAGCATCTTCCTTCATCATCCTGATGACTCATGACTGACACAAAAAGATTATGGATAAGCTCCTGAATCAGCAAGGTTACATTTGGGACATGCGAGTCCTCATCTCCTTCTAAGTCTCTCCGAGTTTCAAGCAGGACTTTGTGTAGGACAAGGGCATCTTTGTAGATCAAAGACTCAGGCTCATTGTATGTACAAGCATTGTTAAACATCATGACGAAGTCCTCAACCATAGAGTCTATATCTTGGTATTTGTTGGCCATCATGTGACTTCGAATTTTTTCCATGTCCATGGGCTTTTTAATGGTCAAATAGTAGTCAGGCAGTTCGGATCTGGAGGGAAGCCTCAGAAATATGGCACTGAGACGACGACCCCTCTTATCAGTGTAGTTCTTTACAGCTTCATAGACTTCATTTAGTTTCTGCTGCATTGGAGTCATATATTTTGATTTTTTAGGAGAAATACCACTCTTCCTACCTAAAGTAAAAGATTTAATGTTAAATGGATAAAATAAAACAAATGAACCTAAATTTGTATATAGTTGATAGCATAACCACAAGGAAGGAATTATTTTAAGTGATGTATAAAAAAAAGTAATTAGCATTTTTCTAGTGAAATATATCCCATCAACAAAGAAAGAACTAGAAAAACAAACTATTTTCAGTACTCATATTTTTGGTGGGAGAGTAAGAACTGTTATGTTGAGATAGTGTGAATAAGGCAGAATAAAGGAAATGAGCAGTTATGTGACACTCTAATTCCATCTCCTATGGTATCCTTGAGAACTGAGATTTTCATCAAGGCAGAAAAAGAGATAAACACATTAAAACAGAGGACACTGAATAAAAACCTTGTGGCTTGGCATCTCAACTGATCAATATAAACTTATGGTGAATTTTCTCTTTAAATATAAAATAAAAAATTTCTTATCCCTGTCCACTGAAAATTCTAGAACAGTGACCAACCCAATTGCAGTATACCCCTAAATAATTCTGACTATATTTTTAGAATACTGATTTCAAAAACTAATGTTATTAGCTCTTTGGTAAACGGTTGATTCCCAGTCTACAGAAGATCAGTCTGCTATATCTGGAGATGCTCGACAGTAAGAATCTATCAACGACTTCTTACTATAGTCAGCTAGAAAGACCACAGCAGCCAGCCTTGGACAACATTAAATATCAACAAGAACCATAATTGCAATGGGTTAAAACTCAGGAATATGTTTAAATCTAATAGTCCTTAATGATAAATAAAAACAAACAATGGGGTAGATGTTGCAGGATTTTAGTAAGCCAATGCACTACCTTGTCTCTTTGAAAACTGGTAAATGAAAAGGGAAATCTAGCTTTTATCCTTTCAAAAACCAAAAGAATACATACAAACAAAAAACCCATCCACTGGGTAACCAAATACGGATAAGGCAGTTTCTCTACAAAGGATTTCAGTTAGTAACTGAGCAAGCAATGATAAAATTAAACTAGTACTACTTTACATCTCTTCAATAAATTTATGTAGCATGCGTCAATAGCTATTAACATAATTTAAAGAAACAACCAGATATCACATGCCACCTGATGGAAGACTATACTACCTCTTATGTCAGGTTCTGTGCCAAAGTGAGTGAAGAATCAAATTTAAAATCTGGATCTGATCAACTACCAATTTATAGGAAATACAAAGGACAAAGGAACACGTGAATACTGCAGCAAAGGGATACAATTACCAAAACCTAGACTGTGGAAAACTACAGTACAAACCCAATTTCCTCAACAAACTGCAAGACAAAAAGAGATGGAGAACTTACAGACTAAAAGAACTATCAATCAAATGTAACGTGTGGACCTTACTTGACAAGTTGAAACTGCATCTAATCAAGCCACTGAAGTTAATGTCCATTTATAAGAAATAAGGAAAAAGTAAAATGACATCCTAAGGAAGTAAACTAAGTGACTAAGAACTCTGGACTGTACAAGGAAGTGACTAGGTTTCTAGAGTCAACAGGAGGATGAAAAAAAGGAGGAGGACTGCTCTGAAGTATGAGTTTAAGTAAAATAATCAAATGTAATACACAGAACTTAACTAGATCCTGACTGGAAGAAACCCATTGTAAAAATATATTTGTGAGACAATCAGTAAAATTTGAAAATTTATAAGGCATTAGAGGAAACCAAGAAACTACTAATTTTGTAATGTGTGACAATGATGTTATGATTATTTAAGAAAGTATCTGCATATTTTAAAGATGCATAATGAACTATATAGAAATAAAATGACATGACTGGATGTGTCTTATAATTCAGAACAAAGAAAAAAGAAGGGCAAAGGGAATATGGGAAATAAGTATGGCACAATCTTGATAAATGCTGAGTAACAGGTATAGACAGGGATTTATTGTACTGTTCTTTATATTTGTGTATGTTTTGAGTTTTTCATAATATAACATTGAGAAATGAAAAGAAAATTAACACTGCATGGTAAAATCTCCTCTCCCTGAACTTTAAAAAAATATATACATGTATTTATATAATTTAGTTCTATATTTACTATTAACTAAACAATAACTAATACAGTTACTATTAAAGTATCTGTCATTAGTTTCTTAACTCAACTTATATAATTAATTTTAGTTTTAAAAGATATTATGTCCTTATAAATTAGGAGACTTTCATTCCTGCAGTGAAAAATTAGAAGGTTTTCATTGTTGTATGCTTTTATAATTACATGAAAAAATAAGTAGCTTAACAAAAAGGAATGATCACTTAAGCAATAAATCATACCCAAAACTATTGCAAATTCAGTTTAGTCATTCCATACAAAAAATTAGAGTTTGTTCTTTCCATTTTAGCAAATATGACTCTAAAGAATGTTTGAAAACACCACTATCATTTGTTTGATATTTATTTATGTATTTTAAAGAAGGCAGAAACCTCTTCTTTAGCCCAATGGTACTAATTATTTTTGCTTTCTTTCTTCTCTTTACAGTTTGCTTTGTTTTTTGGACATGACCATTTTTAAAGTCTTTACAGAATTTGCTACAATACTACTTTTTTTTTATGTGGTTTGTTTTGTTTTGTTTTGGCTGCAAAGCTTGGGGGTCCCAGCTCCTCAACCAGGACCAAACCCTAACCCCTGCACTGGAAGGCAAAGTCCTAACCGATGGACTGCCAGCAAAGTCCCTCTCACAGTTTTTAACATAACAACCATTTACAGCCCACACTCAACAGATAGCTGAGTTAACTTACAGTACAGTAGCTAGACATCTCTAACCTCTCAAATTCTGTCTAGGAGGGAGTCACTTTTTTTTGGAGGGGGGACTCACTTTTAATTCCAGTAACTTAGCAAACAAACAGACCCAAAAACAGGAAGAAAATTAAAACCTGCCCCTATACTTTTTCCAGGCATCACACATAGAAAAAGTATCTATTCTCACTATTTAACATTTACAAAATGTCCACTGCATTCAAAAAAAGTAAACAAAACCTTTTGACATTATATTCTTCTATTCCTCATGCGCTTTTATGCTTACTTAAAATACAGAAGAGAGTGCTTGAGAGAAACCAAGAAACTCTGTGCTGGAGTGCAAGTTCAATTATGTTCACCAATTAATTAAATATTTCAGTAAATCAGGAAATAGCAACCCACTCCAATACTCTTGCGTGGAGAGTCCCATGGACAGAGGAGCCTGGTGGGCTACAGTCCAAGGGGCCGCAACAGTCAGACACGACTTAGCAACTAAACCAGCCAACCCACACTTGACAGACTGGACTGAACCATGGAGTGTGAGGCTGCCTTACTCAGCTTGAGTTTGGGAGATGCCATGTCATCATCATCAGGCAGTGGGCCCAGCTCTTTCCTTTTATCCTTGAGTAACTTCTCCAGGATGTGTGCATCATTGTACACCTATATTCAATTACAAATAAAATTAAAATTATTTTCTAAGAAGCTTTCTATTGAAGTATATGTATCCATAAAGTAGTTTTAAAAACACAGGTTAGGACAGTTGAGAACTAAAGCAATAAAGTCTGAGATCACAACAGAGCAACAAATCCCATCTCTGTGGGATGGGTCTTGGTTCATTGTTTAAAGCTTTCCAGGTATTTCTAATGTGCACCCATGCTGGCTGAAGTTTGAGAATTACTGTACTAGAATCACTACAAGTTTCTGCAGAAGTTCTGAAACATATTTACATGTGCTGTTTCTTGATAAATCTCTCTTACACTGGACCCTCTAGGTAGCAGACTTAGCTCAATGGAAATTAAAAATACATGATAGTTGGAGAAAAACATCTCAAATATTATTAAAAGAGATTTAATATCAGTGTGCATTCATAGCCTGGAATCTGATTTGTGAAAAGCAATAATCTCTGCTTAGTCTCTCTCTCGGAAGGCTGAGCCAAGGGTGATAATATATAGCCAAGGACAAAGTTACTCACCCAGTGGCTTGGCCCCCACAGTTGCCTCCTCCCACATTCCCCACCCCAGTCCAAAGGCTCTCCTCCCTGAACACCACCAGAGCAGAGGAACTGAAGGAATAGCTGATCTCTCTTTTTTGGCAACCTCTCTTAAGGGTGGCTTTTTTCTCTACCAGTGGCAAACAAGTGGCACATTACCCAATGACACTGAGGACAGTGTAAACCCCAATGGCAGAAGAGAACCATTTCTCTGATTACAAGCATCCTCAGCGCCTACTTTATTTTATATTCAAATGCAGTAACATAAGAATGGAAATATAAATGATTTGAAAATGTAATTTCATTTCTGGGAAACTTAGAGCAGACAAAGAAACTCAGAAAAGATCTATGGACCTCCAAACCATGTTCACTGCAGCATATTTACAATGGCCAAGACATGGAAACAACCTAAGTGTTCATGGAAGAGTGACTGGATAAAGAACACGTCACACACAGAGAGGAACACCATTCAGCCATAAAAAGAATGAAATCCTACCATCTGCGACAACATGGAAGACAAATCCTGAGGGCATTGTGCTAAATGAAATAAGTAAGGTAAGACAGAGAAAGACAAATACTCTATGATCTCACTTATAAGGAAACTAAAATACCATTCCTCGGCCCCCCAAAAATCTCAAGTTCATAGATACAGAGAATAGACTGATGGCTGCCAGAGGATGGGCAAGATGAGTAACGGGGTCAAAAGGTACAAACTCCAGTTATAAAAATAAATAAATCATGGGGATGTAATGTACAGCATGGCAACTATACTTAGTAACACTGTATTGTATATTTGCAGGATGCTAAGATAGTAGATCTTAAAAGTTCTCATCACAAGAAAAAAAATTGTTAACTGCATATGGTGATGGATATTAACTAGAATTAATGTGATCATTTTGCAACATATACAAATATTCAATCACCATGTTGTACACTTGAAATGCATGTCACTTATACTTCAATTTATTAATAAAAAATAAAGTAGATAAAGGATACTGAGTAGAAAAATATATGAAAGGAAGAATATATCATAGCTTTACTGATGAAGAACTGAAAATCAAGATGCTTCCTAACAAAATCAATTATTTAAAGGTGTTTTATTGAAAATATCCTATTATTTATATTGCTGCTGTTGTTTTTCAGGTGCTCATTTGTGTCCAACTCTTTGTGACCCCATGGACTACAGCACACCAGGTTTCCCTATCCTTCACATCTCCCAGAGTTTGCTCAAACTCATGTCCATTGAGTTGGTGATGCCATCCAACCATCTCATCCTCTGTCGTCCCCTTCTTCTCCTGCCTTCAATTTTTCCCATCACCAGGGTCTTTTCTAATGAGTGGGCTCTTTGCATCAGATGGCAAAAGTACTGGAGCTTCAGCTTCAGCATCAATCCTTCCAATGAATGCTTAGGAAAAGCATTCAAAAAATTCATCTACATATCTGAGGTTACTGATATTTCTCCTAGCAATCTGGATTCTAACTTTTGCTTCATCCAGTCCAACATTTCACATGACGTACTCTGAACATCACAATAAAACAGTCCTGTGGTCACTGTTGTCAGTTCAGTTCAGCTGCTCAGTCGTGTCCGACTCTTTGCGACCCCATGAATCGCAGCACGCCAGGCCTCCCTGTCCATCACCAACTCCCAGAGTCTACCCAAACCCATGTCCGTCGAGTCGGTAATGCCATCCAGCCATCTCATCCTCTGTCATCCCTTTCTCCTCCTGCCCCCAATCCTTCCCAGCATCAGGGTCTTTTCCAATGAGTCAACTCTTCACGTGAGGTGGCCTAAGTATTGGAGTTTCAGCTTCAGCATCAGTCCTTCCAATCAACACCCAGGACTGATATCCTTTAGGATGGACTGGTTGGATCTCCTTGCAGTCCAAGGGACTCTCAAGAGTCCTCTCCAACACCACAGTTCAAAAGCATCACTTCTTCGGTGCTCAGCTTTCTTCACCATACAACACTCACATCCATACTTGACCACTGGAAAAACCATAGCCTTGACTAGACGGACCTTTTTTGGCAAAGTAATGTCTCTGCTTTTAAATATGCTATCCAGGTTAGTCATAACTTTCCTTCCAAGGAGTAAGCGTCTTTTAATTTCATGGCTGCAATCACCATCTGCAGTGATTTTGGAACCCAGAAAAATAAAGTTTGATACTGTTTCCACTGTTTCCCCATCTATCTCCCATGAAGTGATGAGACCAGATGCCATGATCTTAGTTTTCTGAAGGTTGAGCTTTAAGCCAACTTTTTCACTCTCCTCCTTCACTTTCATCAAGAGGCTTTTTAAGTCCCTCTTCACTTTCTGCCATAAGGGTGGTATTGTCTGCATATCTGAGGTTATTGATATTTCTCCCGGCAATCTTGATTCTAGCGTGTGCTTCTTCCAGCCCAGCGTTTCTCATGATGTACTTAAATGTACTTACATCTCATGATTTAAGTTAAAAAAGCAGGGTGACAATATACAGCCTTTTTTTTTTTTTTTAAATATACAGCCTTAATGTACTCCTTTTCCTATTTGGAACCAATCTGTTGTTCCATGTCCAGTTCTAACTGTTGCTTCCAGACCTGCATACAGGTTTCTCAAGAGACAGGTCAGATGGTCTGGTATTCCCATCTCTTTCAGAATTTTCCACAGTTTATTGTGATCCACACAGTCAAAGGCTTTGGCATAGTCAATAAAGCAGAAATAGATGTTTTTCTGGAACTCTCTTGCTTTTTTGATGATCCAGCGTATGTTGGCAATTTGATCTCTGGTTCCTCTGCCTTTTCTAAAACCAGCTTGAACATCTGGAAGTTCACGGTTCACGTATTGCTAAAGCCTGGCTTGGAGAATTTTGAGCATTACTTTGCTAGCGTGTGAGATGAGTGCAATTGTGAGGTAGTTTGAGCATTCTTTGGCATTGCCTTTCTTTGGGATTGGAATGAAAACTGACCTTGTCCAGTCCTGTGACCACTACTGAGTTTTGCAAATTTGCTGGCATACTGAGTGCAGTACTTTCACAGCTTCATCTTTCAGGATTTGAAATAGCTCAACTGGAATTTCATCACCTCCACTAGCTTTGTTTGTAGTGATGCTTCCTAAGGCCCACTTGACTTCACATTCTAGGATGTCTGGCTCTAGTTGAGTGATCACACCATTGTGGTTATCTGGGTCATGAAGACCTCTTTTGTACAGTTCTTCTGTGTATTCTTGCCACCTCTTCTTAATATTTTCTGCTTCTGTTAGGTCCACACCGTCTTTTATTGTGCCCATCCTTGCATGAAATATTCCCTTGGTATCTCTAATTTTCTTGAAGAGATCTCCAGTCTTCCCCATTCTATTTATCTAATTATACTATTTTATAGACTATCCTTAGAGAAGCATGGCAACTGAGGATAGTAGTAACAATAATGATGAAAGATTTTACTGTCCTTGGCTTTCATCTGAGTGTTTGAATACCAGGCACTATGTAACACATTCTGTAAACATGAGCTCACTCTAATCCCACAACAACCCTAACGCAAGTACCACTGTTAACCCCATTTTACAGATGAGACTCAGAAAAGATAGGTTACTTACAGAGGAATTAGCAAGACAGGACTCAGATCTAAGATGTCAGATTACAGTCGACGGTCAGAATGCATGGAATCCGCGGATTCAGATGTTCAACAGTAATGACATTTCAAACAAGAGACTTGAGAATCTATGGATTTTGGTGCTGCAGGGGCCCGGGAACCCCTGGAACCAATCCCCTCCCCCAAGGCAATGAGGGGTAATTGTACAGAGTATAAAGTTTTAACCTTTACAATGTCCTGCCTCCAATTTTAAAAAATTAAGGAAAGACAAAATATTAAGCTAGTCATTGAGAATCATCATCTAAGTGAGGCGTCCAGCCAGGATTCCCACACGTCCTTACCTGGGAGCCCTCCTCATTGTAGTGCCTGGCATTCCGGAACATCAGCTTCATGTCTTCTATCATTCCCTCCTCCCCTGCATATTTGTCATTGCGGATGTTATGCTCAATTATTTTCAAGTCCATTGGCTCTAAGATGATTTTATAATAATCAGGATAGTCCTTTTTGGATGGCTTAACCATAAATAGATCACAAAGTCTTCTGCCTGAGCCTGGCTCACGAGCTTCAAGAACAACATTGAATAAGATTTTCATTCGCTGCTTTCTTATGTTCTTTTTACTGTTGGAAGGGAGAAAGGGGAAATACGAGAACAGGTTCAGTTTTCTTGATAGAAGAATGGATATGAAATAAAATTAATCTTGTGAACAGGTGCTTCATAATGATTACAATTTATTTATTACATATGGCACAGACACAGTAAACATGCTAGAAGCTATAAGCAAATATTAGGAAATTTTCCAAAATAGTTAAAACACAGTGACTCTGGCAGGAGTACCCAAGAACACCAGACAAACCTGTTTAGAATATTTATGAAATGCAATGCTTGAAAACAAGTATTGTCTAACACCAAAGAAAATGAAATTCTATTATCAATTTTTTGAAGAACAGAGCAAAAGTAGAATAAAACTGATGATTCCCTACTGTTACCAACAGTTCTCCCTTAAACACACACACACACACACACAGAGAAGTGTTCCATCTCCTAAGACAATCACTCCTGAACACCTGCATTTCCTGGTTATCAGAAAACAAAGGGATGCTGTCTGACAGACTAGTATCTCTACAGTGGGTACAAATGTTTCAGGCATTATCCTATCATGGTCAGTCCTTTCTCCCTCCCTCCATTATTCCACAATCCCAGCCTAGCTTAAAGAATAAATGGTCTGTGGTTCAACTAAGCTCCTGAGTAAATTTTCATCCTTGAGTATGAATCCATATCTCGTTATCCAAATTCCCCCAATGAGATGTTATGCTAGGAAATAGATGTCCTAGTACTACAGGACAAAGTACAAGGGACTACAGATTAGAACCCGAGTTACAAAAAGGCGTAAGGGAACATATGGGCCAGCCTCCTAATTATTGAGGAAATTGGCTCAGAGAAGTTAAATGACTTGCCCAAGGTGAGTTGTCCAATGAATTTTTAGAATTATTAGAATTAATGAATTACTAGAAGAGATGATCTTCCAATATGATTTCTGGCCCACTGTTTATATGTCCTCAGGACACAGATATCTAAGACTAGCCAGACTTGAACCAGCAAAACATCAGTCTCTGAGGGAGGTAATAAAAATAAATAACCTGTGACTTAATTTCTATTCAACACTTACTAAAAGGGCACAGTGTAGCATTTGGAGGTAAATATTTTCTATCCAGTTCCTATCTTACAAATGGAAGGAAGTTCAATACAGAAGCAAACTATGTGGCCAAACAGATCCGCTACTCCAGTCCTTTGGCCAATCTACTTCTGGGTCATAAAGAAGACAAAGGCCAGATATTTCCTAAATGAGGTTCAATATGCTTTTTTTAAAAAAAAAAGAAAACTCAAATAAAGGATAACAGATGAGAAAATAAATAAATACTCCATGTAAAAATTTTAAGTCTCAAAAATGCCTATCTTCCTAACATCACAGAGCATGAGGCAACCTGAAAGTGATCCAATCAGGAGACACAAAGGACTCCACTGCCTAGAGCTGGGATTACCCTTGTCACCTGTGTCTTCACTTGGGACTGCTCACTTCCACGGCGGCTCTGGAACCATCCCTGTCACATCCCCAATCAGTATTTTGGTGTCTATGTCAAGTAAGTGATTGTCTGACGACAGCGATCTAGGAGAAGTTTCATCTAGTGGTACCTGTTTCTCCAAAGAGGCATTCCCAGATGATGATGATGAGAGGGGAACAACTCTCTCAGTTCAGGACTTAAGCAAGTGAATAATGGGAGGGGAAGGCGGGACAAAGTTCCAGCATTGCAGAGTTCCGCACAACCTGGCAGAGACTGGATATCTTTAGCCTTTTAAGAAGCCTCTGAAGAAAAACTTTAGAACCTGGATTTGATAACACAGAATTTGATAACTGCTCTGAAAATTGACATTTAATGTTTTAAGACTTTTAACACTAATATTATGCTTTCTCCACTTGTATAATTCACTTTAAGAGAGTGATGTGTAACTAGTTTTCATCCTCAAAGGCAAGCAAAATTTTTGTTATTAGGGTCACACAATCTTCTCTGAACTAATTTAGCTTTGTTATTTTGTTTACATTTTTCCAGATCCTTATATTGCCTTTAAAACCAAGAACCTCCATTACTTTCAATCTAACTGCCAGAAAAAACTCAGAGCTAAACTTCATATTCTTCTGTAACTATATTAGTTTGAGTGGCTGGTATACTTGTTCTATCCTTTTCCAATATGATGCTAAATCTTACCATGTTCACACTTCTGAAAGTAACTTCAAACACTTTTGAAATGACATAAACCCTACATTACAAAAAGCTACCGTATTACCCTATTTGATATTTCTGTTTACTGTTTTCAAATGCCACTGCCCCTTTGATTTTTAGATTCGTCTCAGAACCCCTCTATTCATCCTACCTCTTTTCCTCCCTCAGACTATTAGCTGTAAACAGTTTGTTCACTCTTCCCTATTTTGGGAAAGGTGCATAATTAAATCCCAGACCTGGTAACTAGCACACTCATTCTTTTTTAAGCAGGACCTGTGAATATACTTAGGTAAAAAAAAATCTTAAGAGGGTTCAAAACCAGGGTTGTTCATTATGCACTTAAGGGTGTCATACTGAAGAGGATATCAATTCAGATCACAAATGCTGTTATATTAAACATACAATTTTAGAAGTTTATGGTCTTGTTAGCACTATGGTCTTCTGCTAACAAAGTCATTATATTACAACAATTTTCCAATAAAGGAACGTCAAGTGTTTTGAAAAGTGGGTACTTTTTCTAATTTGCAAAAAGATCATGAGTTAGTGGAGGCTTCACTCCGAATCCCTGATTTTCCAAGACCACCACCTTACCATCCTTTTGACCCCCAAACTCAGCCTAAAACACTGGAATCAATGTCACTTTTTGCTTCTCTTAGTTTATCACCAAGTCCTAGAGGACCTTCACAGCCCTTCTAGATCTGATCTTCCCTTTTAATTTTTCATGCCATGGTGTTAGTCCTAACCTTCATAGTTTGTGGCCAACCACTTTCTTAAATCTTATCATTATTTTTACTATGAAGCTATTATTTATTACATATTTATATTTGATATACACAAAAGATTACTATTTATAATTACAGATAACTCTTCTACCACATGCCAGGGACTATGCTAAGCACTTATCATTAATCCTCAAACTCAAGAACCAAGTACAATTATTACCCCAATTTTGGAAATGTAGACACAGAGGCTTGAAGACTTAAGTGAATACCTAAGGCCATAAAGTGAGTAATCAGAACTGAGACTTGAATCAGCGAAAGTCAGCAGGCTGCTTTTATCATACAAGTAAATGACAAAAAGCCAGCTCTTACCAAGGGACTCGAATCAAAGTCAACCCAGCTCACAGGCTTCAGGGTCTTCTGGTCTTTACCTCCCTGGCCCTAGATCTCTAGTGGTACCTGCTGTGAAGCTAAGTAAACCCAAAGGTTCCTTCTTTTACAAGGCTTTTATATTTCATCTTCAAGGAGCAAAACCTTTTTATTCATCTTAATGAATTTCCTGGTCCAATAACATCTGACTAAAACCAAAATGAAATCTACCATGTCTTGATGTCAACAGGAAATACCTCCAGGAAATAATCAGAGCTACATTCAGTGAGTATTCAGGCCCAGTTCCGTGAGTTTCAGGCATATTAAGCAATCAGGTCCTCACAGCAATCCTATGTAGGTTTTTGTCATCAACTCTTTTTTCAGATGAGGAAATTGTAATGAAGCTCAAATCATAGAGCTAATAAGAGCTGGGATTTGAACCTGGGCAGTCAGGGTCCAGAGTATGGGGTTATAACAGTACTCCACACTTCTGTTTCTTCTTCTACTACTCAGAACCAAGTGCCACATACTATGAGTCATGTAAAAGAAATACCAATTCATGGTCTTTTTCTTAAATTTACCAATTAAAGAAACGTTTCTTAAGGGAAACAGTAGGAAGAAGATACTAATATAGCAATTGTATAGAATGGACTATGTATGGTAGCAAATGTAGATAACTTCAAACATCTAACTTTCAAAGAAAAGCATGATAGGGAAATCGCATTTCCGAAAGCTATTTGGGCAATCACACAACACTTCCATACAACTATACAACCGTGTGCCTCACACAGTTATTCTACTACAGTGCTCCCACATAATTTCATTTGTTTTCAACCTGCCTCATTTCCCAGTCAGTAAATTCCTGGAAGGTAGAGATGATGACTCAACTTTTCCTTTACGACCTGTAAGAGGACAGTCTGGTGTTCTGCAAGCAACTGACACTCCATGAATGCCAGGTGGCAGAGGCGAAAATAAAAGCACCACAGGATGATTACTAGGACTACATACGGCAACTGAAGGGCTGTTTTTAAAATCATAAGTAACATGCAAAAGAATGGATGGCTTTAAAGAAATAAAACACAAACAAGACCAGAGACTAAAGAAATGTATTCATGCTCAAGAAGCACTAACCCAATGCACAGGCACCAATACAGACTGGTATCACTTGGATTATCAACACTGATTCTGACCCCTCCACCACCCCCAGTCTATAAGAGACGACCCTGAAGAGAAGTCCGCCGCCAGCCCTGGGACACAACCAGCCGCCACATCCTCAGCCTCTCTGCCTCTGCTGCAGCACAGCCGCCCCGGGCAAAGCTGGCAACAAATTAAGGGTCCTGACTATATCCAGACTAGTTTCTCAGTTAGCTTTACTAACATACTCCTAAACTATACTGTTTTCTTTATTCATGAGATAAATTGGCATCCAAATAAAAACCAGTATTTCACATGCTTAAGACTGCACTTTTTGCCTAATCAGTGCTGACCATGCCACAGAAGTTACACTTTAAAAAAACATGTTTATGCGTAAAAAAGGACTGCACACCTGGAGAGCCTCCTGAGACCCAACATCTCACTGTCAAGAGTGTTCCTGGGAAAGCAGAAACAAACATTACATGTGAAGAGAAACAAAACAAGCAACATTGGAGGTCATGTATAAACCAAATATGGTTGAGAAAAAAGAGGATTACTCAATCCAAAGGATAAAAGGTTTTAAGAATACTTGGAACATTTCAACATGGAAGACAGCAGGTAGATTTTAGGGTAGAGGGGTTGGGGAGAAGAATGCATTCCCAGAATGAAGAGAACATACCCACAGTAATTTTTTTCACAATCTTTGATACGAAAAAAATAAGGCAAAGACAGAATTGTATTCAATACTTCAGAGTCAAGTCAAGTAGTATTTGGAAACTTGGCCCTGCCTTCTCTGGATACGTTTAACTTAGCCTACTAGGCTGTCATGTTTCCCTGAGTTCTGGAGGAGCCCATTTCTTATTACCAAAGCCTCTTAACGTAACCACCTTCTAAAGGGCTTGTTACGTGTTTCCTTCGTCACAGTCCAAAGTACAGGACTTGCTTCTCTCAACCTTTTAATGTGTGCTCATGCCTGTATTTCAAACCCAGACATGTTCTTTTACTGCTTTAGCTATGATTTATATTTGCTCTTCTCTTACTTGTATTTTTCACTTCATTAAACAAAACACTTCCTAGGAAACCTGTGCATGAAAAGACTTTTTCTTTAAAGTGGGATTTTATTATTTCGAGAACATAATGCTTAGCTTTCTTTTTATGGGAGGTTTTAATTAGAGTGATAACTTTCATTTAATCTACTTGTGTTGTCCCACAAAGTACAAGCCATAGAGATTTTTTAAGGATCTGGCCTGGGCTAATGCTTCCTTGGAACTGTTTTCTTAACACTCAACTAGTTTAAGATCTCTCTTGTCATTCAGTGTTGGCACTAACTGTACCATCACTTTTGCCTCCATTACCTTCTTTTGCCTGAGAAGTTTTTATCTTTGATTGGTGACTGATCTGGAAAACACAGGTGATGCTGTAGTAGTTATATAATTACACTCAAAGATGTTCTTGATTTGATGTCTCTGATCTGGTCTCACATTTTTCCTCCGTTGTCCCTGGTATAACAAGGAATTAAGAACTTGGAAGGATGAAATTCATAGGCCAGTAATGGAGGAAACTCACACCTCAGGGCACACCAATCAATTTAGTTAACTTGGCATAGCATAGCAAAGTTATTTTCATTGTTGAAAAAAAAAAACTTCCCAAATGCTATTTACAGGGAAAGACAAGACAGCTTCTCTTTTCTAAACCGTTTTTTAAAAATTCTCTGGTGTCAGTGGATCTACAATACATGAACAGAACTGCATTAACAGTTACTAATGACTTCATTCAATTTTGAATCTGTCAGGCCCGGCTATTAGTGATGAACTTATTCTTTGTTTAAGGTTTCCTCCCTGCTATTACAAAGATGGTGAGATAGTTAAGGCTCAGGAAGAATACGGTGTTCCACAAAGATCAAGCCAGAGAAACTCCATGTGGGAGGCGCAGACAAAAGAGATGGTCTTGCATGATTCTTTATAGAAGTACAGCTTCACAATCTCACAGTAAGGTCCCCTTTCATAAAACCCATGAGAAAAAGGAAGGATTAGGGAAGCTGAGAGAAAGATTAGAAAGAAAAGAAAAACAAATATCTAGCTTAACCTGTTATGAACTACAAGAAGTTATAACTTGGTACTTTATAATATGACATCCTTAAAATAGCAAAGAAAGGTCAGATTAACAAGGAAAAACAAAGGGGTAAGAATAATGACTAACATTTTTTTTTTAATCGCCACACAGAAATCACCTAAATTAGATTTAAAGGGCTTCTTACAATGCCATATTAAAACAAAATAACCTGGACAGCAAAAATAGTAACATGTTTCACCAGGCTACATAAGTATTATTTTCAAATATGTTATCTAAAAACAACATGTTACCAAAAAAACACTAATCATACAATTAATTATTAAATGTTATAAAGTATTTAAATCTTATAATCCATACTTGACAGCTTAGAGAAACAATTTTCTGCACTTAAATCTGAAACAAAACAGAAACTGAGACGATGTCTCCAGTTACATGAAGAATATATACCTTTTTCTTTTGGCACTACCAGTATCAGAGGTGGCTGAAGAAATCATGCTGTCTCCATCCTCAATGTCGTCTCTCCTAGCAAGCTCTTTCTTCTTTGCCTAAAACAGAACAGACCCCAGGAGTCGAGCTCATTCTGCTGAGCACTTCTAGAAAATATGAATATTAAAGAGCTAGACACATCAGATTCAAGCAGAAAGATACAACCACATGTAGAATACTCAAAATGAAAAAGAAGTCATTAAACATTTTCAATAACCCAATTTAACAGAAGTTTGCATGACAGAAAAATAGGTTTAAAAAAATGGATCCAGAGAGTTGAGGAATCAACTCTAGCTAAACTGAATTTAAGACGCCGAAGGACACCAACTCATTCAAAGCACTGACACAAGTTGTTGGGGCATCCTGCCCTGGTGGCCGTATTTCAATAAAGCCAAGTCAAAGCTAGCCTTTAGCACCCTTGACTTAAGTAACAGTGTGACTAAGAAGAAAGCTTAAAGTGAGAGGTGAAATAAGATCTACTTTTCAACACATGCATTTTTAAAGACCTTCTGCCAAAGACAGCTAAAGTCCAACAACAGCAGACTTAGGGAATACACACAAAGTATTGAAAACAACATACTGAAATCCTCAGCATGGATCACAGAGCTGACCAAACAAAAATGGAGATTCTACAGGTGATAAAAAATTGCTTTTGTTGTTCCTTGCTCTGAGATTCTCTTTTCAGGAAGATACTACCAAAACTGACAGGTAGACACAATCTGTATTTCATATGTATGCCCTTTATTCTCAAAACACCGAGATGACCCATGGCCTCAGATGCCCTCCAAGGCGTGCTCTCAGAAATATTTCAATCAACTCATGGACACTGTACGATGATTAATTAGCCTAAAGATGTCCCTTCTCCTAGAACCAACACTACCTTAACAGAGACAGAGTCTAGAACCAAATAAATGAAATCTAAATGCAGAATATCATCTGTGATTGGAGGGAATCATCCTGATAACCCTAAAATCACTCCCCAGGGACAAATCCCTGTTTCTTCCACTCACAAAGCTAACCCAGTCTAAACTATTATTTCTACTCTGCATAGTCCTGAAAGCTCTTAAAAAAAATTAAAAAAAAAAATTCAGTAGTACTATGGCTAAAATGAATGATATGACATTGCTGGAGGAAAATCACATATCTTAACACACTCAATTATACATACAACAACTTAGCAAAACCAAGAAATTATACCTGCATGACTTGCTGCAGTTTTAGAACTCGCTTGTAGATGGCCGAGTTGGGAACATTATAGCGTTTGGCATTTTCAAACATTAAATTCAGATCACACTCCAAATGATCTAAAGTTTCATATTCTTGGTTTTTTAGCTTTGTTCTGTGAAAGACAAACACAGGGCTAGAACTTTCCATTTTGAATATGCAGAAACACCCTTCCTGAGAGTTCAGTGCAAAAATCTTGACAAACATTACAAGGTAGTTTACCAGTGATACTGATTAGAGGTATGGAAGTGACAACTTCCAAGTATAAAGTGAAGAAGCAAAAGCACCACTATATTTAGACAATATGATAATTTAACTGAAAACCCAAAAGAATAAAACACTACAAGAAGCAATAAGAGAACCTAGCAAGGTGGTCAACTACAAAGCAAACATTAGCAAAACTCCTAAGGGGAAAACCGTGGTACTGGTTACATGAAAACCCTGTTGTTCAGTCGATAAGTTGTGTCCAACTCTTTGCAACCCTATGGACTTGAGAACCCCAGCAGGCTTCTCTGTCCATGGGATTTCCCAGGCAAGAATACTAGAGCTGATTGCCATTTCCTCCTCCAGGGAATCTTGCCGACTCAGGGATGGAACCTGCTGTCTGCTCCATTCATAGGTGGATTTTTTGACCACTGAGTCACCAGGGAAGCCCTTATATGCACCCCCTAGGAAAAAATAAAAATCAGGGAGGTTTCAAGCTATCATAATGAAGAGTCATGGGGATCTACACATTTCAGAAAATAAGAGGTCATTCCTCTTGATGAGAGTTAAAGAAAAGAGAGCACTGGCAACTACATGAAGGAACATGTAGAATAATAACATTAATCTCCAGAGGAGTTGCATAAGGGAAATGAAGAGCAGTCCCTTTTTTTGGGGGTGGGGGGTGGTGGTGGTTCTGTGCTGTGCTGCTTGTGAGACCTTAGTTCCCCAACCATGAATTGAACCTGGCCCCAGAGTGAAAGTGCCAAGTCCTAACCACTGGACCACTAGGGAATTCCCTGAAGAGCAGTCTTAGATGGTAAATGAGAGGCAGATTAATGTTAGAGTCCTTTTGCTACTCTTCCTCCAACACAAACATTTGTAACTAATCACAATGGCTTAATACTGAGGGTTTTACTTACTTTAAGCCTTAAGAATTCTAACAGCTGTCTCAGACATTTAGGCTATTACTAACACTAAGGCTATTACGAGTCCCTATATTCTTGGTAGTGAGGCATCACAGTCTGCCTTAACACTATATGGATTTAGACAGGACAGACTTTTAAAGCTTAACTGAAGCACTCGTCTGCTATCCATCAAAGTCACAAAAACAGTATTAGGTAAAGAACCACATTATGTGTACAGCTTCAGAGAATTAACGTAGAGATTCTAGACTCTGCTTTTAGAATGATATATCATTCACTACATATGTAAAGTTTTACTTAAAATTTACTAAAATCATATATAGATTCCACGCAGTGCTTACAGAGATAAGAATGTTATAGAACATTTGATTCTCTGGGATGAAGCCAAAAAAAAACCAAACACTGAGCACATGCTCAGCTCTCACCACCTGTGGCTAGCAGCAAGAGTTTAAACTACAGGCTTGGACTTATTCATGCCAGCTTCAAGGATAACGTGCTGGATATTCTCAATACCCACAAAGAGCAATAGAGAACCTAAACTAGCATTAGTAGATGACAGTCTGTAACAAGTCTGCAGATATTTATCAGTCTGATATCACTCAAGGATGGGAGTGGGAAGGAAAGGGCAGAACAGGAAATAAAGCTCGGGGATGACAAGCCCCAGAGCAACAAAGGCGGTCTATGCAGCCATGCTGCTGAGCTCCTCCCTACCCTTCCTTTTTTTTCCTGCTTTTGATGACATTCAACTATATTCCTTCTGCTAACACATCTTCCTAGAATTGTGCTGTGCAATACAGTGGTCACACGTGTCTGTTTAAAGCAAAATAAAGTAAAACTTGAAATCTAGTTTCATTATGCCACATTTCAAGTTTTCAACAGTCACATGTGACGAGTGGCTATCAGAGACAGTACAGATAAAGTAACACTTCATCATCACATAAAGGGCTATTGGTCAGCACTGCTCAAGATTTTCCTGCTGCTCTGATGAAGAGCACAGTGGAAGGTGGTCCAGCTCCTATGGGGCACAACTGGTTCAGCATGCAAACTTGGAAAAGAAGTAGACTAGATGTCCTAAGAGTTGACACTTCAAAAGGGAAACCAAGATACAAAATTTTAAATGCAGGTAAATTGTTGTGATTAAAATATCAATAAAAGGAATAGGAAGAGAAATTTTACACAGTTATAAGAAAATGAACAGTTAAATTCTGAGCTGCATGACTTTTTTATAATCCATAATCTGACATACAAATGACTAGCTGGGATACCTTACATTTGTCTCTTGACACTACTGTAATACAAAGAATGCAATTTGTAGTTAATCAAACTTATTTCTCATATTTACATTGGTGTGATACTTAAGCATACTCTAGACATGTGAAAAACATTTTTATATCCTTATCCATTTTAGAAATGAAGGATATATGCACAGGCTCAATCACAAGAAAATAGATGTATACTGAGTAATGTAAATGATATTATTACCTGATCTGTTGTAGTGATATGGGTGTTTTAATTTGCTGATAATAATCAGGATATTTTTTCTTTGAAGGCAAATGGAAAAAAGGTTCAGCTATTAGCTGCCCTTGATTATTCCGACAGCTCCTAACTGTGTCATAAAGCTGATAAAAAGGATTTGAAACATCCATAAACGAAGTAATGCTCTCTGCTTCCGATTCTCCTTCTTCATATCGTGCAGCTACAAAGACATAAAAGATATTTACAAGGGGAATTAAAAAAAATTTTTTTTAAGCTTTTAACAACCTTTCAGACTATGCTATCTATGTTTGAGAATACTTATTTTAAAAGAATAGTCTCTAGCCGTCATTAAATATTCTGTAAGTAATGCTCAGTAAGTGTATGCTTACTTAGAGAAATGTTACATAGAAACAGAATGTTACATAGTAAAAGTTATACTGCCTTGGTTGTTGTAATTTAGTTGCTCAGTACTGTAGGACTCTTGTGACTCTTGTGATCCCACAGACCATAGCCTGCCAGGCTCCTCTGTCCATGGGAATTTTCCAGGCAAGAACACTGAAGTGGGGTGCCATTTCCTTCTCCAGGGGATATTCCCAGCCCAGGCATTGAACTCCTGTTTCCTCCAAGTCTCCTCTATACAAGGCAGAATCTTTACTCAAGGGAAGCCCTAACTGTCTGTCTTTAAAAGGTTACAAAACAGTTTCTCTGCCATCTTTAGAGATCCTTGCTTATGTGCGCTTGGACAAGAAAAGGAGCAAACAGTCATTCTCAGATCTCAGAAGTAAAGCGACAGCATATAGCTTAGCATAAATGTAGCTGGTGGCTGGTATTGACAAACTTGACTTAAAGTGAGGCAAAGTCAAAGAGATTCACCTATAGTATCCCTTAGGAAAGATGTTTTCCTTTATTGAGAAAACTTTGAGGTAGAAGCTAATCATAGAAACAACAAAACATGCAATCACTTTCACAGAAATACAAAATATACTCATTTCTCTGAACTCTTACATGGTGTACAAGGACCTGATTTAAGTTATTTCTTGATGGATCAGGATAACCAAAATCACTATGTCTCCCAGGCAAGTATGATAATCACTTATTCAGTACTCAGTTACGTATTAAGAGCGTGATAAGCACCATTCTCGGGTAATCCTAACATCAGCATACAGAACAGGTGTTGTTGTTTCTTTTCCAAAGGAGAAAAGTGGCCATGAGAGGCTGATGACCTGCCCGAGGTCAGCTGGCCTGTAAAGCAGTCGAGAAGGGTTCTGGACTTAAGAGTCAAGGAGCCAGAGGCACAGACAGAGACTGGAGACCATGCAGTCTGCCCTGGCTCCACTACCTCTTATCTTTTCATGAAGCTCTTGCACGTGTTTATTGAATTGAAATTTAGGAATATATTTTGCTGTTACTGTAAACTGTATCTTTTTTTAAAATTACATTTTCTTTTTATAGTTGATTCTGGAAATGAAGTCTTTTTGTATAATAATTTACATTAGCACTTTATTATTCTTATTAATTCTAGTAATTTATCTGTAGTCTTTTAAACAGAAAACTCAACTCTTCTGATCCTTACAGCTTCACTGTTATCACTGCTTGCTGGCTAGTACTTTGAACAAGAGGTAACAACATTTTAAACTTTGTTTCTTACAGTAGAATACTACAAATGTTTCTCCCCTGAAAGTGGAGATGCCATTTATCAGGTTAGGAAAGTCTTCTTCTATTCCTTAGTTTTTCTCATGAATGAGACTTGTAGTTTAATCAAATGTTTGCTGTGCCAACATCATGGTTTTGCTCCTTTAATCTACTAATACAGTAAATAATACTTTTAACTTTTATGCTGAACTAACCTAGTGTTCCTGAAATAAACTCAACTGTGTTATTGTGTATTACAGATACTGCTAAATATGTGTGCTTATGCAGATTGCATATACTGCTAGATACAGTGTGGTTATATTTTGTGTGGTTTTGGTTTTATATCATATTCAAAGAATAAATTGCAGAGTTCTTTTTTTATTCACTGCAGGAGTTTGTTATATAATTCTGTTCCTTGAATGTATGGCTTGGTGTTTTTAATGCAGGAGTATCTGTAATTAGCAATTTAATGTCTTTAATGGTGATATGACTAATCAGTCTTTTTATCCCTGAATCAGTTTTCAGGCATTTATCAGGTTCTAGGAATTTGTCAATTTTATCTAAACATTCAAGTTTATTTGCATTATGCTGTCTTCACATGCTCTATATGCTCTCTCTTCCCCCTAATATTTTTTTATTTGTGCCTTCTATTTCTTTACAATCTTGCTATAGATTTACATATTTTATTAAGAGCTGTAACAGGAAAATTTTTTACTTCATTGATCCTTCCCATTAGAGATTTCCTTTCTAAAGAATTACCTCCTGTCCTTGGCTTTACCATCTTTTATCTAACATCTCTGTTTTTCTTATTATTTATTTATCTTGGATGCTTGTTAGTTCATTAACTTTCAACAGTTTTTCTTTCTGAATAGAAGCAGTCAGAACTACAAATTTCCTTCTGAAGTATCACTTTAGTGGCACCTCCATTGTTTTGGATGTGTATTATTTTCATTATTGTTACTGTTCAAATTTAAGTAATTAAATTTCGATTACAATTACTCCTTTTAAAAATTTTATTAAAAAAAAAAAACACGTACGCAAAAGACTGTGAAGCCTGTGAAGGTTTTTGCTCCCCAAGTTGGTGGAAAACACTAAGTTGGCAGATTGGATTTTTAAATAAAGGTCTATTAAAAAAAACAAAAAACCTAAGTAAAAAATTTATTTTTCATTATTAGTTGCTATCACAGCTGTATTACAGTCAGAAATATGGCCTGTATAATACCTGATCTTTCAAGCTTGTTGAAATTTGTTTTATGGCTAAGTACATGATCCATTTTTGTACATCTTCCATGTGAACCAGGGAAGAACGTGTATTCTCTAACTGTAGAATACCTGCCTGTTAATAACCAACTTGTTGTGGTAGGCTGAATAATAAGCCCCCACACAAACCTATGCTCTAATCCACAGAACTTGTGAATGTTACCTTAAATGGCAAAAGAAACTCTGTAAATACGATTGAAAGGAATCCTGAGTTTGTAAATTATCCTGGATTAATCTCTGGGCACTAAACATAATCACAAGGATCCTTATGAAAGACAGGCAAGAAGGTCAAAGGAAGGAGGAGATGGGGTGACCTGTAGAGATTGAAGTGTTGTGTTCTCAATGCAGAGGAAGGGGCCATGAGCCAAGGAATACAGACAACCTCTAGAAACTGGAAAATGTAAAGAAGTCCAGTATCCCCTACAGCCTCCTAAAGGACACCAGCCTGCCAACAACCTAGTAGATTTCTGACTTTCATCTCATAAAGGGAATAAACTTGTGATGTTTCAAGCCACTAAGTTTGTGGCAATTTGTTTTAGCAGAAATAGGAAACAAATAAGCTTTCGAGGAATTATATTCAAATCTTCTCTGTCTTCACTGGTTTTTTTGGCTGTGTTATCTAGAAGCAGGCTCCCACTCTAAAGCCCAATGTTGTCACTTTCTCCAAGAAGTTCTATCTGCTTGTTTTATGTATTCTGAGCCCTTTTAGGATTTATCTGCTTGGTGCAATAAACTTTTTATCAGGATAAGGTAAATCCATTTCATCTTTGGAAATGCATTATTTGAAAGTCCAGTTTAGCAGAAGTCAACATAACTACCCTCCAGTTATGATTTGCCAGGTGTATCTTTTTTCTGTTCCATCCTTTTACATTCACTTTTCCTGTATATTTAAGATGTGTCTCTTTTAAGCAGCATATAACTTGATTTTTAAAATACCCAATCTGGAACTGTCTTAATTGGCAAATTCAGGCCACTAACATTTATTTTAGATATAATTTTTGGAATTGTTTCTCTGTTTCCATTTATCACATTTTTTCTGTTTCTTTTTGCCTTCTTGCCTTATTTTGTGTTGGTGGGAGAAGACTGGAAGTTTTATCTGTTTTTTGTATCCTACTGTCCACCTCATTGCACTTCTTAAAGTAACTGCAAGTAGGTGCTTTTCTCCACCTCCTTCCCTACCCTTCAGGGATATGCAATGTGGTTTGCCTCTAAAACAAATCACCTCAAGATGTCAAGCCACACTTAATTCTTGTGTCTTCTTTCCATCAGTTTTCTTGTTGCTCCAAGATCATGAGTTATCCTTTGTTATTTTCACTGTACCTAACCCTAAAGTTGTTTCCAGGAACAGGAAGAAGAAAACCAAGTATATTAAACTTTGACTAAATTAAGGATAAACAGGTTCTGAATAACAGCCTGAAGGATCTACAACACACAAATGTGGTTGGCATCTACTTTGTTTTCTTACTACCTGAGGTTACGAAATAAGAATCCTCTTGCGACAAAAGTACTATTTATTAGGGGGAAAAAAGCCAATAAATGCTTTGTAAGAATCTTATAAGTGGTATGATTTTCCTTCAATTTGTTATACTACTATAAGGTTAATGAAGTAACCAAATGCTAAAAGGAAACCTAAAAATAATGTGTCACTTCTATAGTTGGCAAAAAAGCAAGCTAATGAAAAGAGAAAAGTTTCTTTCAATTTTTGATAAGGACTGACTTAAGTTTAAAAAAACATAATTCTGTAGATGACAATCAAAAAATTAAATTCATACTTTAGTAGTCTACAGTAATTATGAATTTCTATAGATTTAGTAGAAAATAAAAGATATAGCTAGAAAAATCTTTTGCGGCACACTTCATTATAAAATCAAGAGTAATTTCATAAAACAAATTTTATCTCTACATATAAAAATACCATAAAATAAAAAAATATTACATCGCACTTAGGAGGAAGACAGAAAATATACCCCTATAGCTATTCTTTATTACTCTTTTATGAAGTGTGTGCTTTTACTCGAATTTCTAGTGCCCAATTGTTTAAATAAAGTTTACCATAATTTACATCTATCTTTAAATCATAAGCTCTCAGTGAGAAGACATTATAGTCTACTAAAAATATAAGGCAGTGACCTGGAAATCTAAAGTGATGTGAATGTCTTCCTGGGATTTCCTGATGGTGTCACTAGTACTTTGGGCTTTCCCGATGACTCAGTGGTAAAGAATCTGCCTGTAATGCAGGATTTGCAGGAGACAGATTTGATGCCTGGGTTGGGAAGATCCCTTGGAGGAGGAAATGGCAATCCAGTGTTCTTGCCTGGCAAATCCCATGGACAGAGGAGCCTGATGGGTTACAGTCCATGGGGTCACAAACAGTTGGACACGACTGGGCACACGCATGCATGCATGACTAGCACTATTTACCATCATAAGTTTGAAACCAGGATCTGCTAAGGCTATCAAAACAATTGTTTTTGCACAAGTATTTACTTAGATTCATGCTTTAACACAAAATAAAGCAGTAAGAAGTTCTTGATAAGTTTGACAACAAACAGTGCAATCAAAATGTAACAAAACAAGTATGTCCTCCAAAAACAGACAAACTCCCAGCCAGATCAAAATAACTGCAATTTTCCTTAAGCAGAAGGATGCACTGCGATGGCACTTAACTAGTCACAACTTAATGCCTACCAGCTAAAGCAGCGTCCTCTTCACTTTCTGAGCCATACTGAAGTGCCATGGTAATTGCTGATAAACGACCCCCTTGGACTGCTCTTTTATTACTACAAGAAAAAAACAAGCAATTAGAAGGCAGGGAACGATATAATAATTTGGTTACTTTATAGGAAATAGGAACTGTTAACAAGGCATTCACATCAAAGAGTTTCTGTTTAGCTGCCTCCTCAATTTACTTTGTACTTTTTTATTCCCCACAATCAGTCTTAACCAAGAAGACTAAATTTTTTCTTTAAGAAGAGTAGAGATAGAAAGCCCTTAAAGCAGGCTACTTGGAGCACTGCTCCTTTTTTTATGAAAAATAAAGATTCTTTCATAATTGCTGGTTAATTCTAAAGATTCTCATATTTTACAATGAAAATAAAATCTAATATGAACACAAACTCTTTCAATATTTTACGACACATTTTACTGGTAATTTTAAACATTACCTGACAATTTCTGCTTACGCATTTCTCAGACATGAAGTCAGGCCTACTATACTTTTTAAATAAGACATCTGAAAACAAAGTTCCATAAAATAAGCTAACTACACTCAAAGATATTACTTCAAGATAGTCATCAAGAAAGTGCTAGCATGCTTATCCTCATAAACATGGGTCAGCTCTCAGACACTCTCTCTCACCGGTAATACTTGCTAGTGGGATTTCTCTCTTCACCAAGGCTGCCTTTACTGTGCGAAGGACCTGTCAGCCTGGTTGCTGCCAAATTTGATGAAGTCCTATCCAGAGACAAGGTTAAAAAAAACTCAGAAAACTAACAGCTGAAATCATAATGCTGGAGAAACAAAAAGAAAACAACCATTTTCTTTTTCCTTTCTTAAAAAAAGATACACTCTGGGACTACCCTGGCGGTCCAATGGTTGACTCAGCGTTTCCACTGCAGGGGGCAAAGGTTCCATCTCTGGTTGGGGGAACTAAGATTCCACATGCCACAGGGCATGGCAGTGAGTGGAAGAGGGAAGATTCAAATATTGCCGAGCCTCTACTATGTAGGAGTCTTTGCTCCAAAATCTGGGACTCTGCTACAAACAATAAAAGATGGAGAGGGTGTGGAGAAAAGGGAACCCTCTTACACTGTTGGTGGGAATGCAAACTAGCACAGTCACTATGGAGAACAGTGTGGAGATTCCTTAAAAAACTGGAAGTAGAACTGCCATATGACCCACCAATCCCACTGCTGGGCAAACACACCAAGGAAACCAAAATAGAAAGAGACACATGTACCCCAATGTTCACTGCAGCACTGCTTACAACAGCTAGGAAGGATATGGAAGCAACCTAAATGTTCATTGGCAGACGAATACATAAGGAAGTTGTGGTACATATACACAATGGAATATTACTCAGCCATTAAAAAGAACACATTTGAGTCAGTTCTAATGAGGTGCATGAAACTAGAGCCTATTATACAGAGTGAAGTAAGCCATAAAGGAAACACCAATACAGTATATTAACACATATATATGGAATTTAGAAAGACAGTAATGACGACCCTATATGCAAGATAGCAAAAGAGACACAGGTGTAAAGAACAGACTTTTAGACTATGTGGGAGAAGGTGAGGGTGGGACGATATGAGAGAATAGCACTGAAACATGTATATTACCATATGTAAAATAGATGACCAGTGCAAATTCAATGCATGAAGCAGGGCACCCAAAGCGGGTGGCTCTGGGACAACCCAGAGGGAGGGGGTAGGGAGAGTGGTAGAAGCGGGGTTCAGGATGGTGGGACACATGTACACCCATGGCTGATTCATGTTGATGTACAGCAAAAACCACCACAATATGGTAAAGTAATTAGCCTCCAATTAAAATTAATTAATTAATTTTAAAAAATTATGCTTATAGAGGTTGCCAATGATCAGATGTTAAGTTAGAATATGTTGGCATAAGGACATTTTTCAACTACTGATATGGAAAAACTTGTTTCTGTTGAATTAAAAAAATTGAAGAGCAAAATCTGGGACTCTGAGCAAAAAAAAATAAATCAGGTCTGATCCCAGACAGTTTATAGTTAGTGCAGTGATCAGAAGATCTAGAAACATAGCAAATGTCAAAGTCAGAAAAAAGTTACAAAAGCAGCCATTCAATCTTTCCATTTCAGGTAGAAGCAAATGGAATCCTAGAAGTAAAACGTGTTCAAAGTGACAGTCCCAGCACAATATAAGCTAGAATCTCCTGACATCTGGCTAAATACTCTTACAGTAAAAATACATATATCCTACTATATAGATGCAAATACCACAATAGTATAATAAGCATACCTTGTTTTATCATGCTTTGTTTTATTAAACATCACATATACTGCATTTTTTCCTTTTACAAACTAAAGGTTTGTGGCAACCCTAAATCAAGCAAGTCTGAGCACCATTTTTCCAAAGGCATTTGCTCACTTTGCGTCTCTGTGCCACATTTTGGTAGTTCTTGCAATTATTTCAAACCTTTTCATTATCATTATACTTGTTGTGGTGATCTCTGATGCTATCACTGTAAATACTTCGGGGAACCATGATCCATGCCCATGTAAGACAGTGAACTTAATAAAAGTTGTGTGTGTTCTGACTGCTCCACCAACCAGCTGTTCCCCCATCTTTTTCCTTTCTCCTCACTCTCCCTATTTTCTCATACACAAGAATACTGAAAGTAGGTCAAATAATAACCCTACACTGGCCTCTAAGCATTCAAGGGAAAGGAAGAGTTGTACTTTTTTTCCAGTTTCAAGCAAAAGCTACAAATGGTTAAGCTCAGTGAGGAAGCCATGTTGAAAGCTGAGATCAGCCAGAAACTAGGCCTCTTGCACCAGTTAGCCAAGTCACAAAAGCAAAGGAAAAGTTCTTGAAGGAAACTAAAAGTACTACTCCAGCGAACACAGAAATGATAACACAGTAAGATAGCCTTATTGCTGATAAGAAGAAACTGTTAGTGGTCTGGACAGAAGGTCAAACCAACTACAACAATCCCATAAGCCAATGCATAATCCAGAGCAAGGCCCTAACTCTCTTCAATTTGATGAAGGCTGAGAGAGTTAAGGTATGGAATAAAAGTCTGAAGCTAGCAGAGACTGGTTCATGAGGTTTAAGGAAAGAAGTCTTCTCTATAAAATAAAAGTGCAAGGTGAAGCAGCCAGTGCTGATAAAAAAGCAGCAGCAAGTATGTTTTCAATGTAGATAAAATATACTTATCATGGAAGAAGAATCCAAGGCTTTCACAACTAGAGAGGAGAAGTCAGTGCCCAGCTTCAAAGTTTCAAAGGACAGGCTGACTCTCTTGATAGGGCTAATGTAGCTGGTGACTTAAAAGCTGAAACCAGTGCTCATTTTACTATGCTGAAAAATCCTAGGGCCCTTAAGAATTATGACAAATATACTCTGCTTGTGCTCAATAAATGGAACAAAGCCTGGAAGACAGCACATCTGTTTACAACATGGTTTACTGAATATTTTAAGCCTGATGTTGAGACCTACTGCTCAGACAAAAACATTTGCAAAACAGTACTGCTCACTGAAAATGCACATGGTCACCCAAGAGCTCTGACAGAGATGTACAAGATTAATGTTGTTTTCATGCCTAGAGACACAACATCCATTGTGCAGCCCACGGACCGAAGAGAAATTTCAATTTTTAAGTCTTATTATTGAAGAAATACATTTTGTAAGGCTATAGATGCTGTGGATAGTGATTCCTTTGGTGGATCTGAGAAAATTCAACTGAAAATTTTCTGGAAAGGATTCTGGAGAGGACTGTTATTCTAGATGTCATTAAGAACATTTGTGATTCATGGAAAGAACATGAACATCAACAGGAACCTAGAAGAAATGGATTTCAACCCTCATGGGTTACTTTGAAGGGTTTAAGACTTCAGTGGAGGAAATAACAGCAGATGGGATAGAAACAGTAAGAAAACTAGAATTAAAAATAGAGCCTGAAGATATGACTGAACTGCTACAAACTCATGATAAAACTTTTAACATTGAGGAGTTACTTTGTATGGATGAGCAAACAAAGTAGTTTCCTGAGATGGAATCTACTCCTGTGAAAATGGTGTGAAGACTGTTGAAACAGCAACAAAAGATTGAGAATATTACATAAACTTAGTTGATAAAGCAGCATCAAGATTTGACAGGACTGATTCCAATCTTGAAAGAAGTTCTCCTATGGTTAAAACATTATCCAACAGCATCTCATGCTATAGACAAATCATTAGTGAAAAGAAGAGTGAACTGACGTGGGAAACATCACTGTTGTCTTATTTTAAGGAGCTGGCACAGCCACCTCAATTTTCAGCAACTACCACCCTGATCAGTCAGCAGCCATCAACAGAAGCAAGACCCTTCACCAGCAAAAAAGATTACAACTTGCTGAAGGCTCAGATGATGGCCAGCATTTTTAAGCAATACAGTCTTTTTAAATTAAGGTATATACACGGCTTTTTTAGATCTAATGCTACTGCATACTTAACTACAGTATAGTGTGAACATAGCTTTCATATGCATGGGGAAACCAAAAAACTTGGGTGACTCACTTCAGTGTGATATTCGCTTTACTGCAGTAGTCTAGAAATGAACCCACAGTATCTCCAAGTTTTGCCTATACACACGTGTTATACATAATATGCATTGTACGAATATGATATACAAATATTTATATACATATTTGTACAAGGCAAAAAAGTACACAGTGGTGTTAGATCTTAAAATTTCTTTTTAAATAAAGCCCTTCAGCTGCAATGAAGGGACTGATTAAGAGTTATTTAACCCTATTCTCTTCAGAATCATATTAGCAACTGTAAATATCACCCTGAAATGCAACATCTTGTTTTCCACTATACTGATTTCACTAGCTATTTTGACAAATAATAAAGGCACAAGAACTTTAAATATTTTTTAACCTACCTCATTCGAAGGCTTGACTTCGTCATTTCATGTTCAATTTCTGCCTTTTTCATATAAAATATTTTTTTAATAGAATTTGCATCCTGTTAAGATAAAATTACTTGGCTTAGAAAAAGTATAGAAAAAAACGGGCAGTTTAAAATGCCCTCCATCATGTACTGGGCACTTTCTATGGCACTCCTTGCATGTGGAGTAGCCTTCCATCCAACAGGCAGACAGCTGCTTCCTCTAACCTTTCCACAAGCTTTCCAAAACATCTCCATAATTAAATACAAGTTGAGAAGCCTCTCAGCTCTTCCAAAATTAGTCAGCTAAAAGATAAAGATCTAATGCTGAACATGGAAAAATAGGGGTGAGAATACAATGGACTCTACCTGTGTACACTAACCTAAAAGTTGAAACAGAAGTATACTTCTAAGTAGACTAGGCACATGAATTCTGGATGGATATACTTGCTTAACTTAATAGCATATATCAAATTCAAAGTTTCCCTTCACTCCAAAATTTAGTTTAAGACCATTAATCAGACCAAAAAGCAAAATTCTTAACTGCGTCAACAACTGGTACTACACTACTCAAATGTCTTATCAAGGATTAACAATACAAGGACTTAATTCTTCATTTTCACTCAAAGTTCCTTAAAAGATGCAAGATAAAAGTGAAAATTAACTACCAAAAGCAACTGAGTCAGCATTCCGTAAATCTAAGTGACTTTATTCCCAAAAGATTTTCTGAGCACCCTTTGCTAAGTTTCCAGTGATAAATTAATTTGAGAAATTTCTACAAGCAACAGTTCATTTTGTAGAAGGACTACAAAACTTCTAGGAGAGAACTGCAAAGCAATGAAAGTCATTTCACATTGTATACTATACAGACTGACTTTTATATCACTGAGGTTTAAATGAAGGGACTATATCAATATTTAACTACAAAGTGGACCAAAAATTAATCTTGTGTGGAACAAAAAGAAACATAGATGAATGGATTAGAACCAAGGATCTACAGTCAACTGATTTTCAACAGGGTTGCCAGGACAATTCAACAGGGAAAGAATAGTCTTTTTAACATAAGGCACTGGATGAATGTGGACTCCAACCTCACACCTACCTCGTGTATATAAAAATTAATTCAAAATGGCTCAAAAATCTAAATGTAAATGTTTGAACAATAAAATTCTTAGAAGAAAACACAGGTATAAATCTTTGCAACCTTAGATTAGGTAATCGTTTCTTAGGTAAGACAATAAAAGCACAAGAAATCTAAGAAAAAACAAGACAAATTGGGCTTATCAAAATTAAAAACTTAATTAAAATTGAGAAGCTTTTCCTTGGGCGTGGGGGGATGGGGTGGGGGAATGGGGTGAGGTGGGGTAGGGGGTCCTGCAGCACACAACATGTGGGATCTTAGTTTCCCAACCAGAGACTGAAACTCCTGCAGTGGAAGTTCAGTGTCCTAATCACTGGACTGCCAAGGAATTCCCAAAATTAGAACTTTTGTTTGTCAAAGGATACTATCATGAAAACAAGAACACAGTCTATAGAATGGGAGAAAATATTTGTTAATCATATGTCAAGTCAATTGTTTAGATGATAAAAAGAACTGTAACAATTCAACAATAAAAAGACAGTTAACCCAAGTTAAAAGAGGTGCTAAAAACCAGAAAATTTTTTTTCAAAGTGTAAGAAAGGCCAATATGCACATGAATAGATGTTCAACATCACTAATCATTAGAAAATGCTAATCAGGGGATTCCCTGGTGGCCGAGTGGTTAGGATTCCGGGTTGTCACTGTGGTAGCCCCAAGTTCAGTGGCCACTGGGGGAACTACAATCATGGGGCAGTGGCCAGGAAAAAAAAAGCTAATCAAAACCATAATGAGATACTACTTCGTACTTACTAGAAATAAAACAAAACCAAAAACAGAAACAAGTATTGGTGAGGATGTGGAGAAATTACACTTGCACATTGCTAGTGGGAATATAGGTGCAGTGGCTTTAAGAACAATTTAAAAACAATTTTAACCTCAAAAAAGTTAAAAATACAGTTTACCATCTGGCCCAGCAATTTCATTCCAACATATGTATTCAATAAAAATGAAAATACATGTGCATATAAAAACTTATACATGAATGTTCACAGCAGCATTATTTATAATAGCCCAAAAGTGGAAGCAACTTAAATGCCTAGCAATTGATGAATGAGTGACTAAAACATGATATATAGATTTAACTGAATACTATTTGGGAATAAAAAGAAATACATGATACAAAATGAACACCCTGAAAACATGATGCTAAGTGAAAGAAGCCAGTCACAAAAGACTACAAATTGTAAGATTCCATTTATATGAAATGTTGAAAACAGGTAAATGCACAGAGATAGAAAGTAGACTGGCGATTAGGCAGACTGGGAGGAAATGGAGAGTAATTGTTAATTCATTGTGGTGCTGGCTACACAATTTAGTGAATATACTAAAAGTCATTAAATTACACACTTTGGGTAAAATGTATGGTATGTGGTTCTTATACAAAAATATTGGCTCTAAATTAAAATCTGTATTCTTATCAATGAAAGCAACAACAACAAAACTAACCTTGAATACTTGAGAACCAGGCTCATTGTAAGTTTTGGCGTTTTTTGCTAGGAGATCTATATCTTTGGCCATTGCATGAATACTCTTGTAGCTTCCATTCTATAGTAAACAATAAAATATAGCAGTTCCTCTTAAAGACAGTTAAGCAACATGACCTTAAAAAAAATCTTCATGTATTTTTAAACTCTCTCCATATTCTAAGACTTTATTGGAAAGTACATATATGAACAATACATAAAGCCATCTTCTCTTTTATAGACTATTACTACTGTCCATTTACAAAGAAGTTTTTGAGATAGGTATCAAAACCAGAGCTACATTATTCTCATAAAAACTTATACTTTTTTAAAAAAAATCAGATAAGGTAAAAGTTGTTTTATTTAGCAAATATACAGTGGTTACTCTGTGCCAACCACTGTTCTAAATGTTTCATGAAAACTTAATCATTAAAAAAAAAACAAAAAACTTAATCATTAAAGAGTACAGACTTTGGAGTCAGACTCTCTGGATTCAAATCCTAATCCTTAAAAAAAAAAATCCTACCTCTTCTCATTAGTTGATGACTCAGGCAAGTGACTTACCAGCTCTGTTTTAGTTTCCTCATCTGTAAACAACAGTATCTTCCTCACAGAGGTGTTACAAGAATTAACTAGCTAACACATAGCAATTCTATTACTGCTGAAGACACAGGAAGGGGGACACAAAAAGAGAACAAAGCATTCTCACTAACCTTACACTTTTAATGTTTGTTGTAGGTAACTTTTACTCTGAAATATCCTAAGACTATTTGGAAGCCAATAAAAATAAACAACAAACCTCTCATTGACAATATACCTTTCACAATAGAAAATGTCCATGACCAATGTGCTTTAATTTCGTCCTGAGAGCAAAACTTACTAAAACTATAAAACACTCAAGTCAACGAAAATTTTGCTTTCCTTCCTACAGAAAAAATGCAAAAGGGATGCTATGCTGATTCCTCCAAAGCTATACTCAGTAACACCTCTAATTTGTTTACAGTATATTGCTATTAATAGTAACTACTTACAGTAACACCCGCTTCTGTTTTCTTTAAAGGGCCTAAAAAATGACCGTTGGCCAATCTGCCCTAAACCACATATTTCTACATATGGTCACTTTCATACCTGTATCCTCTGGGCAATGGTCTTGAGATCTATAGGCTCCTTAATAATTGCATAATAGTCTGGATATTGCTGAAAAACAAAACCCAGCATGCTTAATAAGTCAAAGTATCCAGCTAATGAGAAAACAAGGAAGTACACTGATCATCTGTTAATCAATTGAGCAGCTTTTGAGATAAAGCCTAAAGACACAGTTGTACAGCATATTTTTTGTTATACTTGAAGCAGAAATCATTTGATTTTTACAAGCTTCATGAGATACCCAAGAGCATGGCTGTAGGACTTTACAGTTAGTATTTGGTTATGTAACTAATACACCACAATTTAACGTTTCTAAATTTCCTAAATCTACAGATCACACGATTTTATATTTAAGATCCCAAGGTATCTATGTGGGGAAATGAAGCAGAAGGTTTTCAAAGAGTTTATTATAAGCTCTTTTAATTCCGTAATCTATAACACAATTATATCTTATTTCATATGAAATACTAAGGACCTATAAGAAGTCAGGGTGCAAAATTGTTTAGTTGTTAAGTCGTGTCTGACTTATTGTGAACTGTGAACTGTCATATTGTTTTCCTTTTCTTAACATTTTAAACATATGACCGATATAACCAGGATATTTTTCTAAGCAGATTCACACTTCAGACAGCAGTATTCAGATACACTTCATTTCTAATGTCATAATTATCCTACAACTAGTGTTGCTGATGACTGATGGGTAAAGCTGCACGCCACCTGTCAGTCAACAAACACTTCTTGCAAGCCTCTGACATGCTGGGTTCCAACTACATGACAAAAGAAAATATGTCAGAGTCTTCACCCTTAAGAAATTCAGTCCTTGTCCTTAAAGAGAAAACGCTCACAATGAGTTACAGTGGAGTACTTCTAAAAGTAAGTGAAGTATAGTGAAGTACTTCTGAAAGTACATCCTTATCTAGAAATACAAGAATGTGAAGGTCATAGAAATTTTTGCAGTTCCAAAAGCTAAACTGGAACATCAGCTACGTTAATTGCTCTTTGGGTGTGAAGACACATGGGGCTCTAACACTTTTAAAGGGTTCCACTGGTCTAGAAAACCTCTTCCACGTTGGGGTAGAAGAATACTCATCAGGAAGAACTTAATTATCTTCCTCTCATTCTGATTCTTGAGCAGAGAATGTTTCTTCTCTTTTATAAATAAAAGGTTTAATTTAGGTGCTTATTTTATCATTTAAGAATCACGAATCTTAGAAACAACCTACAACGTGGATAAATCGTGAAGATACTAGGCTAAGTGAAATAAGCCAGACACAAACAAACAAATACTGTACGATTCCTCTTAAATGAGGTACTTCGTGTAGTCAAATTCAGAGAAGCAGAACTGTGGTTTCCAGGAACTGGCAGGAGGGAAAAGTAGGGAGTTCCTGTTAAATAGGTAGGAAGATGAAGAAGTTCTGGAAAGAAATGGTAGAGACAGCTGCACAATAATATGAATGCACTTAATGCCACTGAACTTTATACTTAAATTGGTTTAAAGGTAAATCTTAGATTATTGCATATTTTACGACCACAAAAATGAAAACCAAACAAAAAGAATTCCCAATCATAAAACCAAAAACACACGCAAAAAACCCATAACCTTTTCCTGAAGTAAAATGACAGAACACATCCTATGTGCTTACTGCTGAGGCCATGAGGAGGATTTCTCAGTTGCCTCTAATGCCTTCCATTACCCTTACTCTATTTACTAAGAAGTTACAGAATTTCTGAAGTATTTAAAAAAGAACAAAATCAACATTTTAATCCACTTGTCTTTAACTGCATCACTTACCACTTTAGAAGGCAGCTTCTGAAAAAGTTCACTAATGAGACGTCCTGATGGATTTGTGGCTACAACTATGGCTTCAAGAAGCTGCTCCAGGAACTCCTTCAAGTAACCTGGAGAAGACTGGGAGTACGGGGGTATGAGGAATGAGAGAAGAAAGGAATAAGAAAAATCATAAAGTGAATGCTGATATTAAACAGCATTTTAAAGCCAATTCAAAAGAGCAGCTTCTAAATAATACTTATATTAAGTACAATTTTCAAGAATACCACACTTTAGACTCACAATAAATATTCAACATCCAAGACAAGTGATTAGCTGAGACTCCCCAACCACATAGCTTAGAGAAGAATCAATGTAACACTGATGAAAGCAGACTAGAACACTCATATTTAAGTCATTTACTTACTAATTAAACTATAACACCAGAGTTAGCTTCAAAGAGGAGAATTATGTCCTACAGCCAAGATTCCTCTCCTCCTAGCCCAACCAATTACTCTGGAAATGTGTTGCAAATGACAAAGGCAGCAGGGTGTATGAATACATTCACAAAACTTATTATCTGGATGTCTTACTATTTAAAGTTGCAGAAGAGAGATGCAATTCCTTTTATTGTTCTTTTTCCTCTTTTTAAACATGTGCGCTCATTCAGCAAGTATTTTTTCAGTCCCTACATGTCAGGCAGAGTCTAGATGTCTAAACAGGTGAACAAGGTGATAGCTTTTTGGAGCTATCATTCTACTTGAGGAAGACAGAAAGTAAACACATATACTAATACTAAACACTTATTTCACATACAGTGATAAAAACCGAAGATCACACAACAGCGTGATATGATGATGGGAAAGGAGGAGCAGAGAGCAAACAATCTGATGAAGTGGTTAGGAAAGTCTCCCAGTTTACATTAAGTGATGTTAGAATAATGCAAAAGAGATAGTCACAGGCAGAGCCCAAGGAAGCAGAAGTACGAGCAACTGCAAAATTCCAGAGGCAAGCAGACACTTGACATGTTCTAGGAACAGACGCCAACCTAACCCACAAAACTATTCCTAACTAAGATGATTCCATCAACTTAGCAACTTTCAATCACAACACAGCCTGCATTTACATAATACGTCAATCTAACAACACTGAATGTCCTAGGATCCCTTGTAATTGAAGTGGGGCTCTCTGGCTGTGTGTCTGTTTACCCTTCCAGTTACCAACACAACTGCATAGAAAGCCTAGCTGCCACAGTGGCCGTAAGAAATCACAAGCAGGGGCCTTGTCAATCTCCCTACAGCTGATCCATCACCCATTCCGGTGGCACACATACTCCTTCCGTCACTGTGCCTTGACCATCTTGCCCGTCTTCATCATCATCTTCATCATCTGCTTCTCCTTTCTGAACAAACTCATTTCTTGTTCGAAGGTACAAATCCCAGAGTTTGCAAGCAGCTTTATATTCAGGAGAATCTGGCTGTACATTAGCAAAGAGAAGAGGAAAAGATATCACTTAGCATTTTATTAGAAATCAGTGACTATTTCTAAAGCATCCTGTTCCAACAGATTGCTATGCTAAGATATAACTTTGAAAACTATCACAAATTTTAAAATTCTTGTAAGTAAATGATACATGGGCCTCAATTCTCTTCTGGAGAGCTAAGTGTATGTTTTAAAGTCATTCTGAAATCAAATCCTTTTGTTAATTCTATTTATGTCCTATCTCATTACAGAAAGACTTGAAGAAGATAAATAATTTGCTAAATTAAGGATAATTATTACTAATACACTTTGCATGAACATTTCATGCAAAGATGGGCTCAATAAAGGACAGAAATGGTATGGATCTAACAGAAGCAGAAGATAATAAGAAGAGGTGGCAAGAATACACAGAAGAACTGTACAAAAAAGATCTTCACCACCCAAATAATCACGATAGTGTGATCACTCACCTAGAGGCAGACATCCTGGAATGTGAAGTCAAGTGAGCCTTAGGAAGCATCACTACAAACAAAGCTAGTGGAGATGATGGAATTCCAGTTGAGCTTTTTCAAATCCTAAAAGATGATGCTGTGAAAGTGCTGCACTCAATATGCCAGCAAATTTTGAAAACTCAGCAGTGGCCACAGGACTGAAAAAGGTTTTCATTCCAATCCCAAAGAAAGGCAATGCCAAAGAATGTTCAAACTACCGCACAATTGCACTCATCTCACACGCTAGCAAAGTAATGCTCAAAATTCTCCAAGCCAGGCTTCAGCAATACGTGAACTGTGAACTTCCAGATGTTCAAGCTGGTTTTGGAAAAGGCAGAGGAACCAGAGATCAAATTGCCAACATCCGCTGGATCATCAAAAAAGCAAGAGAGTTCCAGAAAAACATCTATTTCTGCTTTATTGACTATGCCAGAGCCTTTGACTGTGTGGATCACAATAAACTATGGAAAATTCTGAAAGAGATGGGAACACCAGACCACCTGATCTGCCTCCCGAGAAACCTGTATGCAGGTCAGGAAGTAAGAGTTACAACTGGACATGGAACAACAGACTGGGTCCAAATAGGAAAAGGAGTATATCAAAGCTGTATATTATCACCTTGCTTATTTAACTTATATGCGGAGTACATCATGAGAAGCACTGGGCTGGATGAAGCACAAGCTAGAATCAAGATTGCCAGGAGAAATATCAATAACCTCAGACATGCAGATGACACCACCCTTATGGCAGAAAGTGAAGAAGAACTACAGAGCCTCTTGATGAAAGTGAAAGAGGAGAGTGAAAAAGTCGGCTTAAAGCTCAACATTCAGAAAACGAAGACCATGGCATCCAGTCCCATCACTTCATGGCAGATAGAAGGGAAACAGTGGAAACAGTGGCTGACTTTATTTTTGGGGGCTCCAAAATCACTGCAGATGTAGATTGCAGCGATGAAATTAAAAGACGCTTACTCCTTAGAAGGAAAGTTGTGACCAACCTAGACAGCATGTTAAAAAGCAGAGACGTTACTTTGCCAACAAAGGTCCATCTAGTCAAGGCTACGGTTTTTCCAGCGGTCATCTATGGATGTGAGAGTTGGATTATAAAGAAAGCTGAGCGCCGAAGAATTGATGCTTTTGAACTGTGGTGCTGGAGAAGACTCTTGAGAGTCCCTTGGACTGCAAGGAGATCCAACCAGTCCATCCTAAAGGATATCAGTCCTGGGTGTTCATTGGAAGAACTGATGTTGAAGCTGAAACTCCAATATTTTGGCCACCTGATGTGAAGAGCTGACTCATTTGAAAAGACCCTGATGTTGGAAAAGATTGAAGGCAGGAGGAGAAGGGGAGGGCAGAGGATGAGATGGTTGGATGGCATCACCGACTCAAAGGACATGACTTTGGCTAAACTCCGGGAGTTGGAGATGGACAGGGATGCCTGGGGTGCTGGGGTTCATGGGGTGGCAAAGAGTTGGACACGACTGAGCAACTGAACTGATTACTAATACACTAAGAAAGACAATTTAAAGGATAAGACCCAATTTAAGGGATACAAGTCTAAATGAGAGAAGCTAATGACTGTCTTGATTTTCATTTCTATTCTTCAACTATTTAATACCTTATTTGAATATTTTCTTTTCCTGAAGGGTAGTGGGGATAAACGAACTAAAACTTTCCAGTAAGAACAATACTGGATGCAATGTAAAATGAACAGTAAATCTTTAAAAATGCATCCACGTGCTGCCAATAAGGAATAAGCAATGTTCACAAAAGCAAGAACAGGGTAAAAGTAGGACTCTGTATAAGCAAGCAAAACACTGAAGCCAATGTTCACCTTGAGGCTACCTATAAGACAAGATGCTTATAGTTTTCAAGAGCTTTAGCTTTCAAATGCCTTTGAGGCTGCAAGGACAAGAGATAAAGGCCAGGCTCCACCATAAGCTGGGACTTCAAAGGCTATGGCTGCAGTGTAACTGGGAATTAAAAACCAGTCAGTTTTTGTGCTGCCAGGGAACAAAGAAGACCACCCACCTCAACCTCCATCCAGCTCAACCCACGGCACTGCAGGGAGAGGAGAGGCATGAGATAACTCTCCTCTGAGAACGCTTCATCATAAGCTAGTCCTAACAAAGACAGGCTTAAGCAACCTGAGATAAGCAACAAATCTTCTCCAGAAGAACTTCAACCTCAGCCTAAGAATCTCCACAGTCTCTAAGAAATATAAGCTCATAGTCAAAATTGATGAAACACATAAGACTAAGAGTCACAAGAGAAAGCAAGCAGAAATGACAGCAAAAACACACATGTAAGTAATTCAGATATTAAATTATCTACTACAGAATAAAAAGTAAGTATGTTAAACATGTTTAAAGAAATAATAGGATTGAAGATACAAGCAATTCCCTCAAAAGAAACTACTTCCAAAATAAGGAAAATATAAACATTAAAATGTAAAAACTCAGCAGATTAGTTTAAGAGCAGATTTCAAAGAAAAACATAAGAACTAAAGATATTACCTAAAAAGCAACACTGACACAATAAAAGGGATCTACATAAAGTTAAGAGAAATGGAAACCTAAGGAAAATCTAAATTAACATCTAATCAGAGTCCTACAAGGAGAAGAGAGAATGGGGCAAGGGCTGCAAAGACATACAGCTGAAAACTTTCCAGAACTGATGAAAAACACCAACCCAAAGATTTAGAAAGATCTACAACCCCCAAATTCTATAAATAAGAAGATAATCATTATCTACACACATCACAGTGAAACTGTGGAGTATAAAGACAAAAAGAAGATAATTAAGATAGTCAGAAAGAAAAGACAGATAACCTTCAAGAGAAGTACAGTTATACTGACAGATGACTTTTCAATAGCAATATAAGAATGAAGAATAAAGAGAGCAGTATGTTTGTGAGTAAAAATACTGACTATATAAAAATAACATTATTTTATAGGATTAAAAATTTGTCACAATAGAACTAAAATACAAAACATCAGTAGCATAAATAAAAAGATCAGTTACATTATTTTAAGTAGAAGGATGTTTAAAATACTAATTAATATTTGGCTTTGAAAAATTAATTATGCATATTAGAACTTTTTGGATAAGAACTAACATATTATTAATGGATCTGACAACTTTCAAATTATAGAAGAAATTAAAAACAAAATAAAACCAAGGAAAAAATGAAGGGAAAAAAAAAAACAAAACAAGGCAGAGAGAGAAACAAAAAAAGAAAAAAATTACAAAATGAGATAAATGGAAAGTAGAAATTTAAATGATAGGAATACAGCCAAATGTAATAATTACTAAAACTAAAGAGATGAAATGCTTCAGTAAAAAGGTGAAGAGCATCAACTAGATTAACAGAAATTCAATTATATGGGGCTTGCAAGAGATACACTAGTATTAAAAAGATATGAAGAGGTTGGAAGTAAGAGAATGGAAAAAATAAGGTGAACACAAAAATAAAGGTGATATTACTTTACATGTAATAATATCAGATAAAACAAAATTCAAAAAAGACAATACTAACATAAAGAAAGCTACTACATAGTGCAAAAACAATGTACTACGACATATAACAACTTTCAACTTGTATGCTCCTATTTGCACACTTTCAAAATATATAAAGAAAAAAATCAACATGGCTAATAAGGAGAAATACACAAATCTATCATCAGTTGGATTTTAAAGCACATCATTTGGAAATTGATAGTTCATGCAGATAAATCAGGATATAAATGATATCAGCAACATAATTAAAAGCTAGATCCAATGGACACATGCAGTGTACTGTACCCAATGAACAGCACTCTTGCTATATAGTCACAAAATTTATAGCAACTTTATTCACTATTGTTAAATCAGAAACAACCAAAATGTACGTCAACTAAGACACAAACAAAATATGATACGTATTCATATAATGGAATATTATTCAGCTATAAAGAAAAAGGAACTAAGTACCAATAAATGTTATGACAAGAATGAACTTTGAAAAAATTGTGCACAGTGAAAAAAACTAGTCATCAAAGGCCATACAGTTCAGGATTCCACTTATATGCAAAGCCCTGAAAAGGGACGTCCATACAAAAGGAAAGTAGATTGCGGTAGCTAGAAGCTAGCAGAGGGGGAAATGAAGTTATGCTTGTTGATGGGCATGGTTTTCTTTTTGGTGTAATGAAAAAATTTTGGAGTTTGACAGTGATGATGGTTGCACAACTTTCAAATATATTAAGCCCCTCCCCAAATTCTGCACTTTAAAAGAGTATGTGAATTATATCTCAAGAAAAAATATATACACACAGCATTAAGAATTAATTTAACAGTATTTTTACAAAATCTAAATGGAAAAACATTTAAAACTTTGCTAAGAAGACAAATAAATGAAGATGTACCAAATTTACAGACTGGAATAATAAACATCATAATCATGTCAACTCTCCAAAACACAATCTACAGAATCAATGCAATTCCAAAACAAATTCAAACAATTTTTTGGTGCCTGTTGACTTAACACACTAATATTAAAAAGTATAAGGAAAGGGCCAAGAATAATCAAAACAGTTTCTCTTCCAGACAAGAAAATTATAAAATCAAAGAAATTAAGGCAGATACAGAATAGCCTAGTTTTAGATAAACTGGCCAGAATAAGAGGAACACAATAAAGACCAGAAAGAGACCCACAGCACCTGGAAGCAAAGCCAGCAGTAACAGCACAGGCAAATGTGAAGTGAAAGGCCATAAGGTGCAGCTTTTACCTGTGGGAAAAACAAACCCCTACCTCACAGTAGACAAACTCAACCTCAGGTACACTAAAGGCATATATAAGAAAGGCAAAACTATTAAACTGTTAGGAGAAAAGAATATCTTTACAATCTTTGTGGAGGAGAGATTTCTGAAATAGGACACAAAGAAGGATAAAACACAAAATTAAACACTAAGAAATCTGACTATATTAAAATAAAATTTTGAAAAACTTCTGTTCATCAAAAGATATCACAAAGAGCTAAAAAGCAAAAAAACAAACAAAAAAAGTGAAAAAACAGCCACACTGTGGGAGAGGATATTTGCAACACATATAACCAAAAAAGGATTAGCACTTAAAACAAAAAAATTTCTAAAAATAAACATGAAAATGACAAACCACCCAAGAGACAAAGGGGTAAAAGATTTGAGCAGACACAGAAGAAACAACAGTGGTTCATAATCATATTAATCTTCAGTTGCTTTACTAAGAAGAGAAATACAAACTCAAACTATCAAATGAAAAATCACTACTTACCCATCAGACTGATAAATACTAAAAAGCCACACAATTATCAAATTGGATATCTTCCGAATTTGATGTTTTCTTACCTTATAATAGGCCTTTGCATTGTTAAAAAGCAGCTGGAAGTCAGCAGTAAGCAGATTAACATCATCGTACTCTTCCATTTTTAGTTTCTGTTGGATTTTCATCAAGTCAATGGGCTGAGAAACCACTTCATAATAGTCTGGTTGATTTCTGTCAATAATTTAACGATTTTTAAAAAGTAATAATCAAAAGCCCATAAAACATTATGTCTCAAAACTATCTGTGGTAATGCCCAACACTCCTAAGTGACAGAGCATATTAGACTTACTCCCATGATCAGAACTGAGAGGGAATAACAAAAGTAAGACGAATACACATGTCCTTTTCAAAATACATATTAGTGATTAAAAAAAAACCCTAAATTTATTATCTGTAATGGTCTTTTATATGCTAAATACTTAAGATTTAGGGAACCAATACTAAAACCATGCCAATGGTATCTTCTGCAAATGAAAATGACTTACCTTTTGTGGGGTTCAAAAAAACAGGCATGCTTCAAAGCATTTTATAAACTTACAAAATGGACTGTCCTTCTTCAGGTAGTGACCACAGAACTTTCTCTGCCAAGTGTTATCAAGTGCCTAGTATACATGGTGCTCTAACATCAAGTACTTAAGTTACAAAAGAAAAAGATGAGGCCCTTGGCACAAGGAGCTTACCAAAGATAAAAGAGCATAATACATGAACAAACATGACAGAACTATTTTTTTAAAAAGGCATGGGAATGATAAACACAAAATTCAGGATAATGGTTATCTCTTGGAGGGAAGAGGACATTTTAAAGGTAGTTATAATAACATCTTAAGTTGGGTTTTGGTTCATGGATGTTTATTATTATTTCTTCTGGATTTTTTCGAAAGTTCCATGAGACATGTAAACCTTCTGAAAAATTATCTAAGCAACTAGTTTTTTCAATTTCCCCTCAGGGGTAAATAAAACTCATCCTAGATGCATAAGAGGGTAAGTAACAACTATGAAGAACACCATGCTTGCTAAGACTCATGTTTCAGTCATGTGTATTTAATTTTTAAAAGCTTTTTGTATTAACATAAACATTTCAAGCATAGTACAAAAACTGTTTTTTCTGAACCATTTGAGAGTAAACTGATGGAGAATTTAGTGTGTTTCTTCTACAAAAAGGGACTGCAGGACTTCCCTGGTGGCACAGTGGATAGGAATTTGCCTGCCAATATAGGGGACACAGGTTTGATCCCTGGTCTGGGAAGATTCCACATGCCACAGAGTAACTAAGTGCGCGTGCCACAACCACTGAGCATGTGCTCTAGAGCCCATGAGCCACAACTACTGATGCCGGCGTGCTACAACCAATAATGCCCTCACACCTAGAGCCTGTGCTCCACAAAAGAAGCCTGTGACACGGCTACTGTCCCCAACCCCTTCCCTGTACGCCCATCGTTCGTCTCCCTTGCAGATTCCTACCCTTGCTCAGCCTTAACTAATGACTCTAGACTGAACTCTCCAGAAAGGAAAAGGAAGAACAAATTAGGTTTTTAAAAACCCTTATCAAGTACTTACAGTTTTACTGATTTATAAAATTAAGTCTGACGGGATAAAAGGAGCATTCAATCTGCTCTTCAAAGAGTGTAAGGACATAAAGATCTCAGTGAGTGATAACAAAGGCCTAATACCAATGACGCCAGTGGTACCAAGGGACCTTCTCAGAGCAAGCTTTAGGTCTGCGTTCACTTGATATCCAAAGACGGCTCTCTCCACCTGGGCCTGATGGGCCACAGTGTACTGTTTGCCGAGGCTGGGCCTTAGCAGACCCTCAGGCGATTATCTATAGACAACTGGGAATCCAGTAAGGACACATAACCTAGAAAGGATACTATATCCCAGAAGCTCTGCTAGGGGGCTCCTCATAAACATTTTCAGAATTACCATACGGAAAAAAGGACCAGGGTCCCAACAGTCCACGCTACATAATTTGGTCAAAATAAGGTCCCCTCACTTTGAAAACGAAACAGCCCTGATTTTCCCCACTTATATCAACATACAGAAAAGCAAAGAACAGTAAAAACTCGAACTTCCCTGGTGGCCCAGTGGTTAAAGAATTCAGTTTGCAATGCAGGGGACATGGTTTCCATCCCTGGTTGGGGAATTAAGATCCCACATGCCACAGAGCAACTAAGCCCACAAGCCACAACTACTGAGCCAGAGCACTCTGGAGCCTGTGTGCCAAAACTGGAGAGCCTGTGAGCCTCAATGAGAGATCCCGCATGACGCAACTAAGACTTGACTCAGCCGAATAATACTAAAAATAAAGATAAAAGAAAGAAAAGTAAAATCTGTCCTTATTCATCCTGAGTTTAAAAGCTGTAAGTATTCTCCCAGACTTCTGTGTACACATACATACATACACACAGGATTGTGAAGTACTTGTCTTAACAGCTTTTCCCTTTCAACAATAGGTGAGGGCACCCTGCTGTAACATGGCCACAGAATAGCCAACGCCTAACTAAGAGTTTAACCAGAAAAGTGAGAACCAATCTGCCTGATGTGCAAAGCCTGCTGGCTACACCTAAACCTATCTTCCCTCCTTCCCAAGGTGACAGCATTCTAAGCTGCTGCCTGGGTACTAAAAGCCAAATTCTTAAGTCTCATTGCAGCTAAGTTCTGGCCAATGCAAGAGCTGAAGTGTACCATGTCCAGGTCACTTCCTTAACATGCCTTCTTTTTCCTATGGGCTGGAAGGTAATTTTGGTGATGCACCATCTCAGACCATGCAGCCAAGGGCAATACCCCAGGCACAGAAGAATAAAGAGACAGTATCTCAGCCCTGAATACCTCAGAGAATAGGACATGTATGTGAGAGAAAGCAATTGTTCTTGTCTCAGCCTTTGTTAATTTAGATGCCTGAGTACCAGCAGCCTAATATACTAATCAAAACAAAGTCTCAAAAAGAGATTCACAATTGTGTGGCTCTGAGTAATACTACAATACTACTTGTGAGAAGTAATAATACTTCCCACAAGCTCTTGAGAAAGCATGCATTCCACAACCGAGGAGGGGCAGAGATGCAGGCAGGCACAGCACTGGGGGAAGGCAGCGGTGCTCCGAGGGTACCACATCACCGAGGCTAGAAGACAGTGCTCCAGCACCCAAGGCCTGTGTCCTCGGCCCCTCAGCTGGCAGCAGAGAAGTACCTTTTCTATGAGGTACATGTGCACGGCACTCTGATGCTGCTTCTCTATGTTATATACTGGATAAGAGAACAGGCTTTAGAAACAGAAAGACTTGAGTCTGAATTCTGGTTATACTTAGTAGTCTGAGAACTTGTACAAGTTATCACTTCTAAATTGTGATAGCAATACTGCACACGTTTAAACAAGCAATAAATACAGGCTTTTACTACGATATACTAATTAAATGACAATTTTTAAAAGACTGTTACTGATGAACTAACTGAAATCTGGAGATAGGTTTCCTCATTAGATAAAAAACTTTCTTTTCTGGCATGACTAATTTATAGAGCTCTCCTCATTCAGGATGATGACACTACAACCTTGGTGGCTCTGCTCTTAGAAGTGAGAGGTGGCCTTCAGCTCAACCTAGAGCTTACTGGCTACACACTGTGACATCAACATTCATGAATGGATCTAAATCTTTAACTAACTTATTGTATTCATTTCCTTTTGTTGCTACAGCAAATAAACCACAAAACTAATGGCTTAAAGCAACGCAAATCTCTTATCTTACAGAAATCCAAAAATGGGTCTCACTGAGTCAAAAGGCAAGGTGTTCACGTTCTTTTCAGAGGTTCTTAAGAATCCATTCCCTTGCCTTTTCCAGCTTCTGGAGGCCATGTGCATTCTTTGGCTTATAGCCCCGTTCCTCCAAGTACAAAGCCATGAGCACCGCATCTTCACACCTCTCTGTGACTGACTCCTCTGCTTCCCTCGCTCCTGTTTAAAGATCCCTGTGATTACAATGGGACCATCTGGATAATCCAGGATAACTTCTCCAACTCAAAGTGAGCTGACTAACAAACTTAATTTCTCTTTGCCGTGTAACCCTACATATTCATGGAGTCCAGGGACTACAAGACAGACATTTTGGGGGGGTCATTTTTCTATCTATCACACTCATGTATGTTTTCAGAACAAATAACTTCAAATGTCAGAGTCTGAGAAGAAGAGTGATATTATTTTGACAGCAAGAGACGAAGGAGGCTCTAGTGAGGGAGAGTAACAGCTCCACAGGGAGGTGTGTGCCAGGTGCATATTGGGAACAGCAACTTGTTTTTGCTCCACTGGACGACAGAAGTCAAGCCCAAAAATTAGGGAGAAAAGAGAGAAAGCGAGGTGAAAATAAACACTGTGGGCCTCTGCATATTGTGAAAAACTGATCCCTTTTAACTATGATAAATACAACTTTGCTGCTATTCTAAAGGCTATTAAATAATTTTTTAAAATGTGTTCCACTCTCAAGGAACTAGATAAAGAACAAACTAAACCCAAAGCTAGAAGGAAGGAAATAATGCATAAAGTAGAGATAACCATCGAGAATAGGAAAAAAACCAACAAAGTTGAGTTGGTTTCTTAAGATCAGTTGAACTGACAAACCCTTAGCAAATTAAGAAAAAAAGATTAAAATAAAATCAGCACTGCAATGTTGTAAAGTAATTAGCCTCCAACTAATAAAAATAAATGGAAAAAAAAAAATAAAATCAGAAATGAAAGAGGGAACACATTACAACCAATGCCACAAAAATAAAAAGAATTATAAGAGATTAGTATGAACAACTGTACACCAATAAACTGGGTATCTTAAAGTAAGGGATAAATTCCTAGAAACATACAACCAACCAAAACAATATGAAGAAACAGAAAACCTGAATAGACATATAACCATTATAGAGATTGAATCAGTAATCAAAAACCTCTTGGCCTAGGAGAAAAATTCTAGAAATGCCCTACACCTAATGGCTTCACTGTTGAATTTCACCAAACATTTTTCTTGAGAAGAACATTTCTTCTCAAACTTTTTCAAAGGGGAGGGAAAATTTATTTATTCTGTGAAGCCAGTAATGCTCTGATACAAAAGCCAGAAAAGACACTACAAGAAAATTACAGACCAACATCCCTTATGAACGTGGTGTTGATGCAAACATTTTCAACAAAATACTAGTGAAATGAATTCAGCAGCATGTTGAAAGGATCATACACCATGACCAAGTGGGATTTAATCCTGCATTGCAAGGATGATTCAGTTTATGAAAATTGATAAAAGTAATGAGTCATATTAACAGAATGAAGGAAAATAACCAAATGATAATCTCAACTAATGCAAAAAAAGCATTTCATAAATGCTTCATGATATAAACTTTCAAAAAAGTAGGTATAGATGGAAACCATACTACTTCAACAAAATAAAGGCCATATATGAACAGCCTATAGCTAATATGATACTTAAAAGGAAAGACAAAGATGCTTTCTCTCACCACTTCTTTTCAATATAGTACTGGAAAACTTAGCCAGAGCAATTCAGCAACAAAAAGAAATAAAAGGCATCTAAATTAGGAAGAAGTAAACCACCTCTGTTTACAGATGATCTCATATGCAGAATACTGTAAAGATCCCACACAAAAAATCTTTAAGAGTAGACAAATTCAGCAAAGTTTTAAGATATAAAATCAACACACACACAAATCAGTTACATTTCTATACAGCAACAGTGAACAATCCAAAATGGAGACTAAAGAGTAAACCTGACCAACAAGATAACAGACCTAAACACTAAAAACTGCACATTTCTACAAGAAATTAAATACATAGATAAATGGAAAGATGGGCTTCCCTGGTGGCTCAGCAGTAAAGAATCCTCCTGCCAATGCAGATGTGGGTTCAATCCCTAAGTAGGAAAGATCCCCTGGAGAAAGAAATGGCAGCTTACTCCAGTATTCTTGCCTGGAAAATCCCATGGACAGAGGAGGCTGGCAGGCTACACAGTCCATAAGGTCGCAAGAGTATGTCACAACCTAGCAACTAAACAACAACAACAAAACGGAAAGACAGCCCGTGTTCGTGTACTGGAAAACTTAATGTTGTATACCAATACTATGCACAGAATCAATGGAAAACCTAACAAAATTCCAACAGCATTTTTTGCAGAAACAAAAAAAACCCATCCTGAGAAAGACGAAAAAAGCTAAAAGACCATACTAATCAGGGTTCTCTAGAGAATGAGAACCACTAAGAGTTATACACACACACACACACACACACACACACACACACACACACACACAGAAAGAGAGAGAGAGAAAAAGAGAATAAGTATAGGAACTGGTGATTAGAGGCCAAGAAGTCCCAGGATCTGCCAGCTGGAGACCAGGAAAGCCAGTGGTATAATTCAAATTGAAAGCCCAAGAACCAGGTAGTCTGATGTCCAAGGACAGATCAATGTCTCAGTTCAAACAGAGAATGTATACTCACCCCTTCTCTACCCTTTTGGTCCATCCAAACCCTCAGGGGACTGGAAGATACCCAGCTCCAGATGGTGAAGGCCTTTTTTACTCAGTCTAACTATTCAGATGCTAATCTCTTCAAGAGATATCCTCACAGACACACCCAAAAGTAATATTTTACCATCTATCTGGGCATCCCTTAACCCAGTCAAGTTGACACAAAAAATTAAGAATCACAGAGGACTCACACCTTCTGATTTAAACTTACTACAATACTACAAGTGTCAGTGAGAATGTGGAGAAATTGTAACTCTTGTACATGATTGGCAGGAATATAAAATGATGCTATAATTATGGAAAACAATATGATGATGCCTAAAAAAAGTAAAAATAGAATTACTGTAAGATCCTACTATCTCACTCCTGGGTATATACTTAAAAGAACTGAAAGCAGTATCTCCAAGAGGTATTTATTTTTGCAGTCACCTTCACTGCAGCATAATTCACAACAGCCAAGAAGAGGAAGCAACCCAAGTGTTTAACCAATGAATGGATTTTAAAAATGTGGTATATGTATTCAATGGAATATTATTCAGTCTTGAAAAAGGAAGGAAATCCTGTCACGTAGTTTAATATGGATAAATCTTGAGGACATTATAGGTGAAACAAATCAATTACAAAAGACAGATACTGTATGATTCCACTTAGATGAGATACCTAAAGCAGTCAAATTCAAAGAAATAGAAAGTGCAATGGTGATTGCTAGGGGCTGGAGATGGGGGAGGGGGGGAAATGGAGAGTTATTTAATGGGCATAGAGTTTCAATTCTGCAACATAAAAAAGCTATGGAGATCTGCTATGTAACAACATAAAGAGCTTAACACCTGTGGAACTGTACATTTAAAAATGATTAAGATTGCAAATTTCATATTGTATTTTTTTGACAATTAAAAACTTTGTTTTTAATTAAAAAACATTTTTTTAATATGCTTCTCTATATTTTGACAGCTGAAAACTAAAATCTGGATCCCAGTATCACTTAAGCAAATCTTTCCAAAAGAAAACTTGAAACTAAACACTTTCAACATGGACCCTGACCGAACTCCTCCCACTCACCTTCGTTTTGGTGCCCTAATGAAGAGCTCACAGAGCAGCCTGCCCTGCTCATCCTTATAGTCGCGGATGGTGTTGTAGAGTTCATGGCACACAGCAATCTACACATGGAAAAAGAGCAAAATCACCAGAAAAATGATCAGAAAGTCACTAGGCATTAGGATTATAAAAAAAAAAAAAGCCAGGACAAAGGATGAATCCCCAAATTCCCACATGGAAACCCAAATCTGAAACATGCTAACATTATCTCTCCTTATTTAAGATCATTTAAATGATTAAATCTTTCCTCAGAATATGGTACTAGTGATTTTTCTTTTCTTTGAAACCAAATCAGTTCATATTACCCTTGCTTAAAAAGCATCCAACAGAGGGGCTTCTTACCAGCCAGAGACTAAAATCTAAACTTCTAACACTGCCCACAGAGTACACAGGGTGAACTCCGGCTGGGCAGACTCTGCCAGTTTCCTGCTCCCTCTTGACCCTCTCTGTAATCACAACACAGCAAACCCATTCCTGAGCCAGCTCTTTGGTCTGGAACATTCTCCCCCAGCGCTCAGCAGGGCTGGTGCCTTCTGATCACAAAGACACCTTTCCTGAAGATATGGCCAAAACAGCCCGGATCATCCAAACTTTTCTTCTTAGCACTCATCACTAACTGAGGCTACTTTATTATTTATGTGCTCATCTGTCTACATTCTGCTTCCCCAACACTAGCCTGTAAGTTTCATGTGAAAAACTAGCTCACCTTACACATGGTTATATTCCAACCACCACAACAGAGCTTGGCACAGGACAAGCACACAGTTACTCGAGTGACTATATGATAAAAGAATATTCTTTACTACTTCATAATATTAAATTATATTATTACTGTAAGGCTTTTGGCTAAGTATTTTTATGAAAGAAAGATTAAGAAGATCAAGCCAGAGGAAAAAGAAGCTGAGAGGCCTTGCATCTTAACAGTTTATCATTATAGGAAGGATAGGGAATTGTGCAGAAGGCAGAAACTGTGATTCAAGTTACTTACAGGGTCTACAGTTGGAAGACTGGAAAGTCTCCTCCTTTTCCTGCTTGGGCCTGGTGTAGACACAGAATGGTGCCCATCATCAAAGTCCCCACTGACACTACTGGAAGGGGAGGTAGCTCTTCTTCTCTTGGAACCCATGGAATCCAACTTCTTCTATAAGAAAGAATTAGCCATGTTCTTAAATTGAAATTTATGCTCTGCCACCAAGCCCTCAGCTGGCCACCTGCTACCAAGCTTCAGATATTTTCACTGTTGCAAAGAAGCTTAACTATGCTTTTTCAATGCAAGTCCTAGACCTTGCTTTAGCCCCATCACTTATCATAATGCTACACTTTCCACTGGATGGGAAATTCAGCAAAAGTATACTCATCTGTATTTACCAATTTTGAATGACAACCACTTCGGGCCCCCAATTTACCCTGGAATGGAGTTTGAAAACCCACATAAAACAGTACACCCACACATAATGGTGTGCTGGTGTACTGCCTCAGGGACAGAAACCCTAAGGAGGTCACCTCTGGAGTGAGCAGCCTCATCTGTTTTCCCCAGAGTTCCTTACGATTATGACCACTTTCTAGGAGGGCCAGGATGTGTGTGTGGGGGCGGGGGGGGCGGAGACTTGCAGAAGCAGACCCTGTGGCAAAAGAGTAGGGGGACAGAGGATTAATCTTCTAGCATTTCAGATGTACCCTAAAAGTAACACACTGAAAATGAATTTTCTCCATTCATTAAAGAAAGCTTCACAAGACGTAACCCAGAAAACACTCAACTTGCCATACCTATGCTAACTAAAGTAGCAAAACTCCATTTGGAAATTTTTCTGTCAGTGCAGACTAACCTTTTCAGTTCTATGAGGTATTCTATCCCCATGAGCTCACAGCTTTACATTTCAGTAGAAGATCTGGAAGAATACCTCAAAAATGAGATTTTAGGTCCTCCTTGGCCTCCCAGAAACATGTAAATATTTGCTCTAGTTTTAGGCAGGCTACTAAGTAATCTTTACACAACTTTACAAAATATATATATATATATATACATATATATATACACATTTATTTGACTATAACATAAGAAAGGCAACCATTGAAATGACCTGCTACATCGAGGGGGAAAGGATATATACCTGAGAAAGTCCTACAATGCTTATACAATTTAACAACAGTATCAAATAGGATACTGTGATTTCTTTCTATAAAGAAAAAAGAAAAAACTGATCCTAGGGTCTCTTATCAACATCCAATTTCAGGAAACAGACACCAGCAGCTGAAAGAATGGGTTGCCAGTAATATGGAAAGAAAAACTAGGGATTTGCAGGGAACAAAACAAAGCAACAAAATAAAAATTCTGGTAGCCAAACAAACAAAAGAAGTCTCCAATCTCTTCCCCTGAACCACAGCCCACATGGTTTTTAAAAACTGAGCTTAATATCATGAGGTTCCTTCCTCTAGGACTTAGTTTGTTATAGTCTATTAGTTTGCAATTGGCTGCAACTGGCTAAGGCTTCAAAGGACTTAGGCCAAGGCCAGCCAAGTTTTGTTGATTTTTATTTGTTTTATAAAAGGCTGATAAACTGGCCTCAGTTGAGTAAGACGCAGAAACTAAGGACCAAGCTTTTATAAACAATCTATGACAAGGACTCAAGTGAATCTGATGAACATAAGGCAGGACTCTATGAAAAGGATAACAAAATTTAAGAAAGGTAGAAGGGAAAAGCCAAAGAAGGACAGAAAAGGGAAAGGATGTAGATGATCAGTAATTTACCAGCTTTACCAGAGCACAACCAGCTCCTCGAAAAGCCAGTCTCCTCATTATGTCTGAAGGCCAAGTGAAGCCAGTGGGAGAAGGCAGGGCTTTAGAAGTGCTGATTCAATGTTAATGTATTCAAAACTGAAAGAGAAGAACAAGGCAGAGAAGGGGGAAATAAAAAGAAGGGTCAAAAGGAGTAAAAATGATTACGAATAGACAGAAAACATTCAAGCAGAACTGCTAAAGAAAGATAAGAGAACTGGAGAAAATAAGTCTATCAGTTCTCCTGCACCAACCAAACTGCTGCAAAGGCTCAGGCACTAACAGTATCTGACATTCCTTCCATTTTAACACCAAATGCTTTTCACATGCTTAAAGATGTCTCACTGAGGTTCCCCTTTACTCACATGGAATGACTGTCAATTCCAGGAACGAAGCATGCCTGCCCAACTGCCCCCTAGTCAATAAGAGCAGAGTTCAATCACAGAGCTGGGATGGAGCATGAACACATGTGAAAGGCTCACAAGCGACACCAACTGTTAGCAAGCTGGAACAAACCAAGAACGGCTTATGGTGAGCAGTCTGGTAAACTCCTCCCCACCAAAAAAGTCCAGAGAGAGACATTTCTTTCCAAAAGTCTATCAGCATTGAAAAGATACTACACACAACTTTAGAAACGTTGTTGTTTAAAAAAAAAAAAGGCTTTCAACCAATTGGCAGAAGGTCAAAATTACTTTTATTTTATGTATCAGTTTTTTCCCCCATTTATTTTTATTAGTTGAAGGCTAATTGCTTTACAATATTGTAGTGGTTTTTGCCATACATTAACATGAATCAGCCATGGATTTACATGTGTTCCCCTTCCCGATCCCAAAATTACTTTTATAAATAACTCACTGAAAATCAAATAAAAAATGTAAATCATTGGGGGCGGGGGGGGCGGGGGGGCATGGTGTATGACTCTCTGCGACCCCATGGACCACAGCCCGCCAGGCTCCTCTGTCCATGGGATTTCCCAGGCAAGAACACTGGAGTGGGCTGCCATTTCCTTCTCTGTGTGTCTATCAGTTCAGTTCAGTCGCTAAGTCATGTCCAACTCTTTGCGATCCCATGGACTGCAGCACCCCAGGCTTCCCTGTCCACCACCAACTCCCAGAGCTTATTCAAACTCATGTCCATCGAGTCGGTGATGCCATCCAACCATCTCATCCTCTGTCGTCCCCTTCTCTTCCCACCTTCAATCTTTCCCAGCATCAGGGTCTTTTCCAGTGACTCAGTTCTTTGCATTAGGTGGCCAAAGTATTCAAGTTTCAGCTTCAGCCTCAGTCCTTCCAAAGAATATTCAGGACTGATTATAGTCTAGACCATATACTGTCCAAAATTACTCCAATCATTAATTTACTTTGATAACAACAAAAAGATTCAACTTAAGTATAATTTTCAAATATTTTGTCATTCAAAGAACACATTTTAACATGGACTTTGAAAGTCTGGCAAGAAAAGCAATGTGGCCAGGTGGGTGGGAGGAGAAACAAGACCTGAGCTCAGAAGTGAAGACTAATAAGAGACACAGGTCTTCCTTCTTTAATGATCTGTTTGATGTTGGGTCACAACCTATCAGATCTGTTTCTTCATTTCTAAAATGAAAACAGTAGTGTATGTATCAGGGCTCAGTGGTAAAGAATTCACCTGCCGATGCAGGAGCTGCAGGTTCAATTTCTGGGTCAGAATCCCCTACAGAAGGAAATGGCAACCCACTTCAGTATTTTTGCCAGGATAATCCCATGGACAGGAGAACCTGGCAGGCTACAGACCATGGGGTCACAAAGAGTCAGACATGACTGAGTAAGCACACATGCAAAGTGTACATATCTCCCTTGGACTGTTTTGACGATGAATGTACATGAAATCACTTTGAAATGTCACAAGGGAAGCCCCTGAAATATCAAAGTGCAACAAAAATGTTAAATTAAAACTCTAAATTAGCCTCCAACTAATAAAAATAAATGAAAAAAAAAACTTAACTCTAGGATTTCATTCTCCCTTGTGCATAGGAGAAGCAATTTATCCATTTTTGTTGCCTGACTTATAGCACAGTTTCAGTGATCAACTAATCTATTTAATAAATGTACTAAAAGCGCACTTAAGTGAAATATTAAAAAAAAAAGTTTGCGTAGTTGAAAAGGCCTGTGAGCATCCATTCAGCAATTATTTTTCTATAAAGAGAAAAGGAATAGACTCTGAAGCTTAGTTACAAGTTTTTAAATGGCATTGATTACAGTCACATGTCCAAAATCTAACAACCAATGATAAATTACAGTGGACAGTAAAGAATAACTTTACAATGTGCAACTGGGAAAAAATTACTCAGTATAGCCAAATAGTGTATTCTGACAGTTTATAGACTTTTACTACTCTCCTGTATTTCCAGTGATTCTTAGTGCCGTAATTTATCTTTAACACAATAATCTTGGGAAAAAATCACTTATAATGCTGTGTGTGTTAGTCATTCAGTCGTGTGCGACTTTGCGACCCCATGGGCTGTAGCCTGCCAGGCTCCTCTGTGCATGGAATTCTCCAGGCAAGACTACTGGAGTGGGTTGCCATTCCCTTCTCCAGGAGATCTTCCCAACCCAGGGATCCAACCCAGCTGGGTCTCCTGTATTGTGGGCAGATAGCGTTCTCAGCTTTCAGTATTTGTTCTATGCTTGGCTGCTTTTCTTAAAAACTGAAGTGTGAACGAACGATATATTATGTTGCAGCCTGTGTTTGCCTTAGAGAATATTTCTGAGTCAACATTCTCGCACATGATGTTGGAAGCTTTGAGACTAGCCTATCACACAGATACAGCAATGTACTAATCTTAGGGGTTTGGGTAGAACATTAATACTTTAGGTATTTCAGACACTTCCAAAGCCCAAGAGGTCAAAACCCTTCTATTTGCCCACACAGATCTGTTACTGATTTGACATATTTTTCAAAAAATAACTTCCAATTTTTAGTCATAAAATATGGGAAATCTGTTAACAAGTGATAAAGCACAAGTTATACTGCTCTTTGCTTATGAATTGTACTTGGGAAAAGAGTCACTACTAAATGGAAAAAATAACTAGAAATCACTGAGGAGGGATAATTTGCTGGAAAACTAGTAGTAATGCTTTATTCCAACATATGTTCCTAAAATCGTAGTAATAATTTCTATATCCACAATACCGTGGATTTGTCATTTGTTTTTCAGGATTCCTTCTTAATTTTTGCCTGTATTTTTTCACCCTTAAGTCACCAATATCTAACCTATAATGACGAAACTATGCTTCTTTTTCAGTAAAAAAATTTTGTTGAGATGGAAAATATTAAAAACCAGAAATGTACACAATTTTAAAACCTCAATTCTTTGTGGTGTTGCACGGAAAAAATATCTGCCCTCCATGATAAATACAACTCCCACTGATTAAAAAAACACTCAGTCCGAACAGTCATCCGGAAAATATTTTTAAAAAAAATTTACTAGGAGAGTTTGTGTCTGAACCGCCAAGAAACGACAACAAAAAAGCCCTTAACCGCTAAGGAAATGTTAAGACTTTCCCAACCTGTCACCGGCACGGGGAACTAAGGGAAACGTTGACAGCTTTGAAGCTGCCCGCGACGGGAGCTCGGCCAGCCGCAGGGGGCGGGAAAGCGGGGCGCGGGGAGTTTCCGGGCCGCGGCGCGCCTTTGTCCCTGGCGTCAGGTGCGGCAAGGCGGTCGGGCCTGTCCCGAAGCCCAGCCGCCGAGCCCCGCCCCGCGCTCCCGGCCCGACCGGCGCGTCCCCACCATCGGGGCGGGGCCTCCGCCGCTGCTCCCGCCCGCCCGGGCCCACACAAAGGCCCGGCAGTCGGCCGAGAGGAAGCGGCCCCGCCCGCCCCGGGCCCGGCCTTACCCAGCCGCTCCGCCGCCTGCAGCCCCGGCCGCCGACCGCCGCGCCCCGCCCCGTGGAAGCCACGGCTGCTGCTATTGCTCCTCCGGCCGCGGCCGCTGCCGTCGCTCCAGCACCCGCCGCCCTCACCGCCCTCACCGCCCTCACCCCTCCCGGTTCCGCCGCAAAACCAGTTCCGCGGCCGTCGAGCGAACCCGGCTCCGCACGACACTGCGTGCGCGCGCACACGGGCCAGCGGCGGCGCGCTTTACGGCAGCAGCGTGAGTGCGTGACGCTCGGCGGAGGCCTCAGTTCGCACGTGGCGCCTGTAGGGGCACGTTGTACCTGAGAGTGCTGGTGTAACTTCGGGCTCAGGCCTTTCGGCTTCCACTATGAAGCGGCCGAGTGAGTGTGGTCAGGGGGCGGGCGTGGAGGGGGCGTCTGTGACTGATGGTCGACGAACCCACCAGGGTGCTCCGTCTCCCTGATCCCGCCTAGAACTGAGGGTTGGAAGGCCCCACGTGAGCCGCGCGGTCCTGTGTGCAGAAAGTCTGGGCCCCAGGGATGAAGATCAGGCCAGAGGGTCATGAGGACCCAGTGTCTGAGCCAGGTTTCAGGCCTGGCGTTTTCCCTTGTGCAGCCTCGTTCGGTCTGAAAACACGCACTGTTAGATTTTCTTCTATGATTCGTGCTGTTTGACAGGAAGTGGCAGTTTTGGGGTTATACGATCCTGTGTACGATCCCAGTCTAATCTAGGAAGGTGGAAGTAGGGAAGTTGGATCTACAACGAATCTGTTGAGTCAGATTCTCTGGGACTTGACTGGTCCCACACGCGCCCCACACGATTCTTAAATTATGTTTCAGAGCCAGTTAATGCAAAAATGGATGTGGCCTAAAGCGCGGTCATCAGAAGCTAAACAAACTGATCATTTGTGGATAAAATCGATTTTGAAAAACAGTGAACTAATCCTTTTGTGATGTGTTGCTTTGTAGAATTAAAGAAAGCAAGTAAACGCATGACCTGCCACAAGCGATATAAAATCCAAAAAAAGGTAAGTCTTGGAAGAGTTGTGAAACTTAAGTTAAAGTTGCTCAGTCGTGCCCGAGGCCAGGGATTATATACTCCATGTAATTCTCCAGGCCAGAATACTGGAGTGGTAGCCTTTCCCTTCTCCAGGCGATCTTCCCAACCCAGGGATCAAACCCAGGTCTCCTGCATTACAGGCGGATTCTTTACTAGCTGAGCCACAAGGGAAGCCCAAGAATGCTGGGGTGGATAGCCTAGTTCTTCTCCAGCGGATCTTCTCGATCCAGGAATCTAACCCGGGTCTCCTGCATCACAGGTGGATTCTTTACCAACTGAGCTACCAGGGAAGCCTGGAAGAGTTACAGGGGGTATGCTAAATTGATTTCCTGCCCCAGAGCTCTGGGTTAACATGAGTATGATTTCACTAATGGAGGTTTAACTGGAACAGAGGTCGGATACAGTGCAAGCTCTTAGGAGGCAGAAATAATTCAGTGACATGTCTGTAAATTTTGATCACCATAGTAGCAGTTGCTGCAAAAAGAATCCTGGTGACATTTTCTTGCTGTTTTATACATAAATATGCATGTTCTGTTTTATGGTTAAAAGTTCTATGTTTCTAGGTTATTTTATAGATAAACTGCAGCCACATTGGCTACTCACTGGAATTCTCTTTAATATTTCTGTAAACTGATAAAATACCATTATGGTAGGTTCGAGAGCACCATCGAAAGTTGAGGAAAGAGGCTAAAAAACGGGGTCGAAAGAAGCCTAGGAAAGACCCAGGAGTTCCAAACAGTGCTCCTTTTAAGGAGGCTCTTCTTCGGGAAGCTGAGCTAAGGAAACAGCAGGTAAGATGTATTAGTTCACACTTTCAACAAGTGGTGTGTGGGTGTGTGTAAAGTTACAACAAGAAGTCACTGGCTCATGCATGTCTCTTGTGGCTTGAACACAGCTTGAAGAACTGAAACAGCAGCAGAAACTTGACAGGCAAAAGGAACAGAACAAGAAAAGAAAACTTGAAACTGACCCTGATGTTGAGCTATCTAACACAGAACCTGTAAAAGAGGTAGGGGTTACAGTCATGGAAAGTGGAAATGAGTTACATCTGCTGACCTTCTAATTCTGTGTCCTTTCCCTTGTCTTTATCCCCCAGGAATTAGGGCAATGCAAAGCTAAGAAAGCCAGGACAAGCAAACAGAATCCGAAGAGGCTGTACTGTCAGGAACTTAAAAAGGTATCGTGGTCTAGGTTAGTGTCTACAAGTGGTTGTGAAGTTTAAAAGACTGAAGAATCATCTTTTTTTTCTCCTGACACCAACTTTATAGAAGTGGAAGTAGAGTTCTCTTGAGCTTGAATTCTTCAGCAAGTTGGCTTGGTCTGTTACATTTAGCTAAAGGAAATATTAAAAAAAAAAAAAAAAAAACTTATATTGTCACACCAGGTCTTAGTTGCAGCACACAGAATCCTTAGCTGTAGCACGTGGGATCTAGTTCCCTGACCAGGGATTGAATCTGAGCCCTCTGCATTGGGGAGTGGGAGATCAAGCCACTGGACCCCCAGGGAAGTCCCCAGAAATGTTCTTGTGGTTTTAAATTTTTGCATGGGAACAGATCCCCATAGTCATGATTTACAGAAGTGGCATTTGGTGTTAAAATAACATGTTGATACAGTGGCTTTTAAGGTACTCTAGTAGTACAAAAGATTCTAAAATACTCTGCCGAAACGTACATAAGCAGGGTCAAGGGTGTCTTGGGGTAGCACCCCTGTCCCCAAGACCTTATTCTCCTGAGCTCACTCCCTCCTGTGAAGAGACCCTGGCTGTGTTTCTCAGCAGCTCTTGGCAGGGCCATAAGGATCTCAGACTACATGATTCAGAATGGGGAGGCTGCATCTTTAGATAATGGGAGTGTTTCCACTCTTGAGATCCACTTTGATTGGAGGCCACTGAACAAACCTGTGTCTGTCATGTAGGGAATGGTGAACACAGACATGAGATTCACCTCTGAGCTCACTCTGTTGAAAAGACAGTGCCAGTGTACTTACATGGAGGGTGGTGCCAGACTGAGTAATGCTGTTCTGATAGCTTCTGCTTTGACAGGTGATTGAAGCCTCAGATGTTGTGCTAGAGGTGTTGGATGCCAGAGATCCTCTTGGTTGCAGGTGTCCCCAGGTAGAAGAAGCCATCATCAGGGGTGGACAGAAAAAGCTGGTACTTGTATTAAATAAATCAGGTAGGTGAAAAAGGTAGGCTGTTTATGTTCCATATGCACTAATGAGGTATGAGGAAAACATCTGAACAGTCTTACTGTCTGTGAAGACTCGTAAGATCCAACTCTGACCTCAGTGAAACCAGTGCATATGCATGAGCTCTTGTTGCCAAAGACAATGCTAGGCTAATAATAAAGAGTGTAAACTTTCTATACTCAGCTTACTGTGTAATATATTTCACATAGGAAATGATGACAGTGCCATATTCCCCACACCTGCACAATGTCCATATGTGGCAACATTTAAATAAAATACATGGTTATGTATCTGGGTTTAAGCAGCAAGGACAGAAACACCCAGAAACAGAAACCTGTGAAACAGTAAAGATAGAATCTAAAATTACTCCTGGGGGTCAATAAACTTGGTTGCTACCTGATAGTGTAATTCTGGAAGCATGGCCCTAAAGTTAGTATGGTAATAATCTAGAAGTTGACTTAATCCTGAAAAGGTGAGCAGTGCAGAGGAGAACTGAAGAAATACAGAGGTGTACATACTGAATTGTGTTAAACAGAAGCATGTTAGGGTGCGGACATTCTCCCAGTCTTACAGTTCAGATACTTTTTAAACCATGGGGAAAGGCAAACCTGAATGATAGCCGTAGCTTACTAGACTTTGCAAATTCATCTCAACAAAATGAGCAGGGTTTTATTCTTAACCCCTCTCAGATTTGGTACCAAAGGAGAATTTGGAGAACTGGCTAAGTTACTTGAAGAAGGAATTGCCAACAGTGGTGTTCAAAGCCTCAACACAACGGAAGCACAAAAGGAAGAGTGTCAAGGTACCCTTAACATAGTGGTGGGAAGTGTGGTTCTTTCAGACGGGTGAAACGTGATGAGTGTACAAAATCTTGATTAAAAAATGAAAACTTAAAAGATCCAACTCTGATTTCATCCAGAAATAATCTGAAGGCAATGGAATGTGGCAATTTTAATAGATGGGCTTTGGAGCCAGAGTGGTTGGGATTTGTCTGGTGGGTTGTCCAAAGTAGTTAATCATTTTGGATTTTAACTTCTGGAGGTAAAGAAGAAAGCTGCTCCATTCAAAAGTGAAGTCTGTGTTGGAAAAGAAGGCCTTTGGAAGCTTCTTGAAGATTTTCAGAAAACTTCTGGCAAAGCCATTCATGTTGGGGTAATTGGTGAGTTTCAGTTCACCATATTTTATATCTTAGCTCATTAAGTGCAGCTTGGCACTATAGGTAATGTCAGCTTCTAAGAGCTCTGATGACTTGAATTAATCATCTTTTCCTGCCCTTCCATTACTTGTGCAAGACATGAAGATACCAAGAGTGGTCTTAGTGTTGAAGTGAGGACACTCAGATCCAACTCTGATCTTGCTATAAAAATCAGGCGGGCATAAAAAGAGACAGTGGAAATTTTATAATTACCAGCATATAATGCCTTTTGTAATGTGTGGATTTTCCATTTGTAGGTTTCCCAAATGTGGGGAAAAGCAGCATTATCAATAGCTTAAAGCAAGAACAGATATGCAGCGTTGGTGTATCCATGGGGCTTACGAGGTAAACTGAGTTCCATTGTTGTAACATTTCATTTTGGATGAGTAAATATGGTTTTGGTTATTTTAAGGGAGACAATATTGTATTTCTATTTACTCAATTTTTCTACTCAGTGAAAGGTGGGGGACTGGGCCAGCGATAGACTTGGGGAAGAATGGATCTAGTAGAATAGCTGCCCACAATCTAGTTTGAAAGATGAGCAAATAGGTTGAGAGAGGGGAAAGCTGCCTTAGAAGTGATGTTCAAACCTGAACTTGAAGTGAACAGAAGTCTGCCAGGTAGAAGAAGGGAAGTACTTCTGACAGGAAGCAGCATGTGTTTAGGTCATTATGTATATAAGCTGAAACACATAGTGTTTCACTTTAGAAGGGGAGTGTGTTTTAATGGTTTTAGATAAACATGAAGCAAATGATGATAAACTGGATCTGACAGACTGTGCTGAGTTTGTTCAATCCAACCCTGAGCTTCGTGTTCTCTCCCTTGTCCTTCAGGAAAACCAGTGCCCCGTCAGTTACCATCTTTCTTGTTCCAGGTGCATGCAGGTTGTCCCCTTGGACAAACAAATTACAATCATAGACAGTCCATGTTTCATTGTGTCTCCACTTAACTCTGCTCCTGCACTTGCTCTGAGAAGTCCAGCAAGTTTTGAGGTAGTTAAACCACTGGAGGCTGCTAGCGCCATCCTGTCCCAGGCTGATGCCCAACAGGTAAAAGAATCCCCTTTTCCTTGAGTTCCATCTGTCTTTCATTGTAAGCTTTTTTTTTTTTTTTTAAAACAACAGTCATCTATATCAGATAAATGAGTTTTGTTTTTCTTTTTTTAAGGTAGTACTGAAATTTACTGTCCCAGTCTTTACGAATTCTCTGGAATTTTTTACTTCACTTGCTCAGAGAAGAGGACTGCACCAAAAAGGTGGAAGCCCAAATGTAGAAGGTGCTGCCAAAGTGCTGTGGTCTGAGTGGACAGGGTAAGGCTTCTTTCTGTTGGCTTTTGGATGATCACATAGAAGAAAGGAACTGATTTTTGACCATACTTTGCTTTTAATACCAGTGCTTTCTTAGGTTACTATTGCCATCCCCCTGCATCTTGGACTCCTCCTCCACATTTTAATGAGAGCATTGTGACAGACATGAAATGGGGCTTTGATCTGGAAGAACTGGAAAAGAACAATGCATACAGCATACAAGGTGAGCATGGCTTGTGTTAAATTGCTATCTTCATCAGCTGCCAGGCCAGTGAAGGTCTTATCTGTTCATGTGGGCTGTGTTTACTTTTCCTAGCCATCAAGAGCCCTCATTTAGCCAATAGCATCCTTTTCCAGTCATCAGGTCTGACAAATGGAGTGATAGATGAAAAGGACATACCTGAACAATTGCCAAAACAGAAAAAACAGAAGCAGGAGCAGGGGGAGAGCTATGAAGATGTCAACACGGATCAGGGAATTGTAGACGAAGAAGGTGATGTAAGTATGTCATGCATAAGTTGTTTAAGCTAAAGTAAGTTTTCTATAGAGTTATAATGTACAACAAATGCAAAGGAGCTAAAGACAGAAATAGAAATTAAAGTGTATCTATTTCATGATTTAAGTTTAAGGCTTGCAATCATTAGTCTTGATTTTGTACATCCTTTACTGTGTACTTCCAGATACTTTTTCTGGGTACATAATTAACTTGGATTAGTGAGCAGGCAAGGGCTACCAATACTGTCTCTCTCCCACAGGATGAGAGCTTAGACATGTCCCCCGCAGAGGAGGCCTGTGAGGCACCGCCTGAGAAGTCTCAAGCAGGTGAGTGGGGTAGAAAGGTCTTCCAACAAAGGAGTATGATACAGAATTACTTTTACCTCTTTTTTTTTTTAAACCTCACTTTTCTTTCCAATATAGACAAGCAGTCTACACCATCTTTTGTCTTGGATAAAACGACTGAAGAGGAAGATGATGCTTATGACTTCAGTACAGATTATGTATAATAAAGCCTTGCCCTGTAGAGTTTTTTGTTGGTGGTAGATTTTAACATTGTGAGCAGACTGCTAAGCTGTTCTGCATGTGATGTATGTACCAGTTTGTTAGTGGTTATGACGTAAGCTATGTAACTTTTGTGGGTATTTATATAACAATATATTTATTTAAAAAAAAATCAGGCAACTTAGAAAGCGTCTAAATTCTATAAAAATACATCTCTTAAATAGCGGGTAGAAGTAAAGTTAAAGCATATACCTATTGAAAAATGAAGTTTTCACTTTATTTACACAGGTCACAAAATTAAAACCAAGTAGCAGTGATGAACTGGCTGTAGCAACCGTATCTTAAGTCCATTCACCTCTGGTCAGTCAGCACCATCAGTAAGCGAACGCTTGGTAAGGCAGATGGAGGCATATTTATTTATAGTCTGTCTGGGAAGCTGGCTGCCAAATGGGACAGTCTATCCTCTTTACCCAGCTGAAATGTCCCTTTTTCCATGGGTTGGTGAAGACAGGCACTGAAGCCTAGCTAGTGTTACTTCCCACACACACTGTCTTCCAGGATTTCCTGAGAAATGCTTATAGCACAATTTGTATTTTACTTTGTGTTTGAGATCTCCACATGTCTTCGGATTAGGCTGAATTTGCCTGTTGGGTCCGGAATATACCATTTTTCCCAGACATCAGTATATGAAGCAGTTCTTCCCCATGGCTTAAAGTGCCCATTCCAGTGGAGTAACTTGGCAGCCTTTACAAATTGGGGTGAATATCGTTTTCCAGCACTGGAACCTTACATTTAGAGAGAAAAAGCCAAATCATTGTACTAATCAGACACAAGACTTCAGGTAACTTAAGGGAAACAATACAGTCCATTCCTGAGGGTGGTCCTTAAGAGACATTTACTGCTTAGGCTCTTGGTTAATTACCTACTTACCAAGGTGGCGAACATTCCACATAGGGTCGATGGTGGAGTGCTGCTGGTAAAACACAATCAGCAAAGGTGGTGTTGTGATGCTGCCAGCCAGTGTTCTGCTATACAGTCCCTCTCTGGGTGGGAGAGAGAACAATTCCTGTTAGTCAAGACTGCCAGGGTTGAGAGAGAAGAGTTTTCAGAGCTAGGCCAGTTACACAACTTACTCTACATTGAGTTTCATCCATTTTTCCAGCTGGTTAGTTATATTCTGTCTTCTCCATTCTGTCAAGTTTGCAACAAAAACTCCAGGATTAAATGAGCAGGTGCTGGCTTTCATGGAAAGTTTACGAATTCTTTCCTTCTTATAGTCAAGATATCCGATGTAATTGTACTAAAAACACAATTGGGATATATAGTATGTTTACCGCTTCAAACAGTAATTTGATAACCATTCTGCTTACTTAAGATTTCTCAGATAATTAGCAAAGGGCTCTACATAAAGCAATTAGAAGTGACAGTTGGGATTGCAAGTTAGACAACAGGAACCTAAACATAAAGCCAGATATTCATGGAGAATTAGGTTGTCAAATCCATAAACCAATCTAGGAAAGTAGCCTTGAGTTTTAGGATGAAATAACCAGTGAATAAAATGTAGCTAAAAGGGGAGTACAGTAAATTTACGAGGTCTAATAAATAATTTACCTGGTTTCCTGCTCCACGGATGACAACTTTAGCAGAGGTTGAATCACAGTCTTCTGAAAATGCAGCTGCATGTCCTGGCTTCAGTGGTGTATTGTACAGGGCAAGAATATCACCTGAAAGAACATTAAGATTTAGGCTGGAAGTTGTCCCAAGATGCCTATTCCTCCTACTTTAAGTAGGTAAATTAAGGTTTTTAGTTGGAGTTTCAATATCAGACTTGTAGAAATTAGTAGAATGAAAGTGCAGAGAAGCAGAAGGATAGAGTAGACCTGATAAATAATGTGAACCAATTCAACATAATTAAGACTTATATATAATTTTCACACAACAGTAGGATACAAATTCTATTCAAGTTCCCATAGACTGTAAACTAGGAGACACTGGAACATGTCCAGAGACATAAAACAAGGTGCAAAAATTTCATGGTCTAAAGGTATTTAAATCAAACAGTCTGTTATCACTGTGGAATTATGTTAGAAATCAGTATCAAAAGATATTTGAAAATAATCCACGTACTTTCAAGTGAAATGTGAAAGATGACCTTTTATAGGGTAACCGTAAGTAAGACAAACAGTACAGCCCACAATGGACAGAGAGCAGCAATGATGTGGCATTCTTCAGTACCTTGCACGATTACATCATCATCCATGTATATGGCCTTCTTTGCTCTGGGAACCAGAATTGGCAAGTAGAACCTTGCAAAGGTTAACTGGAAAAAGAAAGCATTGAAACAGGATTTTAAGTGGCTGTGCTTTTGTTTACTAGAAATTCCCAGGATGCTCTCAGCATCCATGCAAGAGAAGAAATCCAAAGGTCTCAGAACTTCCAGACATGGTCCCCAGGGAAGTATAATCTTTGCACTGTACCCAGTTATGCAGGTATTCCAGCCATTTCCCATTTCCTAGTACTACCAAGTACAAACAAGGATGCATGGAACTCACTGGTTTTATGGATTCCCCCTGGTCAGGATCCTCCTTTACTTTCCCTTCCAAAAGTTTAGTGTCAAAATTCACAATTTTGTACCTGATACTTTTCAGGTTACTGCTGCTGAGCCAGGACCTGGTGAAAATAAACCACCAAATAACAGTTTTAAGTAATAATGCCCCAAATCACAGCCATGTCTCTGCTTTCCAAGACCCTAATGCAAGAGAACTCCTGAGGACCACATAGGTGTCTTCAGTTCCCTTCACCTTTTGAGTTCTGGTATCCTCATCTGCTGTGAGTGTTCCCACTGAAGCCCCTTCCTGAACCAAGACTGTGGTCACAGAGCTCCCAAAGGCTCATGCTCTGATCAATCTGACACCAAAGCTGCAGTAGAAAAACTCATCTTGGAACTGAGGTGTTCCCATCACCACACGGATTGTTCAACTTCTGTCCCTCCAAATACATGAGTAAAGGAATTGAGTCAGGTATGACGGTAGTGAAAGCTAGTTATCAACACGGGGGCAAATCCATCTGTTAACCTACACACTTACTGTGATGTGTCATTCCACCTGAGTCTGAGGTTATCAGACCTGTGAGCAAAGTCAGTGTTCCCTAAAGATGTCCAGCACATCTTTCCTAGGGCCATTTCAGATCAGCATTTTGTGGATATTTCTATTTTAATGCAATATTTGTTTCTATTTTAGATTGTTTCTTGTTTTTAAAAATGGAAAAATTATAACAACTTTCACAAAAAACATGAACCATGAAGAAAGGCACAGAACTCTGACCACTATTAACCTATTAAAATTTTTTTGGAATAAACTTTGTAAATCTTAAGTCAAAACATCTTCAAAACAAATTTAAGACTGTCCATCAGATTGGGTTCTATAAATCATAATACTAAGGATCATTTACTAAGCGATTATTATGTGGTAGGTAGTTTATATATTTTTCATTTACTTGATACAACAATCCTCTAGGTTGGATATTTACACCCCATACTTAGAGATGCAGAAATAGGTTCCCAGGGGTTAGGTCTATACTCACTTCACCATTCTACCTTGCTGTTGCTCCCCCGTCCCGTCCAACTCTAGACCAGAACTACTCAAGAGCATGTTCTGAAAGTAAGGAACTTGTAAAAGAATGTAAGTCAACACACTGCTTCCTTCATTGAGGAAGTTCTTATTAACAAAAAAAAAAATATTTGCTTGAGTTTAACAACGTGCATAGTAAACACAGTTGATTCACATCTTGCCGCGAGTTGCTTACACATTTCTCCTATCAAGGAGACATATTTATGGTACAATCATTTGGAAAAAATGTGCTGTTTATATGTGGTATAATAATTATACAAGAAAAATGTTTGTAAACACTAAAAAAAAATTACTCGATTGGCAGCTGGCCTGCTCTCAGAGTATCCCCTAAAGCAGGGCCATCAGGCAAGCAGAGCTCACCGGAGATGGTCTGCTGTCCCATTGAGTGTAACAATGTAGAAGATCACGTTGGAGTGAGTATTGTGCTGAATGCTGTTTATGGCAGCAATGGCCCCTCCGAGCCTGTCTTCAGATGCAGCGATGACCACAGGAATCTCCTCTTCTCTCCCATCAACCACATGCTGGGGAGCATTTGGGATAAAGTCCACTGGCTGAAGCCCCGCAATTCCTGAATCTGCAAAGAACGCACACAAGGAAGGTACTAGGGTACAATCTCAAGAGCTTTTCATACAGATCCCAACACATGAAAAGAGGTTAGCTGATCTGCACATCTGTGTCTCTTTTTCTCTTTTGCATATAGGGTTATCGTTACCATCTTTAAATTCCATATATATGCGTTAGTATACTGTATTGGTCTTTATCTTTCAGACTTTTGGACTCTGTGGGAGAAGGTGAGGGTGGGATCTTCTGAGAGAATAGCATTGAAACAAATATACTATCAAGGGTGAAACAGATCGCCAGCCCAGGTTGGATGCATGAGACAAGTGCTCAGGGCTGGTGCACTGGGAAGACCCAGAGGGATGGGATGGGGAGGGAGGCGGGATCGGGATGGGGAACACATGTAAATCCATGGCTGATTCATGTCAATGTATGGCAAAAACCACTACAATATTGTAAAGTAATTAGCCTCCAACTAATAAATGAAAAAAAAAAAAGGAAAAGAGGTTAGCTGAGGGTTATGATACTTAGACCTCAATCTGTCTCATTACAGTGTGAACCACACAGACCAGAAATTGTGTGTTTTCCTGTATGTAACCAGGCCTTGGAAAAGCGTTTAAAAAAAACAGGCAGCAGATGGAATTATGATACACTACTGGTAGGACTATAACAGGGTCTTTTTAGACTATATTTTGGCAGTTTGTATCAAGAGCCTTAAACAGGTACATGGCTTCTGACCCAGTAATTCCCTTGTGTCTCTTAAGAAAAAAACCTGAGAGGGAACCAAAAATCATAATTTTATTTACAACTATGAAAACCTAGAAACAGACTAAAAAACAGTTGTTTTTCAAACCATGAATCATGTCCCAGAAATATGAATGAAAGTAATTTAGTGGGTCACAATTAGAATGTGAGTAGGAAAACAGTTTCTGAATTGGAACAGAATGGTGACTTAGAAAATATCAGAATGCATCACACACAGCAACTCCAAGTATTATTTTGTAAACCTTCCTTCTTTCATAGTATGTCCATTCATTTACTCATTCATCATGCGCTGAACACTGAGCACTTACTATGTGCCAGGCAATATCTAGGCACTAGGGTTATAGCCATGAATAAAACAGTTAAATCTTTACCACTGTGAAGGGCAGATAGCCAATATACACATGTATGTGTGTGTTGTATGTAACACATTCATATTGCGGGGTTGCCATCAAAAAAATCTCAAAAGTCATTGTACCAAGACTTTTTCCTATAGAAAAAATTAAACTATGTGGCATTAAATTTACATTTGAAGAGTTTTGTCATGGTGACTTACTTAGGATATAATTATGTGAAAAATCATGTCATGTAGTTTATATTAATATATAGTATAATCTCAACTATATGGAAAAAATACACAGAGGTAAAAAACTGGATGGTACAAAGGGAAAATTTTAATATTAATAGTTATGTCTAGGCAGTGAAATAATTTATTCAATGAATATTTATTAAGCACCTCCTATGTACCAGCCACAACTGCCCTCATGGAGCTTGAATGCAGTTTATAAATGCTCCTACTATCAGGAGCATGCCATTACTTTCTGTAAATACATACACACACACACATACATATATATACACACACACAAACTATTATAAAACATGCTATCAGAACATTCAGTGAAAGTTAAGGGAAAGCTATTGGTCTTTTCAGGCTCTGGTCAAGGATGGTGGGTAACAAGTCAAAAATTACTTTTGACAAACCCTCTGAAGCCTCAAACATTTCTCAATACCAAGGCAGGGCAATATGAACAAGTAATCTAAAATAACTGGCAGCAGAGTTATACAACAATGATCTTTTAAATCAGCAGAAGAGGTTTTATGGTTTCGTTTTACTACTAGAGTCCTGCTGATATGGTTCCACATGTTAAAGGAAAGTAACAGGTGACCAGACTCATGATCTAGTGAACAAAATAAGCATCAGACACCAGCAATATTAACCTGTCACCTTCTGAAGCCCTGCCCGACTGAAATGTCTGCAGATAACAGCCTATAGTGGCTCCTTTCTCTAAGGATTCTAATTTGGTAAAAAAGGAATCCTTGGTGAGATCAAATGCTTAGCAAACAACTGCCCAGCAGGGAGAAGGGGACAGGCTGCTAGAGCAAAATGAGTGCCACCTGCCTTTCTCAGAGGTGTTAGCAGCTTCTGTAGGGCCAAGCAGAATGTGGGACACAGGGAATTCCAGGTTCTTAACAGACAGCAAGGCTGTAGTCAGGGTTCCCATACCTGAAACCTCATTCCTCAGCAAACTGCTCAGACCAAGGAAGTTATGGTGCAAAACCAGTAAGAAGAGAGCAACAGCCAGGACCAGGATGATAATGTTTACTGAAACACAGAGGAGAAAGCCCATGTTACATTTCTTTACCTTTTGACCAAGTAAAAGATAAGACACAGCTTCCTCAGTGGCTTAGCAGCAAAGAATCTGCCTGCCAATGCCAGAGACCCGGGTTCGACCCCTGGGTCAGGAAGATCCCCTGGAGAAGGAAATGGCAACCCACTCCAATATTCCTGCCTGGAAAATCCCATGGACAGAGGAGCCTGATGGGACGTGACTCAGCAACTAAACAACAAAATAACAACTGTAGAAAGAACATACCTTTACGAAATGACATCTTTCTCTTCTGTCTTATATAAGTATTAGTTATTAACCCTACAAAACAAAAACAAGCCCCCAAAGTCAGTAGGTACATTAGAGTGGCCATCAAAATGCCTACGCTTTTATTCAGACAGAAACAAAAAGTGAATATATGGTATATTCTGCCAGAAACTTGTTTTGAATTAACAGCTTCCAAGAACCCAACTTGAGATCTGAATTTTTTATGGCAGTCATAATAATAAAATATTTCCAATAACTTAAAGCCTTGTGTACCATACGCCACTAGACAAAAAGCAAAAGAAATTCTACCAGGAGGAATACCCAGTAGAATTTAGGGGTCTAGGGGTCTAACCACTATGGAAACATTTTCTGAATGAATTTCTACTTAGAATTCCTAATTAGACAGGGACTTAGTTGTCTATGATCAAATAAACTGAGGTCAACCTCATTGGTACAAAATATCCCCTGTTCCAAATTGTATTCTATTAACTCATTTCTAAAGGCCTTTGAAAAGAAGAAAAATATATTGAAGGGCTATTTAAAAAATTGGGAATCACAGGCCAGATTACAAACTTGGAGAAAATAATTCAGACTCCCAAAGTACACACAAGGTGAGGGTGGAATGATCTGAGAGAATAGTACATTAGCATATGTAAAACAGATGACCAGTGCAAGTTCAATGCATGAAGCAGGGCACCCAAAGCCAGTGCTCTGGGACAACCCAGAGGGATAGGATAGGGAGGAAGGTGGGAGGGGGGTTCAGGATCCGGGGGGACATGTACCTGTGGCCAATTCATGTTGATGTATGGCAAAAACCATCACAATATTGTAAATTAATTATCCTCCAATTAAAATTTTAAAAATACACATTCCTTCTCTCACTCTTCTTTCTAAAGCAGTACATGTAAAGTATACTATACCAACGGATTTCCTCTCTGAAGAATATATATCATTATATACCCTGAGCTAGACATAACTGAGCAACTTCACTTTCACTTTTCACCTTTATGCATTGGAGAAGGAAATGGCAACCTACTCCAGTGTTCTTGCCTAGAGAATCCCAGGGATGGGGTCGCACAGAGTCAGACACAACTGAAGTGACTTAGCAGCAGCAGCATGTGTCTCTACTTCCTCTTGAGGACTGAGGCTGACCTATAGGTGGTGGCAGACTGGGGGCTACTCAGACAGTTCTACTGTCTGCCTGCTTGGAGCCAATTTCCACCAAAACTGAAGAACACTATCTCACTTTAATGAATCTCATTTAATGAACAGTATAAAGGACAATGGTTTAGCTCAACAATGTCCAGCAACAATTACTTACAGGTAGTATCCTGATCAAGAGGCACAAGTATTTGTGCTATTGCAACTGGCCAGACAGAAGAAAAACACAATCCTAGCAGGTATTTGACATACCTAAGTAGATTTGCATGGCAAAAACCATTTGCTCCAAAAACTCTTCCATGGTTATCTACATACACACTCCATATTATTATGGAGTGTGTCTGATCCATAATTCCTTTTCTGGCGTAATTCCTGGTAATGGAATTCACTGATCTGAGTAGAAAGAATTCTCAAAGCCAAACTGCATGTACATGCAGGATGTGCAAAAATACTGACTATATTTTTGCTAGAGTACACAACTGTGTAAAATTTGATGAGTAATATTCACTTGTCCACTATGAAAATTAACATTTTGTTTAGAAATGATAAGACCTTCACATTCCCAAATCACTCAACACACACACACATGGCAGCTGTTCCCAGAAATACGGGTGAAGAAACCTTAGGGGGAAAGAACACTTTATGTTTCTCAACTTGCTGGCTACCTGCACTAGTACCCATATTCTCAGTGGTCTTTTCTGCTTTCCCTCCTATTGCTATATACTCCCATGGAAGGCCATTCCACCCACGCTCTGCAACCTATCCTACAATTGATTCCTTGGTGCAGCAACAGCAAACTCTTTCCCTCTCTGCTGGAACACACTCTCAGCAGCATATTATCATGCTCTGTATCTTCCAGTTAATTAAAAAACAAAAAGACACCACTTCCCAAATCCCAGTAGACTCACAGACCCATTTCTCTGCTCCCTCTCACACGAAAAGCTTGAAAGGACTGAAAGTCTCCAGCTCCAGTTTCTTTCCTCCTGTCCTCGCTTTAGCCTCCTCCAACCAGACTTCTGGCCCTACTTCTCCATTCAAACTGGCGTTGTTGAGACTACAGAAGACCAAGGTCACCTTTTGGTCCTCTTACCCATCCCCTCAGAGACCGTCAATAAAGCTTACCACCCCCACCCCCCTCTTCAATTATGAAATTAGCTCATTTATTTGATTTGTTTCTTCATTCTGTCTTCCCTGCTCTTTGAGAACAGTGGCTCCAGGGGAAAGTGTATACTGGTGTACCCTTGCCATCTAAAACCATGTCTGGCAAATGGTAGTAGATATGTCATACTTGTTGAATGATCTTGTTAATCTAGGAGCAAGGCTGGTTCTCAGCCCTGAAAGGGAACACCATCGTTAAAAATAATCACGGAAACAAATTCCAATGGAGATCTCTCTGAAATAAAATCTGACAAAAGCAGTCTCCTTTTCCCACAATTATCTTTATAGATCAAATACCATAAAGCCTCTACAGCAACTGCTACCCTGTAAAGTGCGTTTAAAGAGGGATAAACAGAGGGATATGTCTATGGCTACATACAAGAGAAAGGGCTTAGTCTCCACCAGATTGAAAGGTGGAAAAGGAACTAAGGGTGTACATCCACTTTCTTCACCTCTTTATCTGGCTAGCCACTACTTGGCTTTCAGCAATTAAGGGAGCCTCCCTCAAATCCCGCATTCAGTTGCATCTCCCCTAAGCTCTCACATATCCAGGGCTTCGCTACCCCCAGAGTAATCCGGTTTATACTTCTGGGGTTACGTGGCTGTCTCCCTTGACACATTCTGGACTCCAGGAAGGCAAGGAAGGGCCTGTTGTTGGTCAGGGCCGTATCTTTGGCCCAAAGCTTGGCACACACACAAAAAAGCTGCGGGATGTATTTGCGGATTAATGAATGAGGGCGGCAACCAGACACATCAACCTGGCCCTGGAGTGCCCAGAATCCCAGCGTCTGTAAGTGACGCTGGCGCGCAACACAGCATAGAGGCCAGCGAGCCAGTAGGGACCCCCCAGGCCTAGGTTTCCCACAGTTTCTCTCTGGAACGTGGGTCTTCCACCTTCCTCGGAGTAACGGAGGAGGGCCTCAGCTTTTGAGAGAGACACCGGCATGGGGCGGGCGGGGAGAGAGAGAGAGAGAAGCTGTGCGAATCCTCGGCGGTCTGAGTCTGTGAAGGGGCCAGAGAAGCCGCCGAGCTGCCTGGGGGGGTCCCCGGGCAGGAGCTCCCCACACTGGTACGAAGGGGCCGGCGAGAACCCCTCCCCGACAGGATACCCTTTCTCTGGATGAAGGGTTCTGGGGTGGTCCCTCTGTAAATTCTGGTGTTCCGCAGAGCACACGCTGGGCGGGCTACCCGCCCAAGCTCCGAGACCCCGGATTGGGGTTCCAGCCAGCAGCTCCCCTCGGACGCTGCCCGCGGCAGCCCTTACCTGCAGTCCGAGGAGGAGGAGGAGCCGCTTCCCGCAACCCGGCCCGCCCCGCCAGCTCAGCGCCCCTGCCGCAGGCCCCGGGGCCCAGCCAGCCGCCGGACCGCCCACGTCGCCTGCACTCCGGACCGAGCCCGCCCGCCCGCTAGCTTCGCGGCCGCCGCGCAGTCCTGCAGACCCCCGCCCGTCGGCCGCTCGGAACCCCCCCAGGGCGCCGCGCGGAGCAGGCGCCGCCGGGCAGCCCCACGGCTGGGGTCCTCGCCAGCAGAAGTCCGTCGCCATGGAGACGGGGCGCGCGCAGGCCGCACTTCAGCGGCGCCCGCCCAGCCGAGGACAGTTTGGGGGACCGGGACCGCGGCTCCCAGCACCCAAGAGCGCTGACGGCGAACCCTTCGCAGGCGCGTGATGCCTCGACTCGGCTACCGCCGTCAACATCTCAGCCCCTACGGAGAGGGCGCCGGCCGACGGCCAACTGCGAAAGCACGGGTCTAGCGAGGGCACGGGGAGGGGCCTCGGACCGACCAGGTCTGTGGGAGACATCCGCTTCCGGGGCCGCGGCCATCGCAACCCTCCACTCGTCAGGCCCGCGGAACTGGACCCGTCAGCAGAAGCTGACCCCGGACCCTAGCGTCCCTGAGTCCCGGCTGCCCTCGCTCTGCCGCCCGCCTTCAGAACCAGACATGTTGGAGCATCTGAGCTCGCTGCCCACGCAAATGGTGAGGCCGCTGCCCGCTTGGGCCCTATGATCCCTGCACGCCGCTCGCGAGCCTGGTAGCTTCGCAACCCTTGTCTGAGATCTACCCCGTGCGGCGCGGGTGCTGCCGCGAATGGCTACTCTTTTGCCGAGTTGTGCCTACCTGGTGCCCTTCTCTCTCCCCCGCCACAAGGGTGCCCCTCCCTGGGCTCCGTGAGTATGCTTCGGTTCCCCCGGGAAACCCAGAATGGCATTCCTTGCTTAGGTTCTTGGGGGAGCCCCATATGTTGGGAATGCCCTAGTGCCAAAGCTGTGAGACCCGGGCAGTAACGTACCTCTTCGGTGGTGGAACCAATTCCTGCTTTGCTCTTCTTCACCTCTAGGATTACAAGGGCCAGAAGCTAGCTGAACAAATGTTTCAGGGAATTATTCTTTTTTCTGCAGTAAGTATTGGATTTACATAATCTTTTCCACCCTCATCCCCAGCTTGACTGTATTTAATATACTTTCTTTGTCTTTAGATAGTTGGATTTATCTACGGGTACCTGGCTGAACAGTTCGGGTGGACTGTCTATATAGTTATGGCTGGATTTGCTTTTTCTTGTTTGGTAAGAAATTTATGGGTGCTTGGATGTTAGTGGCAAGCTAGGTTTTCTGAATTGGGTTATTTTGCTTGGATGTAGTACTGAGAATCCGCACAACGTTTCAATGCCAGATAGCATCAGATGAGGTTAAGTTGCATAAAGCTTATTTCTTTTGGCAGTTGCTCCAAGCAGTAATCTTAAAAGTCAAAGCTAGAACTTAAGACCTTATGGTCTTCACATTGCTCCCTCCTCACCTTTCTTTTAGCTTTTAAAGCCACGTGTAAACAATGAGGCTTGTTCTCACTTAAAGCATCTTGTCTGGGTGATGGCACAGAGTTTTCATAGGAATGTGGGTTTCCTTGTTTTTACCTGTAGCAAAGGAGTCATTTGGGAACCAGGCATAATACATAATACTTAATACTCTTTTAAGCTTCTAACGGCCATAATTGATTTTCTGTTCTGACCCAGCTGACACTTCCTCCATGGCCCATTTATCGCCGGCACCCCCTCAAGTGGTTACCTGTTCAAGACTCAAGCACAGAAGACAAGAAACCAGGGGAACGAAAAGTTAAGAGACATGCTAAAAATAATTGATCGGGGTTTTCATGATTCAGCTTTACTGTTGTACCTGCTTTTGTTTTGTGTGACATGAGCTAAATTGTTTTCATATATAAAACATAAGCTAAAAACCCCCTATGCTCAGCTGTGTATGGATTTTGTTTTCTCCATGTTTCCTTTCTCTTTTGGGTTTTGATTTATAAATACTTTAGACCTTCTCACAATCTTCCTCTGAAATGAAGAACAGAAAACAGAAGTATGCAAAGTTTCTTTCAGGTCTACAAAATAATGAGTAAAAGCTTCATAAATGACAGTACAATTTAACTATCAAGTTTTATAATTCATTATGGGTAGTCAGGCTGTTTTAATGTTTTCAATTAAAACTTAGTGCAATTCAATGTCTATAGAGTCTTTTGTTCATTGTTCTGCAAACATGACTATGAGTAAAAGCCAGAGCTAGAAGTTCATGGTTCTGAAAGTGTCAGCAAGAACCATTTCTATCTTCTGAAGCTACAAGGTCCTAATGTATGATTTCTTTTTTTTTTTAAACAACAGCAAGCACCTGTGAAAAAAATTACTGATGTAAATTTTGTGGTAAAGTAATATTTTGGTACCAGTAAAATAAGGCTGTTGCCAAGCAGAAAACATTTAATCCATGCTTTACCTAAGGCAGTTCAAAATGAAAACCCGAGAAGCTATAAATTACTTTTAAATTTTCCAGAGGGCTGAAGGGAAAAATGTCCTAAAAGTCTTGTGTGAGGAATGGGAGTGCAAGGGTTATTACAAGTCATATTCTACTTCTCAATACCAGGATACAGGACTTCCAAACTGAGTTTTTAAAAAAGGGAGTGAAGATCTTATTACACCAGAAGTCAGGAAAAGGTTTTTAAAAGGGGGAATAAAAGTAAAAGACAGCAAAAATAAGACCAAGCATATCAATAAAAAAATGTGATTGCAAAGTTAAGAGCTCCCAATAGGGTTGAAAATCAAGTTACCTCATGTTCTCAAAATGACACCCAAATGTTGAAAACAGGAGCAAGGAGGATGTATTAGGCAAATGCAAGCAGAAAGGAGTGGTAATAGTGAAAAAGTCAGAAATTTAATATCAGAAAGCATTAAATGGGGCAAAGAGGGACATTTCATAGCTGCAAGATGTCAATGAATGAATCATGCATTGAGTAAGATGTGAAATATATAAAGCGAAGACTGTTACATATACAGGAATTTGGCAAAGCTGCAGTCTTAGGAGACCAACACTCTACCTTTCAGATTTTGATAGATCAAGGCAATATGAAGACTTTTGCACTTGTTCCACATGACTGGAACACCTTCCCTTAGGTATACATGACTTGTTCTCTCCTTTCATTCAGGTCCCTACCTAGTGCGTACATGCTGTCACTTCAGTCGTGTCTGACTCTGTGACCCTATGGACTGTAGGCCGCCAGGCTCCTCTGTCCATGGGATTCTCCAGGCAAAAATACTGGAGTGGGTTGCCATGCCCTCCTCTAGAGGATCTTCCCAACCCAGGGATTGAACCCACATCTCCTGCATTGGCAGGTGGGTTCTTTAGGACTGGCACCACCTGGGAAGCCCTACGCAGATGTCACTATAAAGAAGCATTTCCTACTATCCTATCAAAATAAAAGTTTGGGTATGCCCCATCATTCTGTATTTATTTTTCATGGCATTTAATAGATCTCAGTATATATTTGTTAAGCATCCACCCCAGAACACAAGCTCCATGGGAACAGGAACCTTCTTAGGCTCACTGCTGTTGGCTTAGTACAAGAGTACATATGACACATAGGCACTCCATCATACTTACTAAATAAATACAGAGCTGTGCTGTCCAATATGGTGCTTCTAGTCATGTGTGTCTTAAGTTTAGTTAAAAATTGGGTTCCTCAGGGCTTCCCTGGCCATCTAGTGCTTACGACTCTGTTTCCAATGCAGGGGGCGTGGGTTTGATCCCCAGTTCAAGAATTAAGATCCCATATGCAGCATGGCACATCCAAAAACAATTTTTTTTTAATTGAGCTTCTCAACCAGCCACATGGCAAAGACGCAACAGGTTTTATATATGACTAGTGGGCTACCATATTAGTGCAGATGTAGAACATTTCCAGTATTTAGTGGAGAAGTGATTCTGCCTATGCATAAGAGAATTCACCTTTACTGAAGGCACATAGGGCCATTCCAATAATGGATCATGTACTGAGCTACAGGAAAAAACAATTCCAAGAAATAGAGGTTGTGCAGGTCATATTTAGTAACACTGCAATGTAGCTGGAGCAAGGAGAAATTTCTTGGCTTTGGAAATACATGGAAATTAAAAAATACTTTTAAAAGCGAAAATCAAAACAAGAATTACTATTTACAAACTAATGTCAAATAAAACATCAAAAGTCTTTCAAATGTGGCCAAAGACATGCTGAAAGGGAAATCTAGTCTTAAAAATGTGTTTTAAAATTAAATAAAGCTGAAAAATGATTAGGCACTCAAGAAAAAAAACCACAAAACAAACAATAGAAGCATAAAAACTGACTTAAAAATATATAGAATGGGACTAAAAATGTATGAGGGAATTCTTTTTTACTTTAAGAAAATAATATATATAACTCCACAGAAATGAGTTAGAAAACGTCAGTACAACTAAAGTTGACTTCCCAAGAAAGATTACGGATCTCTAAAACATGAAAGAAATGGTAAATAGCTCAGAAAGACCAACATTTTGCCAAAAATTTGTCCCCAGCTGGGCACTGGGATCAGATGGTTTTAGAGTTGCGTTATAACAAACCCTTAAAATAAAATTAAGAAGCTTTAGAAATTAGGCCATGAACACTGGCCTAGTACCTGGCACATAATAAAAACTAAATAAAAGTCTTTTAGGGGACTAGAATGGAGAAGACAATGGCACCCCACTCCAGTACTGTCACCTGGAAAATCCCATGGATGAAGGAGCCTGGTAGATTGTGGTCCATGGGGTCTCTTAAGAGTCGGACACGACTGAGCAACTTCACTTTCACTTTTCACTTTCATACATTGGAGAAGGAAATGGCAACCCACTCCAGTGTTCTTGCCTGGAGAATCCCAGGGATGGGGGAGCCTGGTGGGCTGCCGTCTATGGGATCACATGGAGTTGGACATGAAGGAAGTGACTTAGCAGCAGCAGCAGCAGCAGCAGGGGACTAGAAAGGGAACATTTTATTATTTTATGTATGTGTGTAATTTTCAAAAAACATATAGAGTCCCACATATACTAATCAAAACTTTTATAAAAGCTACTTGCTAGATGGGCATTATACCTTATTAAACAACAAATAAAATATGTGATATGCAATTATACATTTAAAATAAGGGAAGACAATCGATATCTTGATGTATAAGAAGACAAATTTCAGAAGACAAATCTGTCCAACATAACTGAAAGGATCTGGACGTTATTACTTAAAAATTGCTGAATTAGAAAAGGTATTAGTGTTTAACAGATGTTTCCACTGATGGAAAAATAAATCTTAAAAAAAAAAACCCAGTCTTCAAAAACATATTGATTCACAAGGCCAAAATATCTCCTACTTTCAATTCTTATATACAATGGTCCATATTAAATGGAAATAAAATGTTAAATTACATTAATATGCAAAAAAGGGAATTCAATTGCTCAGGTACTATATATAACTTCATATCTTTAAATCTACTCCCAGAATTATAAAAAAATAATTTATCAGCTGCTACTTAAAGTTATTAATAGTAAAAAGTAATATCACTGAATGTATCATTTTTTTCCCCTACTGCTTTTATCACTATAATATAATGTGGAACTTCCAATCCAGTATGTTTTGTCTCAGTATTCAAGCTCATAAGTACCTTAAAAAAATAGTTCTAGGTATCAAGTTGGTTTAAGGCTCAGTAAACAGTAATCAAACAAATGTCTTTAAATAGATTTTTTTCCTCATAAAGAGAATAAGATAGCCAAGGTTTGTTTTTTCTTTTGTAAGCTTGCTTCAATATTACTGTTTTGTCCAATTTTTTCTAGATAAAAAGCCAACAAGATAAAAGGATGGTGAATGGCCTCCAATCACTGTTATAGATTTGTTTGTATTTGTTTAAACCAAAAACCTTTGAAAATAGTTTTATTCTGGCAGCATATTAGATAAATTCTCAAAAGTTCACATTTTCTTCAAAAAATTTTAACTGGCGAGCCTTCACACTGTAAGTCGCATACTTTTCACCCATGTGCTCCTGCAAATGTACCTATTTGGGAAACATAAAAAAAAAATCAGTATACAGTAGAAAAAATATTTCTATAGTCTTAAAAGGGGTATTCTAAGCACAATACCAAGGTGGAAACCTTATGGGAGAATACATAGCTATAGTTATGTTTACATAAAAATGTAAAACATCAAGATATCAAAAAATAAAGTCATAAGAAATACAAGATACAAGGACATTATACATTAACAAAAGGACCAATACAGCAGGAAGATATAATAATTATAAACAATTATGTACCTAATAACAGATGATCAAAATATATGATGCCAAACTTCACAGAATTAAAGGAAAAAGTAGTTCTACAAATAATAGTTGGAAACTTCAATACACACTCTCAGTAATGGACAGAACAACCAGACAGAAGATAAGAAAACAGAAGACTTGAAAAATGAAAAAACGAACTAGATGTAACAGACATATAAGAAACATTCTACCCAAGAATAATAGGATACACGTTCTTCTCAAGTGCACAAGAAACATTTTCCAGTAGAGACATATATAGTAGGCCACAAATTATGTCTCAATAGATTAAAAAGACAGGTATACATACAAAGTACCTTCTCTGACCAAAACAGGATGAAGTTAGAAACCCATAATGAAGGAAACTAGAAAACTCACTCATTTATGGAAATTAAACAACACACTCCAGTGCACCAAAAGAAAAAAAAATCACAAGATGTTTACAGACAAATGAAAATGAGAATATACCTAAACTTATGAGATGCACCAAAAGCAGTGCTAAGGAAGTAATTTATAGCTAT